GTTTTTTTTTTTTTTTTTTTTTTTTTTTTTTTTTACTTTTTTAAACGGGATTTCTGTGTCACGGAAGTCTTACTACAGACGGATCTCTCCTCTCTATAGAACTACTTCATCTTATGAGCTAAACTAGAGCAGGAAGGCGTACGGTGTCGTTTCGTAGTTGCAATCTAGTTTGGATCCAGCTTAGGAACAAAGCAGAACTGAATCTTGCCACAGGAACAAGGGTGCCTTGCGTAAACGGTCTTCTTTTAGAACTTTAAGGTAGATCGTGTCTAAACTTTCAAACGTGAGTTAAAATCGCTTTCCTCTGTTATGTTTCTCCACGAGTACTAGTCTTATTATCACTATGTCATTGTCAACCGCAACTTCGCAGAAATCCTGGGAAGGTCAGCACTACCAAACTGACAGAATATGAAGGCAGGTATAAATTGCACGACAGGATCGATGAGTTTGTCAAAGCTGGGCACTATCTTCTTCTGCAGCGCAAGGCGGGCTGTCACATGGATTTAGGAGTACATGCTGGAGCGCTAAACGCGACGGTTTGGACGACATTGACAATTGACCGAGAAATACCCCCTAACGGCAAAAAAAAAAAAAGAGTATGTTGTCCCGGATCATCGACTCATCACGCAGGGTGTACTCTCTGAGATAGCGTCCAAAACTTTGAAAGGAAGGCTTTCCCTTGCAAAGTTTGCAGCGACACACCGGTTCCAGAGACTCAAAATGATCTCAACCTGGTTAATCAATAAAGGTCGTCCGTGTCTGGGTAGATATTTAGGACCTCAACCCATGCTCTGGCTAGATTAGACTCTAAAGAAAAGCAACGTGTCAGGAGCCTATGGAGTAGGACTTTCTCTGCCATTTTCGCGTGGTTCATCACCGGGCTTTTAATCTGGACAATGACCTCAGGTCTCTTAGCAGATCCAACCATTATGCAGATGATTCGTACAGATGAAGGCATTTCCCAGGTTCCGAATGCAGATCAGGTGGGATACGAACTGTACAACCGCCTCATGCGCCAGTCTACCGATGCTCGCCTTATTCAGGGAGACACTATGTCAAGTTCCTTGCCTAAGAAAAAGAAGATTATCGAAATAATTGACTCGGTGATCTATCGCACCGAGGACGGTGCCGAAAAGATGGAAGAACTAGGCTATCACATTTTCGAAATGGGCTCGGAACTGGCCTCGGATTATGGTGCCATACTTCTCCAGATTGAAGACAAACCGTGGAGAAGACTCTGGGGTTTAATACCCCTTATGTTGCGATTGTACTTCCAACCAACTGGCCGAGACGTGGCAAATATCATGACGACACCAAGCGACTCCGAGCTCCGAGAGGCCTGGATTGATGCTACTAAAGCGGCCGGCCAAAGGCTTGATGTGCTCATTGACGAGGCCAAAGCCTTGCATACCCTCTTCGGTAAACTGCGAGCCGACTTGATAGACCTTCACAACCATATGAGAGATGGCAAGACCAGCTTGGAGAAGAGTAGAAAGTCATACACGGGCGTAGTCTACCGATGGGGTTTTCTCCACGACCCGATTCCAGAACTAAACCAGGGTATCGCGATGGTAGAAAACTTACTACCTGATCTGGATAATTCCCGACTGTATGTTGATGGTATCAGAAACGCTATGAAGGCCACTAGACAGGATCTATGGCGCTTGAACCGAACAGCAATTACAAATTGGCTCCATCACTCGGGGTTGAAACTTTGAACTGAAGCTGATTTTTATTCGCATCAAAAGGCATTGAAAAGGGACCTTGCCCTGCTAGAGGCTGCGATTGATGCCAATCTGAAGCCACTGAAGCCACAAACTGGGATGGTTGAAATAGAAAGACGGCGGAGGTAATTCCCCACTAGGCGCTCCACCGTTGTCTGATTAGACTCGAGTCAAACCTGTCTGAGACAATGGTGTTTATGCAAAACCTCCGTAGCAGACATAGGGGATCATCTGAGCGTCTTTGTCCCTGCATAGGCTCTCAGCTAGCAGTAGAAGCCACCGCCATTTGACGCGATTCGTCCGAAACGTTTGCGATTCATGGTGGTACTACGCCGGCAAGCGACTGCAAAACCAAGCAAAGAAAGTGGAGTCTTCATTTTCAAAGGAATCTAGTTTCAACTAAGGCAGATGTGCTTACATAATGTACATGGTCAAAACCATCCGATGTGGTGTAGTGGCTAACATTTGACGCTCTCAACACTGTTGAACCGTCAAGCCCGGGGTTCGATTCCCCGCATCGGAGTCTACGCGTCTTACACAGACAGCGAGTGTCTTTTTGGGCCTTTTTGGGCCTGAGCTCCAGGCAGTGGCACAGGAGACAAGACCGTATCTATGCCAGCATTCGCATTTTTCATGTCTACCCATCAGACAACGTTTGCTCCGCCTGTAAAAATCTTACACATCCGGTCAGGCATTCGCTACTTATCGCACGTATAACCCCTGATAATGTTTTCGCTCTTCACACTACGGGAGATCAATGAACGCATTTCCAAAGTGCTGGCCATGAAAGCGTGCCCAGCACCGGTCGGGGGCCCGCTCGGATTAGCGTTAGTTCCGTCCTCCGAAGCACTCGAGCTGGGCTAGTGCCGCCGGAACTTTATCTGATCAGGAGATTATCGCTCTAGCGACGAAACTCACTTTGTTGACTTTGTGTGCAGTCAAAACTGTAAGACCACCGTCAATTCATCGTAGCACAAGGCAAACATATAATGGCTGATTCGCAGGCCAAGACGATAACAGACACGAGCGTCCCGCTGGAGAAGGGTACCGAAGCCGGAGCTAGCACTGGTCCACCAGCACCGACCGGTCCTTCCGACGCCTCTGTGAAGCCTGAGCAGGGTGGAGCAACAGCAGCGGACGAGACGGCGACGGAGAAAGACGAATCTCCTCCAGCTGCCGCAACGGCCTCTACGCCACTATCAGATCTCTGGACCGCTGCTGAAGCTAGTGGACACCCTGAAATATGGGGCGTCACCCTTCAGGATCCCACTGCGCACGTTCCGTCCCAGATCGTGTTCCAAAAGTTTCTGAACGCCAATGATGGGGATTTTGCGAAAGCCAAGGAGCAGTTGATCAAGACTCTGGAGTGGCGAGCAAAGTGGAAGCCTCTAGATTTACTCAACAAGAAGTTCAGTAAGGAGAAATTCGACGGTCTTGGGTATGTCACTTCATACGGTGAAAGCTCCCCTGATTCAAAGGAGGTCTTCACCTGGAACATTTATGGCATCGTGAAGTCTATGGAATCTACCTTTGGGAACGTTGATGAGTAAGTGACTCTCATACATAATCTTCTCAAGCACACCTCAATCTGGCAGGTGGACTTTGTCTCGTGTCAGACTGGACTTCTCCCCTGCGAATGTCACTGAGCATGGCAAGGCTAACTAACGTATGCAGGTTCATTTCCTGGCGTGCTGCACTCATGGAGCTGGCACTTCAAGAGCTTGGCTTGTCGGGAGCCACGAAGCCAATCACCGCTGATGAGGATCCTTACAAAATCTTCCAGGTTCACGACTACAAATCCCTCAGTTTCTTTCGCCAGAATCCAGCTGTGAAGGCAGCATCAAAGGAGACGATCCAAGTCTTTGGCCTGGTATACCCGGAGCTTTTGAAAGAGAAATTCTTCGTCAACGTTCCGGCAATCATGGGTTTCATGTACGGGGTCATGAAGCTTTTTGTCGCGCCCAAGACGATCAAAAAGTTCCACCCAATGAGTAACGGTGGTGCTCTTGCCCATGAATTTGCCGAGAGTAAGGTTGCCGATTTGGGAGAAAAGCTGCCCGAGGCATACGGCGGGAAGGGCGCAAATCTCCAGACGCAGGGCAAGTCCACTTTGCTGGAGTAAAAATGCATCAATTATAATGGGTATGGGTCGAGTTTATACCATTTTTCACTGCGGATAATCAATCTTGTACGCGACAAACTTTTTGATTCTAGTCTACTTCTATCCTTTGCAGTTTGGGACCAGTGTATTGTCCTGCCCGCCAGATCACATGCCAGCTGTCATTCGGCACGCCATCTAGATACCAGTCTAAGCGTAGTTTCTTCATTGGTCTTGAAACGAGGCCGTAGACGCCAACTGCCATCAGACGCTTCCAATACGAGATTCCACATGTAGGTGCTTTCAAGCTCAAACGACCTCATCAACTTACCGACTCCCAACAGTACGTATCTACGAACAATTCCCCAAGTACACAGTAAAGATGATCGCTCTCACCGGCCGTCGCTCGAAGGTCAGTGCTTCCGGCACACTCGGAGTTGTACGCTATGGCTGGACAGCGCCCTCTGTTCTCCCTTTGGTCGCTTTGATTGGTTGCTAAGTACCGGCACAATGCACAGGGGCCTTAGCGTCATTTGAGGTGTTCGTAATCCTGGTGACTACCGGCCTGTCGGCTTGGCCCTGCAATGCCAAGGCCTGTGGTGGAGTACTCTAAAAGGGGACCAGGAGGCAATTTAACTGTCGAGATCCCTGGCTCGGCCGAGGACGTCCTCGCTCGCCTATTCATCCAATGCCACTTATGTCACCTCGTGTGGTTCGTACGACACAACGTCGCCTATGCATCGAATATTCAACGAATCATGTCTTCGACATCGCCAGATGAGGACTCGGGCGGGAGGGTCGATTGGGATGCCCACCGGGACATGATTACTGAGCTTTATCTAGCCAAGAATCTGACTTTGAATGAGGTCATGCAAATAAGTACATTTCACCCACGCCTCGCCGCCCTCTAACAACATGCATCGTTGGAAATATGGGGCAGTATAATAAAACGGAAACTAACGCCCATCTTCTAGTGGGCCGAGAACACAATTTTCGAGCCACGTAAGTGCGCCTCGTCAATGAAGCTATCACGGAATATGATCTTCAATGGCTCATCCAATCGCAGGACAAGAATGTACAAATCTCGTTTGAAAAGATGGAATGTTTCCAAGAAATTAAATCTAGAAGAGGTCGAACGGATCTTAATAGAGCGTGCAAGTGGCGACGGGCTGCCAGTCGAACACATGTCGGGCAAGACAAGTAATGATCGGGTTAAGAGATACCTGCGCCGCATGCCGCGCAACAAGGTCAGCCAACTTGAAAGGACGATCCATGAGCAGGCAGTGTTTAGCAGGCCCCGAAAAGGATCGGCGCGTGTTGTCGCGTATCAATCCATTCATCTGCCTGTGCCGCCAAGGATGCCCGAAGACCTAAGGATTCCGGAGTACTGCCATCATAGCATACACCGATATCTGTCCGGCTGCATTGATCAGGGAATTTGGGCGAAATATCAGGTCGCAGCTGGCCGGACAGGTCTTGATACCGTTGCTTGTCAAAATCGTATGACCTTGACAGCAATATTGATGCAGAATGGGTTCACCGAGCTCGGGTTTCGTGTGCTCGAGGTAGGCTTCAGTCAGTACAAACTTTGTTTCAACCACTCGAGGGAACTGGCTTTCACTCGGGACCCGTGGTTGATAACCATGGTCTATGGCATCTACGTCAACCTCGCGCAGAGCCAACCAGCGCTGGCCGACTCTTTCATAAGATTCGCGCTTGGACTGTCAAAGATCATGCAGCCCGAGAACCATCCATTTCGGCTTCTTCTCTCCGAGTTTTACCGTTCAGATCCGCGATACGCCATCCCGCTGGCCGAAAACTTGGTTTGGAACTATCTTCGAATGGTGAAGTCCGATCAAAGGTCACAGGGCTACCTCAAAGGCCTCCCGCTCCAGTTTGCGCTCCTAGTTTGCTGTAGACAAATAGCTGAGTGGGGTGGTCTAGACGGTAGCAAGGCGGATGCGAGTATTCAATCGTCTCTCGAAGCTACAGCCGATGTGCCGCATAGATATCAGCGCCAAATGGCGGCCTTGTTCGTGAAAGCACAGGCTCTGAATATACATTACGCGAATGGCGACTACGAAAGGGCAAGAGAGACGAGGGATGAGATTCTCTCTGCCCCTAAGGAATTGGTTTCCGCGCATCGCACAATTCCGGCTATATGCCACCGAATCTCTTTCCTGCTCGAAACCAAGGAGAGTGATGGTGATGCGCGTACCTCTGCTCTAGCCTCTGGTATGTTGGCAGTGTGCCAGGATAACTTTGGGACGGGCAACTCATGGACTGTACGTGCGCTGATTGAGACGTATGCACACGCACGACGGTCAGGCAAAGAGGACATGGCGAAGCAGCTCGATCAGCAGATTCATGCCGCGGTTGATGAGCTGTGCCAGAAAATCGACACTCTTGAGCTGCTTCTTTGACACCATCGTACAATAGTATCACGCGGCTTATCGAACTCAGATATCTTCTGATACCACAGGGTTCCATTTTATACCACAGGGTTCCATTTTGAGGCGCACATCGTCCGAAACACACGCTCCAGCCCGTCAGAGATCTCACTGCCCCGGACTACGCTGCTCTGTGTGGCGAACCTATATTCACTCAAGCCACCATCACTAGAGTCCACAATACAATTACGGTCTTCGAGATATAGACTTCGATAAAATTAAATTTCTGCGACAAATGAATCATACACACGTGTGAAAGACTAGAAAAACAAGAGAACCAGGGTGCTTAATGCCGATCAACTATCCCAAATAGCCCCATATGCCGCTACTCCTCTGGTTTCGAGCCCATAAACCACCTTTTTGGTAATCTTCTCATTTGCAATAATAATTACTGCGTCAGCACCAAAGCTTTTAGCCATATTGTATCCCATTTTGACAAGATCGGGCCTGCCCAAGAGCTTGGTATCGTGAATGACAGCATTTGAGATTTTGTCGTGGATGGCATCTATCAGAGGCCGGCCGAATGTTTTCTCCGGATTCGGAGTTGACCAGATCAACTGTGACGGACAACTAGGGCTCTGGATGTGGCCCAACATTGGTCCAATACCGGAGCCGGTGGCAATAAGAACAACGCGGTTGAAGAGAGTTGCGATGCGCATTACGCCACAGGTAGGCACGCTGCGAATCCAGAGGTGGGTAGGCGGGTTCTGGATGCAATCCTTCGTCCAGTCACCCGCATTCGAGACTACTAGCGAATAGCCCTTGGGTCTACCGTTGACGGCCTGAGGAGCTGGGATGGTGGCAAAAGAGTGCCACTCGAGGAGAGGTCTCCGAGATAAGCGAGTGAAGCTTCCGTTCACAGGAACGGTGTAGTCGAAATGTAGGCGCACGGCGTGTGGGGACAGAACCTCAGATTCGACACGGACCTTGCGGAGGAAGAGCCAGGACATGGCGATGCTGCATGTCGCAACGGCAAGCAACCAGAATGAAGGTGAACGTAGGCATGCGGCGCCAAGGGTTTGCTGGCTTGGCCTGGCATCGTTGATGGAGAGCACGACTTGAACCCAGAACAACCCCAGCATGGTCCAGCCAACAAACCGGTGGACTCGCTCAAAAATGTCGTGGTTGCGCTTCCTGATTGGTGGCCAGGCGAATCCAAACATGACAAAGAAAAGCCCGGTGAGGATCCAGGAGACGACGGCTGAAGCAATCGACGGACGGGGCTCTGTCGCACTGCAGGTGTCGGGCGCGACTTGGCAGGCGACGCTGGCGATGTTAGACACGAGCAGCCACATACCGGCGCATACAGCAGCACTTGAGTGCACACCACCCAAGTGGTAGATCTTGGCACACTTTTGCCGAATGCCCAGCGGCCATGACTTGGGCACCGAGCAACAGATGGTATACAGAGCGTTGATGACGAAGTCCTGGCGGATCAAGACAGCCAGCACAAGGTTGATGGCCGTCATCGTACCCAGCCACTGACGGTTGGTTCCTGTAACGAGAATGGCAGCCAATGCGGCGAGGTTGCCAAGGCCGACGACGGAGAAAAGGAAGCGATAGACAATGAAGATGCGATAAACAAGGCCCCTATAGGGCTTCTGCAAGAGCTTCTCCGGAATCGCTGCCGCAAGATCGGGTTTCTCGCTTTCAATGTCACTGTCGCTGATGCTGCGAGAAGGTTTGAGGCTCTCATCAGAGGTGTCGGAGCCAGCTGTTGACATGCTGCCATTAGAGGCACTTGGCATAAGGCGTTTCTCAGCAGTCGCGCTTTCACCAATGGCACGGAGCATCTTCTTGTCGAGCTTGCCATTACTCGTCTCAGGCAGTGCTTCCAGAAGATGGAAGTGGCTGGGCACGGCGTAGTAAGGCTGCTGCAGCGCCATGTGTTGCTTGAGAGCACTGAGGCTGACGTTCGGGGGTTCAAGAAAGCCATGGATCTCGCCGTTTACCAGCAATGCAGTGGCGCGAGTCACACCAGCACATCTGTTGATAGACGCGGATACCCCGTCAAGCTCGACCCGAAAGCCTTTGACCTTTACTTGATCATCGACACGGCCCAGGATGTCTAGAACACCGTTCGGTGTCCATCTCCCAAGATCACCTGTGTTGTACATCATACTGCCGTCATTCGCGAAGACGTCCAGCTTGTAGCGGGCTGCAGTCGTCTCTGGAAGTCCAACATAGCCCCTTGTGATACCAAGGCCGCCAGCCCACATAACACCTGGCTGCCCTATTGGGACAGGCATCAGGTCCTCATCGAGCACGTACACTGAGTTGTTTGGAGTCGGCGCGCCGATGGTCAACGGGCCGCCAGGAATGTGCTGGTGCATGGTATTCACAATGGTGGTCTCCGTAGGACCACAGCAATTGTAGTATGTTCCGTGCGAGGCCCATAGGTCTGCTATTCTCTGCCCACTTGGTTCTCCAGCGGTGGCAACGACCTTGATATTGGGATACGTGGTCGGGGTGTACTTGGCGAGGATGCTGGGCGTACAGATGAGCACGCTGATTTCACGCAGGGCCTGATCCCAATCTGAGCCCCGCATCACCAGAGTGCCCCCGTTACATAGACAGGCTAGGATCTCCCACGCTCCCATATCAAAGCTGATGTTGAGAACCGATCCAACTTTGGTTCCAGGCGTGATGCCGAGATTGCCCGGAGACAAGCAGATAAGATTGGTCACATTCTCATGTGTAACATCTACCCCCTTGGGGGTTCCCGTTGTGCCAGAAGTGTAAATGACATAACAGCCCAAATCGTGTCTGGCAAGATCAACGAAGCTCTCATCAAAGGGGTAGCTTTTCTCCATCTGGGCGAGTTCGTCGTCGGCTTCATCTATGACCACAGGCTTACATGCGCCATTGTCAAGATTGACAAGCCGGTACTCGGTAGATGCTAGGCAAAGAGCTATGTTGCACCCGCTTTGCGCCAGCACAAAGCGAAGTGTCGCTTCGGGCACGACACCGCCATCCAAAGGTACATATTGAGCACCGCAAGAAAGGATGGCGATGATGCCCACTAGCATCTCAATACTCCGCTTGGCGACCAGTGGTACGCGATCTCCTGGCTGGACGCCCAATGTCCGTAGACGAACAGCCAGTCGTCGACTTCGCGATGCGAGATCCCCATACGTGATAGTGCGGAGGGTGGACCGTGACCAGTCTCGGCCGGCGATGGCCTCAGGCTGCACTTTTGCATGGTGGAAAAAGGCAGAGGTGATAGTACGGAACGGGCTAGTTTGTCTTGGCCCGTAACTGAAGGTTAAGGGGTCTGAGAATTTGATGTCTGAGGACTTGGCGTCTAATAGACGACCGTCCGGGACCCGCGGGACTGGATGAGCTACTACGGCCATCGCGAGGTCATTAAGGTTTGAAAAATAAGCGTAGACGAAATGAAGAATAACTTTAAAGTTCAAAAATAGGGAAATGTGTAAGGCGGAGCACGGCTACAAACGCGGCATTGGATGAAGGTGAGATATCACATACCTCGCTTGCGTTCGAAGGCGTCGTCCACCGGGGCTTTATATATCTTAAGCTTCCCTACTTTTCAACTCTCATGTCTACCTTCCTTGTCTTCGCACCTTGGCCCCCTGTGAAGCAGATGGTGGTCTGGAATGTCGCGCCAGTACCGAAATGTTACCTTGCTGTTAGGCCGTACTGCCTTTCCTGGGTATTACGAAACCCAAGTCCCGTACAACGTGGAAAGTGGATGAACGCTGACCGATCAGTACCGTCGATACGTGCGTGCCTCGGGGCATCCAAGGGCGTCGTGATCCATGTTATCTCACTTGCCCTTCTTGGCAAGCTACATTGTGAAATGTGGCGAGCTCTTCCATCATAACCTTGGCGCCAGTCTGCAACTCGATCTCAACATGGATCACTGGCCACGGTGACACTGATGGTAGCTCGCTGGGTTGATGCCGGACAGCAGAATTGGTGGGATAATCAAAAGGATCCGCAATTTCGAACGGCCTCGCGCCTGCGGGCAAGTCCCAGAGTGGAATCTCGTCTCATCGGAATGGGACTGATCGAAACAGAATCCAGAGCTGGGATCTCACGAGGAGTTGTGGCAACTAACTACTTCCGCTAGCTTGGCACGATCCTTGGATGTGTCCGTGGCGGAACAGGCGGGACAACGGGACTCAGGGTTCTGCCTTCAACTTGAGGAGCCCCCCGGCCCGGGGTTGGGGGTATGCCATTGCAGGACCTAAAATCACATGTGCTTGGTTGGAGCGCTTCCCTCCCAAGGGTCAGGCGCGACGGGATGACATGTCAGGACAAGGACGACTGATGATCGACACTGTAGCCGCAGGTTGACCTGCAGATGGTTTCGTTTCACGGCTCTACAGACGGACTTTTGGATGTACCTTGCAGAGCGTCCTGGCAAGTGGACACTGAGCACCCTCAGCTTGGAGAGGCTCGGGGGAATTCTGAACACCGACCGTGCAAAAGACGACGCTGCTGGCAAACGGTACGATGAAAGAAGGAAAGGAAATTTGCAGGGCCTACCGTGGACCAGGCCCGGGGAGCCGTTTTTGGGAAACGAAACACGAGCAGGCACGAGCTGCGCCAAGCCGGCGCCCACTCCGGTCCTGTGTGGAGAGCGTCATTCGCGAAACACGCTTGCACGAGACGGACACGGATCAAGGCCGAAGGAGCTGTGTTTCTCGACGAATTCGGCCAAGATGCTGTGACCTCACGGCTGGTGCATCGCCGCTGAAAACAGGCACCGCCGACGCAAGCTGGACGCGTTGTGTTCACATAAGCTATTCATAAGCAGCGTATTCCTTGCTTCTGCACGGTGGGTCCGCTCAGATCGCGGTTCGGCATTGGCCCCCGGCTCCCCAGAAGGTTTTGAGGCTATCTCCGCTCTAGGATCAGTTGGTGTTATTCAGGCCGAATTGGTCGCGCTTGGTACCGGCCGAGCGCCTGGACACGGTTACATCGACCAGTGGATGGCGTTATATAAGCGGCTTAGGCCTGCAGCAGACGTCGAGTCCCTGGTCAGTTTGTCGATCCAAACCCCTTTGGATGCCGATGCCTCGTAACTCGGCCGGTTCCCCTGAACGGGCCTAGCGGGAGTAGGAGTTAAAGTTGATCGAGGACCTGACCCCTGCTTCCCGGGCGGGCATATCAATGAAACCCAAGACCCTGCAGATGGCCGTCAACTGCGACGCTGGTGATGAAAACAGCGAATCGACGATCCACTCAAGGGGGAAAAATGCCAATCGAGGCACTGGAGAATGTGAGGAAATTGGAGGATCCATGGTCGAAGGAATGCATGTCTCGGCGCCTTCCGTTTTGGAAGCCAGCACAGAGGAGCACTAGGAGCTCATCAACTCCTGACTGCATCGACTCGTCGGCGATGGCTGATAAGTTCCCACGAGACCACTCGACGATTCCTGTGGTGCTCGCGTCATTCATGTCGAGTGCGGCGATACGGGAAGGTAGCAAACCGAAAACCATCTGAACCGTGGCAAACAATATTTAACAACGCATAAACCGCCTGCATCCTCCGCGAACCACGCATGACGCCTTTTGCGACGCCCATTAGGCAAACAGACGATTGACACTCTCGCTTCCCAAACAACCAGGTGGCCGAGTGATGAGCATGGCGACCTCGACGGGCTTGGTGCTCGCAAGCACTCCAATCCCGAAAGTGAGAGTCATTGCCTTCAACAGACCGGAGAAGAGGAATGCTCTCTCGCAGCCGCTTATCGACCAATTTCTACAAGAGCTGTCTTCTGCAGCGCGAGATTCGGGCATTCATGCGATTGTCATCACTGGAAGTGCATCTGTCTTTTCAGGTATGTCAGAATTGTCGGGCTATATTTACACACAACTGCGTGTATAAAGAGATTAATTGAGCCGCCCCACCACCAAAAGCTGGCGCAGACATAAAGGAGATTGCATCGTTGGATGCAGAAGCGGCGCAACGGTGCAGATACCTCGAGGACCTCTGCAATGGCATGCAATCAGTCCGGAAGCCTCTGCTCGCTTCTGTCGAGGGCATGGCGGTAAGTCGGTTGTGCCGAAGTTCCTTGAGTTTCTTGGCTAACTACTACCGTTGCTGCAGCTCGGTGGGGGATTTGAAGTCGCATTGATGGTAAGCCGACGCATCGAGAAGCTGTCATTAACGTTTTCACCCCACGAGTTTTAAAGTAATTAATAAACATCACGCAGTGCGACCTTATCATGACATCACATCAAGCCCAATTTGGCTTGCCAGAAGTCAAGATAGGGTTGATTCCTGGGGCTGGTGGTACCCAAAGGTTGACAAATACCGTGGGCAAGTTCAAAGCAATGGAAATGATCCTCCTCGGAACCTCCATCACATCTCAAGAGGCAAAGTCCTACGGCCTGGTTGCCGATATCTTCGAGCCTGGGACTGTCCTCGAAAACTCGCTCACAGTCGCTGCCAGACTAGCGGAGCTGAGCCCGGGGGCACTGTCCTTGGCCAAAGAAGCCATTCGCAGGAGTATGTTCATGATTGTGCCCTCACTTTCCGCATTGAGACTAGTTGCTGATAAGTACTTTGATCAACGGTAGGTGACGATAAAGGTCGTGACGATGACTTCGAGCGCAGCCTCTACTACTCGGCATTTAGTTCATCCCACAAAAAGGAAGGTATTTCCGCCTTCCTCGAGAAGCGATCGCCAAAATGGCAGTAAAGACATGACATAAGAGAGCCTATCAAGCTTGAGTGGGATAGAAAGATGTAAATGGCTGAACAATCTACTTGTCTTGTTGCGAGACTTTTGAGAGCTTCCAATCGGCAAGAGTGTAGCCATCTGTGAGCATTTGCTAGGTTGGATGCGAGGCCCAAGTCGACCGAGCTGACCAGCCGGGAGTATATACATAGAGGGTCTAAAAAGTCTGTCGTTTAAAGCCAAGTATAAAACGGTGTGTTCTTAGGCATTTTTTATTATCACGGAACATATGGCCAAAGTAAGTGAATTGATTGTGACAGACCAGAAATTTATAGGCTGCCAGCTCCACTCGCGGAAAAGTTTACTTCGAGCGTCTATAGAGACATCCTTGCAAATTCTCAAGTTGGAAATAAGGGAGGTTGAGATACAGCCACGCTAAATTCCTACTCCGAAAGTAATTGGCCGGCGTTATTGGTCCCCAAAAACCGTATCAAACCTCATTTTCAGATATACCTCAGCATCACTCGAGCATTATAGCATTTTTCTCATACCTAAAGTTGCCGGTCGCAGTGATTGTCAAACTTAGCACCAGTGCTACATCCGAAGTGCTCCATCAATTGACAGAAACATGGTACTCCGAACGACAGACTCCGAGTAGTAACACGAAGACTAAGTAGCTGCATTTTCTACAATGCGAAAGCGATATAGAATGTCGAGTATCAGAGCACTGTGTGGTCTACTGAAGCGGGAAGGCATGCGGCGTTAATGTTTTCATCAGGCCACAGTCGAGGCAGCTTCGCGTCCCCGGGGTTAGTCAGCGCGAGATTTTAGATAGGGCTTATGTCATTAGCATTGATGGATCAAGGAAGGGCAGTTCGTACAATGTGGACCAGCGTAGGATACAACGGCAAGGCACCTACCGGTAGCGAGGTTGTGCAGCATATGTAACCGTGACAATGTAGCATGCTGGAGAGCACGAACACAGTAAGCAATTCCAGCAACCAGGGTTTGCCGCAAGAGCCGAAAAAGTGCTATATTGACTATTTAATCAACCGAACCATCGGCCGCTTCTTCTTCCCAGCACAAATCAGCAGTTATGGCCAGTGTCAATCGACGTTGTAACGCCACAGTGGAAGACACTGCCAGTCTCTCATGCGGTCTTAAGCGAACATCTGAAGGTCCCCACAGTAGATCGTAGCTACGAATCACAAGGGACGGACATCCATGACGCTCTCGTAATTGTTGTAAGGGTATGTCTTGACGAGGCTCAATCCAGCATCCGTGATGATGTTGCGCCACTGGGCCTCGGTACGTTCCATTGCCGCGAACGCCGACATCATCGTGAGGTCAATGGCAGTAGTATAGGAATTGACTCCCGACTCCGGTAGGACCATCTCATCAATCAGCAAGACAGAATCAGAGGCCATTGCTGCCTTGATATGCTTCAGAATCTGTTGGACCTTGTAGTCAGGATGATTGTGAAGAACAGTGCGGAGATAGTAGAACTTGGCTCCTGGGGAAATATTAGTATTACGGTCAGACATATCCGTATTGTTGGCTTGACATTGATTCTTACCCTTCACTGGCTGAGGGTCGAAAAAGTTGTGGACCATGAACTCAACATTCGGGGTAGGGGGAGCATTGTTGATTGCGAGCTCGAGGTCCTGGGTTATTAGGCGACCTTGGACGTCAGGGTACTTCCCTTTGAACTGAACGCACTGGTGGCCAATGCCGCCACCGATGTCAACGAAAATAGCCCTCTGGGAATTAGTCAAGTCGGCCACTTCCACTGTGATCGGGTAGACCGTCAGCCAAGTCAAGTCCGGCTGGCGTCTCAGCGCCATCCAGTTGTTGAAGTGTTGAAGATCCTCAGGTTTGGCGGAGATCCAGTCGAACGCGTGGAGGGGTGTTTTCATGGCCTCTTGAAACACAGTGTGCATTTCATCGGTAGGTTCCTTGTAGCTGCTTTTCTTGAGAAAGCCTGGCAGTGCCTGGAACATGGGGCTGAGGGTCAAGAACCTGACGATGTCAGTGGTACGCCGATTATGAAGGACTCACGGTCTTACGCGTGTGAGATGCCTGCCACCACAGCATCACCAGCTAGGTTCTTGGTCACATTGTTGGCCATGTACTGATCTTTGGCGACTTCCTTGACCGCTCCGACAGAGGCGAGATAGCGCATGTATCGGCCTGTCGAATGCTCAGTGTTTCTCACGGGGTAAAAGTCCAACAAGTGCACGTACTCAGGAGGGCAATGTCAGCGCCAGTTGCGGTTGCGATGTCTTCGAGTTCCAGTGAACCTTCAGCCTTTGCCAGAAGCTTGAAGAGACCCAGATCAAAGCCGATCTTGGCGGCGGCCGTCTGAAGATGCTGTCGTCACAATTAGACATCATTTTTGATACCAATTTTGCACGCTGTTGAACTTGCCAGCCAGCCAAGTCTGTTGACGGTGTCATCGCTGTCCTCCATCGAGCGAACCAGATCATGCAATGCTGCCATGATTCCTCGGCGGGTGGCATCGTCAGCTGCGCGAGCGAGCTCTTTGATCTGGCCCAAGGCGGACTCCATTGTAGCAAAGCAGCTGCTCGATTTCTCCTGCCGGCTTGCGTGAAGTGATTGTTGAAGTAGTAGGTCCGGAGGAGAAATGACACGAATCACGTTCTTTCTTATTTTGATAGATTGGTGCAGAATGAAAATTAATCAAGAACACGCTGCTAAATTCACATTGGTAACCTAGGTAGCCACCCAGAGTCACCCGGTAGTAGAGCAAACGCATTAGTCCGATTTGTATCTTGAACGCTTGAGTTCTAGACTCGTACAGCCTACGAGAGAGCGTTCACTACGATCAAGGGGGCAACCACAAGATAGAACCCAGCAAAAAGTCAATGAAACAGGAAGTCGCCTCAACTCAACAAGGCCTAATCAGCATGTGCAAAGGGATGGTAAACCAAGCACGGCAGAACATGGATAAGCTGCCGAATGTCATCAAGTTCCATATGTGGAAGATGGCAATCACAATTGAAATCGATACAAGATGACCTTCGCTGATGCCGCATTTAGACGCGCCCCTTATGGTCTCACGGAGCTATGGACAGGCAGCTGGACGAAGGGTGGAGGTTTTGGTTCACAGTGTACCAATCCCTTTGTCGCTCATCACTTGTGTTAGCTCAGCTACGCCGATGCTAGATCGCGGTGTAGCGACCGACTACTTTGGCATTATCGCTTGCACATTGAGGTATCGATGGGACATGTCGGGAAATAAACACCACACAGCGAGATTGAAATCATTATACCGGCGCTTTCGAGGAAAACAGGATTGCAGCAGCAGTAACACAGCAGACATGCTAACGCCGCCCATCAATTGAATCGTATCAGTGAGTCATGAACCGTCATAAACCAGCGAGTGCATGAGCCCTTCCCATGGATGCAACTCCCTCCTCTGCTCGTAGCAGTTGTCTTTCCATAAGCCATCGTCCTTTGCCACCCAATGGATTATGGCAAGGGCTCGTAGGAGCCAGCCTTGTGTGCCTGTCGGTTCGAGAAGAGCCAGTAGACGATCATGCCGATGACGGGGAAGAGGAAGACGACGAGACACCAGAGAATCTTGTGGGAGGGAGGGCGGTTCGACTGCAGGACCTCGACTGGGTGGCGCGTGTCAGCGGGGCGCGTCGAGGTGCAGCCAACAGGACGGCAGAGACTTACTGAAGACGATGATGTCAAGAACGAGGACAATGAACCCAATGATGCCGCCGCCGGTGCCGTACTGCCAGGCATCGCCGTGGCCAGTGGCGGTAACTTCGCCGGCGATGGGGGCTGCGAGAGCGAGGGTGGCCAGGCAGAGCTGGAAGAAGACGGTGAGGGCGTTCTGGAACATGTTCGCGATCTATTGGCGCAAGACCTAAATCCTAGGGAAGCGGAACGGTCTGAAGGGAAATCTAGAGAAGTCTTGGTCGTATGCGTAGCGAAGCTGATGAGATTGGAGTTGAGTTGAGTTGATTCGAGTTGCACCGCAGAGCAGAGGAGAAGAGAAGCCCCAAGTCAGCCCAGCATTTGAGGGGAAGCGGGCGAGTTACACGGCTGCCTGAAGTGACGTCACCGTAGCTGTCGCGTGACGGCAGGGATTCCGTTGAGGCTTTGACGCTTTGGCTGCCCCAAGAACCAGGACCAAGCCCGGGCCAATTGCTCCAGCGCCTAACTGTGCAGCAAGGCAAACAAAGACTGAAGGTCAGAGATATACCCGTAGCACACGTGTATTCTCACAATGCTTGTTGGGAGCCGCCGCAACCGGCTTCGCTGGTTTGTTCTGGAATAACCTACCAGGCGTAACTGTAACTGTATTACGGGCACAGCTACACTGGGCCGGCGCAAGTGCCAAATGCGCAATGCTCCTAGCCTAGTACCTTGTTTGTGTCTTTAGACCGGTTGGCCACGCTTATATTGTATTTCCAATGTCTGCCAATCACCTAGGCCGACCTAACAGGAGCGCGGTTACTCGCGAAATCCTTCCGCCAGACTGCTTGATGCCTCACCAGCACGCAGTTGGCGCCGAGTAATAGACCGGTGGCCTCGGGGCAATAGCGAGCCCCGTCAGTAGCTCCAGCTCCACGGTCTTGTTAGTCTGCTGTCTGTTCGCCTCTCCATCGCCTTCTGGCAGCCCCTCGACGATGAGCCGCACCAACGCCATGAAATCCTCATTTTCTGTCACAAACTCATGGAGGGCCTTGACCATCTCGTGACCGAAGCCGCCGGGTGGCAGTCGCTGCAGCCGCGTGACGGCGTCGCACAGCGCTGTGCCAACGTGTTTGAAGACACTTGCAAAGAACCCGGCCATTTTGGCTTCATCCGACCGGGCAGAGATATTTTCTGCGAACCAGTGGCCGAGCACCTGCCCCAGGGCACGATGTTGCCTTTGCAGGGCGATCAGAGCCACACGGAGCTTTGTCACCTACTCCCTGGGCACTGGCGCTTCGTCACTAGGAGGAGGGTTGAGGCTCGAGTAATCTCGAGGTGTCGGTCGCCATGGAGGATTTGGCCGCGAGAAAGGAGGTCGAGGTTCGTTCCCGCTGTTTCTGTTCGGCCCCGGAGGTCGTGGTGACCTCTGGTCAGGACTCGAAGTAAACGGAGGAGTCCGCTGGGGTTCTGCAGGCTGCCTCGCCTCCATCAGAAAATCGTAACAAGCACGGATCCGGATGTATTTTTCATGAACCTTTTTGGAAGGTCCGGCCTTGTCTGGGTGATATTTAAGAGAAAGACTTACAAAAGCTTTCCTTACTTCAATAGGACTCGCTTCGGGGCTTATGACCAGCGTTTCGTACGCCTCTTCCCGCGTTAGAGAGCGGCGGTTGGTCATCGCCACGTGTGAAAGGGAACCGCCCAAAAAAGTACCTGCAGATAGTGCAACCTTGCTCAAGATATTGTTGAGGCTAAACACGCCCCGTGAGACGTAGGGTAGCTGTGGCGACCGACTGCTAGATATAGAAGTGCATGGATCAAAAGCCTTTATTCCATCGCTCGTTGTTCTCATCAAGCGACCGAAAGAGAAGCGAATTTGAGGCGCAAAACAAAGATTTTCATGACTCAACATCGAAGGCGGGTTGGCCGATAATCGTCGATCTGAATGAGTAGCGTCTATCTGTTACGACTAATTTCGGATGCCTCCAATAACACCACACTGGGTACATCTTAAATCACTTCTGTAGGGTTTTACTTTTGTGTACTATTTCACCTGGGACATTCATTGCCTGGCAATATATAGTTTCTTCGGAATGGAGGTCCTCAAACAATGTCGTAGTGAAGAACTCTATGCGGGAGAGAGACGTACAGATCTGATATCTGCTGTGAATACACGAGATTTCATTATAAAATATTTACTCCCATAGGAAAGTATTGACGAGATTTCCGCGCAATTGTATCTATGCCAAAAGAATAACTACCAGTTGTTTTTATCAAGGCCTAATCCTTGTACAATGAGGTCAAGTCTGGGGGAAGCAGCATGCCACTCCTGGTATATTCTCTTGCCCTAGCGGAGATATCATTAAACTCTCAAGACTCATGAGCCAGACAAACTGCGTAGAATGCGAGATCAAACTACATTTCCCTTCACTTGATGAATGTCTTTGAGCTTGATATCCCGCCACATCCACGCACAGATATACGCCGCACCGAGTAGCGACACAGCAGTGATGAGCATGTATCGCTGTGCCTCTGCATATGCATAACTAATACCGACGCGAATCGGAGTTCCCACGCGGTATCCCAGCTGCACATAGATGCTGCTATATATCAGGTCAACAGGCGACCCCTCGGGCAGGTACTTTTCTAGCGCTGCTGGGAACACGCCGGTCCAGATGGCAGCAGATACAGTAGAGCCCAATGCCGTCCCGATGCTCCCAAATAGGTCCAAAACCGCGAGAATGGCTGCAATGTGCTGGTGGTCTGAGGGTGCCATCATAGCCAGCTCTGCGGATGTAACAATCGGGCCTCCGGAGAAAGCAACGAAGATTTGAGTCATGACTATCAGCCCAATATCTGAATAGGGCTGGCGGAACTGGATCATTAGGCCGACCCCAAGAAGCATCAGGGGTAGTGCGAAATACACAGCAACCCACTTGAATCTCCCCGTCCAACGCATGAAGAAGCCGAGGACCAACGCGGAGAAGCAGGAACCGACGCGATAAATGTTGCTTATGTAAGTCGCCTTGGTGAGTGACTGATTCCAGACCACCATGAGCATCGAGTTGAAGTAGGCACCCCAGACGGCCGAGTTGAAAAAGACGAACACCAACATCAGACCCGCAAAGAACACAGTACGATCTAGGAGCAAATGCATTGGTATGAAGCTCACTGGGGCCCAAAATCGCTCGTACAGCGCGAAGGCAATTATGAGAAGGCCGCCGACGACGGTCATGGAGATGATCATCGGTGATTTCCATCCAAGGCTCTGGTATGAGTAAATGTTCATAGGCAGGAGGAACAACGCCATTCCTGCGGCTAAGATCAAAACTCCCAGGAGGTCGAATTCGATCGCCAACCTCTTGATGTCTTTGATTTTCAGGGACTTTTTGGCCGTCTCTGGCACCAGCCCCATTTTCTTGGCTTTGCGTTGGTTCCACATGAACAAGACGATGAACGGAATGACCACAGCTGGGACAATGATGGCGAAAACACCGAAACCCCATCGCCAGCCTGGGCCAGCCATGAAGGCATCGGCCATAGGACCACCAATCCAAGTCGTGACGATATAGGGAGAAGTGGCAAATGAGAGCATGAGGGCTCGGTTTTTGAGTGCCGATGTATCTGCGACGAATACTGTGAGGCAGTAGCTTACGCCCTGCGCACTATTCATCGTATCAGTATGCCGTTACTACAGGTATCCCACCTCACAATGACGGGCGGCACGCTTACCCAACCGTGGAAAATACTAGCGCAGCGGCGTACGTTTCGACGTTTCTGCAAGCCGCCATCATGATGAACCCGATCACCCAGAAAAACAACATCAGAGAGATACCCTGCGGCCGGCCCCATATGTCGATAATTTTCGCTAACGGGATTTTCGACAGCCCTCCAATTATACTCGAGAAGACGGTAGATGTGGCGGTGAGCGAATGGAGCGCGAAGCTGCTCGTGACAAAGGGATTCAGCGCTCGGACGACGACCTCGTTGATAGATGTTACGAAGTATATCAGCCATATTCTATGTCACTCGTTAGCATGAATGCATTGAAGTATGTGGAGAATTCGTACAGGCCATAGGCGGCGATCAGGTCCCATTTCCCCCAAACACCGGCGGCTGCCTCGATGGCCTGAACACCATGTTGCGCGTTGGAAGTGACGATGGCATCTTTCTCCTCCTGCTGATTGTCGGACTCAGGCTGGTTACCACCACTAATGCGCAGACCAGTATCCGTGTCCGAGGTCTCGCGAGAGTTCTCCATACTGATGGAGGCTGGTTCAATAGCGACAGGTTTTTCTCCAAGATCTGGTCGACCTTGTCAGTGGACTGTAGTCCTGTACTTTGATCCAAGTCCAACAAAAGAACTTTAGCCAAGAAGCACTTTCTCTGGGTTGAGGCTGATTGCGAATACGGATTTACCAGAGGGTGGGGATCTCCTCGCTGCATACCCATTGCAGCAGGTTCCGATTGCTAAGGGGGTCATCGGGTTCCGGTCGGCCCATGGCTCGCAACGATCAGGCGGCCTTTCGCTGCAGTGAAGATAATTGCCACTTCGCCCAGAACACTAGTCGAAAGGGTGGCGGCAAAATTGACCGGAAGTGCATGCTTCCTCAGCCACCCATGTCGCAGGGGGTGATCTGATAAGATTAGATCCGAGGTATGTATCCTATGTGGGTTCGCAGCTCACCCCTGGGTACGGTACGGCGGAATTCGGGCTTCTGGTCATTGGACATGTATGCCAAGCCTGGTATCTGCAGAGCCAAGTACTTTAAGTCAAGGGACAGCCCAAAAAGGCCGCGAAAAGCCTACCTGGTTACCACAACGGTATATTCTCGTCAATAGTTCCTCACCGAAACAGTCTTCGCCATGAAGTCTTCTGTGGCTGTTATCGCTCTCGCCGGCGCTGCAGCGGCCGGTAGCATTGGAGACTTCGTTCCCAAATGCGCAGTGGGATGTCTCGAGGACGGTGTCAAGTCTGCTACTCCTTGCGCCGTTGATGACCTCAACTGTGTCTGTATTGCAGACAACTACCGCAACACTTACACCGCCGCGGTCTCCTGCGTTCTTCAATCGTGCGGTTCCGATACTGCAGTTGGTAAGTACTTGCTGTTGTGGCCGCCTTGAGAGAGGTCCCTCTCCAATCAACCCTCATTTGTTAACTTGATTGCAGGCGAAGTTCTGCCCGGTGCTGCACACATGTGTGAAGTCGTACTGTCTTCAACCTTCAGCAGCGCCAATACTGTCACTGCAGGCCCAACATCGACTACCGCTACGACGGCAGTGACTGCTTCTACTACTGACGAGGGCGGATTCTCCATTCAAACTCAGACTACAGCGGTTCCGTCCACATCTCGTAGCTCGGCTGCTGGCAGCGACGGCACTTCTACTGCGCCAACCCCTACGAGCAGCACTGCTGCAGCTGGCGCCTCCACTGCTCAAGCTGGTTTTGGGACCTTGTCTTGGATGTTACTGGCTGCGCTGGCATTGATCTAGGTCACACTACCTTGAGAGGAATTCTGTGCAGGGGTTTGGGCTGGGGAGAAATGTTCCGGGATCGGGTTCTTCGACCCGAAATAATAAACATAGACCGCAGCGGCTTCGGATACACCTCAAATTTCTAGCCTGATATGGAACATATTCAGTTGTTTAGGCAGCATTGCCGTACAAATGTGTGGGAATCGCATGTGACAAACATCTCGGCTGCCGCTGCGGAATTAATCAGGCATGACCCGACACAATGCGGAAATTTGGGCCTTATACAGCGGATCAGTGTGAATGTGAAGCTTGAACGTCAGAGAGGCATGGGCTCGGCTACGGCGTGAACTGACTCGTCAACGGTGAATGGAGAGTGGCGGCAACATGCCCTACAACAATGAGATGCAATAGCACCATTGCAGTGTTACGATAATGTGACGGTGGCTTGGGTGGCTGCGGCCAGAACATCCGAGAAAGGGAGCTGTCCACGATCAGCTGCACTAACATAACATTAGTCCAGGGTCGTCAAAGCTTGGTGCTCCCAGGATCAGATAAATTTTTCAGCTCAGCCGACCTAGTGCGTGTTAGAGTTATCTGATCGCGCTAATGCAGCTGCCATATGCATATGCATGTTCTAGTCTCGTCTTGGCAATCCCCGTTTCTCTCCCTCCGATCCAGTCCGAGTCCCGAGGGCGCTAGCTTGGTGCGTCCATCCGTTATTGGCACGGGAGAGCTATTGGAACAAGTTCTTCACACATGCAATAAAGCAGTCATCCGCCGCAGAGATTTTCTGATAGTTTCATCGGTTGCCGCTATGTGATTCCGAAGCCGGCTGAATGCCCGGACTTTGTTGTTGCTGCTGCTTTACGCTCGGTCAATAGTTCAGTCTGGTCCGTGTTATATTGTGTTTCTCTTCCGATGCCATGCGACAGGGCCTGGGAAATGCAATAGCTGGAATAATTGGAACCTTTCTTGCCTACCTAAGGTACGCATAACCATGGCGGCCAAATCGAATGGCAGCAATATAACGAACGCCTTCAAGATCCTGATTGCTGGAGGCTGCTATTCTGGTCTTGCCGCGGCGATCACTATTCTAGAGAGGTGTGATACATCCTCGCCGCCGGTCCCCGTGGAAATTGTCATAGTCGATGAGCGCGATGGCTTCTGTACGATATCAAGCTGGGGATCTACAAGGAATATGCTGACTGGTGTCTAGATCATGTCATTGGCACGCCCTTGGCTCTAGCTGATAAGGCTTACGCCGAAAAGGCTTGGGTTGAGTTTCGTCACATCAAGATTCTGCAAAGACCGGATGTCAAATTCATCCACGGAAGTCTTCAAAGCATCAGCTGCGATCTCCTGGAGGCTACTATTATCCAAGGCGATACAAAGATCCTGGAGAGATATGACTTCTTTGTAGGCGCCACCGGACTAAGGAGAGTGTGGCCAGTAGTCCCCCAGGGACTGAATCGTGTCGATTACCTAGCAGAAGCTGGGAAACATATTGATGCTATCACCAAAAGCTCTCATTCTGTTCTGGTGATCGGAGGGGGTGAGTTCTTGAACTCTGGGTTTCGACGTCAGCTAACGTTTGACAAGGCGCCGTTGGTATCGAAATGGCTGCCGAGTTGAAGATATGCTACCCTTATATTAGGGTCATATTGGCCCATTCGAGAGACAAGCTGCTATCATCGGAACCTTTGCCGGATACTTTCAAAGACCGGTCGCTGAAGCTTCTTAGGGACGCCGGAGTGGAAGTGATGCTGAAATGCAGGCTTGTGAACAACAAGAGAGTTGCCGGCGGTCAAGAGGTGGACTTCTCAAACGGAGACCGTCTGACTGCGAGTGTCGTGATAATGGCCATTTCGAGAAGTGTGCCCTCAACCACGTTCCTGCCGAAAGAGTCGTTAACCGAGGAGGGCTATGTCAACGTAACTCCTTCTCTGCAACTAGCCGCCACCGTTCCGAACTCGAGCGTACATTTTGCAGCAGGAGACATGATTAATTGGTCGGGGATCAAAAGATGTGGCTCCGCTATGCACATGGGGAAACTTGTGGGATTCAACGTTTGCCAACTCATTCAACAGAAGGTTTCGAAAGCGGCAAAGGCGCCAAAGTTAAAGGAGCTCAGCAATATCCCACCAATGATTACTGTAGCCATCGGCAAATCAGCAGCCTCGTACGGGCCTTTAGGTGTTAAGTCAGGCAAGAGAACTATGCGCCTCTTCTTCGAGCAAGATCTTGGATTCAGAAGTGAGTACTCAAAAATGCTAACATCCATCAGATGAACAGAATTGACATCTCCATAGTTATATGGGATTACCTCCGACTTGGATGTGAGCCAGGTTCGCTGGTAACCTGGAAACAATCTGCTGCAAATATCCTAGTGTACCTGATACCCGAGGCCAGGTCTGTTTGGACGAAGCTGGCGAGGAGTTGATGTTGAGCTTGTATTTGCAGTATATTAGACCTAGACCAACGATAGCATTTCAATATGTGCAGGCAACTGAATGCGCTCCCCTAAGTTAGTAGAGGTTGGTGCTGCCCACCCTCATTTGCTGTTTCACTCGATTGATACAATTTTTCGTGTTATTCGATATTTGACAATCACCATTCGGACTAAATAGGATTTCAGTCAAGATCCAGTGGGCAATACCAGTGCCAAAGCACCCACCATTTGATGCTTCCGAAACTGGAAGGACGGACGTTATTTTACCCTGCACCCAATCTTGTCTCGCCACCTCGGTCTGTGTTCCTTGGCAAGACTCGGCTAGCAAGAGCCGAGTGGTTTCACTAGTTTCAATTGGTCACTTACCCAACGACATGGCCGTGATGTGTCACATTCGGGATCTCACAAGTACCTAGGCATAGTGCACGTGTGGGCAGGAAACAGACTCGTAAATATTTGAAAACGCCACAAGTAGCACTAGTTAGCTGGTACAGTAATCCAGCTCCACGGCTTCTCCACCACTATGACCTCGCTAAACTTCTCAGCTTCTGTGCTAGTCATGAGTGGATCAACCCTGTCAACATTTTCACAACCCGCGAAATCAGGCCACCGAGAACAGGGATATGTGACCCGGAACCCGTCGACAGGCCTGGCTTCTCGAAGTCCGGGTAGCCCCTCTCACGCCACTGGTCAAAAGTCATGTTTGCGTAAGATGGCATTCGCACCATCAGGGGGACTTCGATGTCTTCATCTGTTCCCAAGACTTCTTTCTTGTGGACGATCTTCTCTTTCAGCGTTACAAATCCCATTTTCTTATAGAGTGGCATCGTGGTCGGGGAAGATTCTAGGTATATAGGGAGGTTTGATCTGTCGCAGAGATCGATACCCCACTCTATCAGTGCCCTGGCAGCACCACGACGCTGATAGGACGGGTGAACAGCAATGACATGGACATCTGTCGATTAGTCAGGAGAGTCTCTTGGTCGTTTGCAGCTGGGATCTTACAAATATGGCGGGCACCTCCAAATAGCCTTTCTCGCATCTCGGCCAAGGGGCCAATGACTTTCTCCGCTCTTTCCCGATCTTTGCCCTCAAGCCAGGGGATGCCTGTAAACTGCCGTTCCTCTGGCGTTCGCTCTCGCAGGATGATATCGCCAAGTGCCATACCCATCACATCTCCGCTATGGTTGTCGACGCACTTGAACGTGTACTGGGAGTCGGCAGAATGCCAATATGCCAAGGTCCCAGCAGTATGGTTTTTCCGGAAGTCTTCAGCATCCATGATGCCCCCGGGAAAGATAATATCGACCATTATGCGCGCCATCTTTTCGTTCAGGAAGGATGCGAAATAGACATCGTAAACACTTTTGATGTCCGGAATTAGGGCTGGTAGGACCACGGGGTAACTCTTCGAGTGCTTTGTCTCCTCCATAATGATACTAGAATAGAAAGTGGTATGTTGTGTGCAGGAGCATCGGGCAGGGCAACGGCAACTTGACGGTACTATATGTAATCGACAACCATGGTGGCGCTCACAAAAAGCCACGTCCTGACTCCGAGTTGATACGAAGCCTCCCGTGACACCACCTATGTTGCTTCCACTGCAGATGCAGGGTTGACATGATCGGTCAGTTTTAAGTTATCTGATCCGAGGCTCCGCAAGCGAGCTTGATTCGGTATCCTTACCAAAAACGGCGCGTGGGCGTCTTCGCTAATTAGCAGCTGAGATTGCCTCTGCCGTTGAATACCCACCATCATGCACAAAGGGCTCTCCGAGTTGCACCCCGGATACAGTAGGTGGCCAATGGGGGGGAAGAATTGTCCGCTGGAACTTTTTTTGGTTTCCGCACTTCCCATGGCCATTAAGGACTGTATCAAGGCGAGAAATTTGAATGCGACCTGTGGGCCTAGTTTACTAAGATTATTACAAGTAGGGGCCCGAAAAGGTCACTGTGCGTCAGTAATAGCATGTGAACGGTTTGTTACTTTTGTAGTCATTCTGCGCGGCTACACTTGAATCCTTTCGCCAATGGATTCTCCGTGTCGTACCGATCAACGCTAGGGCAGCAAATGTGCTCATAAATCGGTCAAGAGATGTGATATAAGTGAAGGACACCACAAAAGTGAGTCCCTTAGGCGGCAAAACGTTCCCACGGCTATTGCGATCAGCTTTGCCTTTCGCCCTGCCGCCTTCTCCGCAAGGCTGCGCAAGCATTGTAGGTTGTGGTAGCATTGCTCATGATTGGAGTGCATCAAAAATACACTGGTGATCAACCGGGGCTCGAGTACAAATCGCCCACGTGAGTAAGAGATTGACAAGAGCAGTGAGTGAATCGATGGAGCAAGTTGTAGCAGCCTCAGCTGGTTCCAGACGACCTCGAGTTCCTAGCTTACCGCTAACTTGCCGCTAACTTACCGCTAACTTACCTAGGTATGGTGCTCCCCCCGCTTTTGAGCTAGCGCAGCTGAAGATGGATCCCCCACGGACCCCACCTGTCAGCTCGAGGCTGGCCCGAGGGACGGAGAGTCGTGGTCGCGCGACGGATGGGGCACCAGCAATGCATTCAAGCTCTAGATGCCAACAGTTCCACTGGATTGCACAGGGAAGAGGTGAGGTGAGGCGCATGTTCCTTTCAACTCCCGCGTTTGTGGGTTTGGTTGTTATGCTGACGCCTGATGCACTAGAGCTGTCAACCCTGATAGTCTCGCACGTCGCATGCTGACTGAATAGAGGCAGAGGACGGTTCACCCATTGACCCAACAACTTCATCGCCTTGGGTGAATCGTGCCGTAAGTCAAACGTCAGGGTAACTTAGCGAGCTCTATCAACGTGGCCTGTTCGAGAAACATTCCGGGACGGGCAATCGATTACCTCATTGCTACTTCCGGGGCCTTGGAACTCGGCGTCGGCGTGATTGGTACCTGTAGGCATCATGGATTCTCAACGGAAACAGGCCACCAGAATCTACGTATTTGCCATAACGATTATCACAGTCTCGGCCCTTGCCCTCATGGTAGATGTCTTCTACAAAGAAACGGGAGTTCTAAGTGTCCGCCAAAAGACCATCGGAGTGGTCCTGGTGCTGTTCGCCGTATACACTCAGACATTATTGCGTGCAGAACATGTTTATCACACGAAGATGACCCAGAGCGGCTGCAAACCAATTAATACATATAGAAATAACCCCCTCGGCATCCCGTTTCTACTGGAGTCAGGCAAGGCCCTGAAAGCAAACAGATTCCTCCAGCTCCGCGCTGAGCAACTGCAGATATGGGGTCGGACATTTCAGACCAGACTGTTCCCAGAGACCGCCATGACAATAATTACAGACGATCCTGATAACTTGAAAACCATACTTAGTACCAGATTTGAGGACTGGATCATTCCAGAACAACGCATCAAGGGCTTCTTACCAGTACTAGGGTCTCACTCGATATTTACTACTAATGGCCCCGAATGGCAGCATTCTCGGGCCATGCTTCGGCCTGCATTTGTCAGAGATCAAATATCGGACCTCGAATGCTTTGATAAGCATATAAAAAAGCTCACCAAGCGGATTCCCAGAGATGGTACCCGCTTTGACCTCCAAGCCATGTTTGCGATGCTCACAATCGATTCGATCTCCGACTTCATGTTCGGACGGTCAACCGATGTTCTTGGTACTGCGGCAGAACGCGATGTCAAATTTGGCACCTGGTTCGACGCGTCAATCGTGAAGATCGCCTGGCGCGCCCGTCTTGGGTGGGTCACACAAGTATTCCCGGATTCTGAATTCAACAAGTATGCACAGTTTGTCCATCGTTATGTTGATGAACTCGTTGAGGCTCGGAAAGGCTACCTATCCACGAATCCAAACACCAGCGAAGGTAGAAGATATGTCTTTCTGGACGAGTTGCTGCGGGCAGGGGAGCCGGACGAGGTTATTCGTAGTCAGCTACTCAGCATCTTCCTAGCTGGGCGTGACACGACTACGAGCGTTTTGACCTATATGTTTCTGAAGCTCTCTCAGAGACCTGAAGTCGTTGGTAGAATTCGGAACGAAATTAGAGATTTGGGTGTGGTTGACCCAACCTGGGAACAACTGAAGAACTTGAAGTATCTGAACTGGGTGGTCAAGGAGTCCTTGAGGCTCAATCCGCCAGTACCGAGCAACGCCAGAGAGGCAATACGAGACACCATCCTTCCTAGAGGTGGAGGACCCGATGGAAAGTCTCCCATTTTCATTCCTAAAGGTTCAGTCTGCCGCTATGGAGTTTGGACAATGCAGCGACGTCACGATTTGTATGGAGATGATGCGCATGATTTTCGACCGGAGCGATGGGAATCTCTCAAAGTTGGGTAAGTCAATCAGGACCTTTCATCTCGATTGCCCTAATAGTTTTGCGCAGTTTCGAGTACCTGCCCTTCAACGGTGGCCCACGAATATGTGAGTACATTGTCAGGGTACGGCAAGAAAACTGTCTCACTCTTGGCATTAGGCATTGGTCAACAATTTGCACTTACCCAGATGGCCATGGTAGCATTTCGACTGCTCCAAGCCTTTAAATACATTGAAAGGAAAGACGAACGACCTCCAGTTTTGAAGGTGGCCATAAACTCATCCTTGCTACATGGGTGTTGGGTCAGTATGACACCAGCGTAAGTTTACACGGTTTGAAGTATCCGCAGGTCAACGGATAGCGCGCCCATGAAACTATCCCTCTCACGAGTTCCGGGACTACTGCCGATTGACTTGGTTTCTCATATAATCACTACCAAGAATTATAACAATTTGAACTACCCTTGAGGAGAATTGAGTCAAATTATTAATTATGCTATCTATATTATATTTGAAAACGTTCCCAATGTCGGACCCGCCGACTGCGAGCGGAGCTTGCATAGATTCCCCCTGTCTGAGCTTGGAGGAATGGGTCACCACTTGGTTTTGCACACATGTAAACGCTTTCAGGTGCCTTGTTATGATCCTAATCTTTGGATGATAAATTGCTGAATTGCAAAATGCGACATCATTTTCTACTCGAGGAGAGCCCCGGCAGTCTAGTTGTCGAGGTTGATTTTGATGCAGGGTGTCTAGCAGACGACGACACTTTTCCAGCCACTCTGCGCAATGGATGTTCAGCAGGTGTGCTCTGCCTCCTTGATAATGGGGATGGATCGTGGGTCGGCAAGCCGCTGGCTGCGATGGGAGACTTCTTTTTCGCCTTGTTGGTCGCAGGGTCTTCAGGGTTGGCACGTCGGGTGGACGAAGCTAATTTGGCTTTGGATGCCTCCTGTGCTTTCTGTAACGTCTGAACGGTTTGTGTAAAATCACTTTTGAGAGGACTGACATTGACAAACATCAAGGTCTTACAGTCTTTACTGAAACAGGGCCGCAAGACCTTCGTAAGGGTTGAGTCGAACGATAGTTGCGTGCCTTGGCCAAGTGACGTGATGAGCCGGTTCAAGGATGTCAGCGACTGATTGATGGTAATTCCTTCACGCAACTGCTCCCCTTCTGCCCCAGATTGCGCAGCCCGCTCACTCCCAGCCAGGTCAACGAGATTCAGAAGGCCAGAGTCTATTGTACCCTTGCGTTTCCCTTCGAGCGTCTCTCTGGTGGTTTTCAATAACAACAAGAGATGCGACCGCGACGAGTAATCATTGAGATTCGTAGTCCCAACGGCTCGACTTCTCGAAGCCTTCTCTAACATCTCATTGGCTTCAACCCAGCTGTCAATGGGATTCCACTGGGCCTGGTCTATGCGTATCTTGGTTTTCTGGCCGCCCTTGGGAGATATCAAAAGGTCAAATATATCGTCCTTGTATATTTCCACCAATGATAATTCAAAGCTATACCGAAATAACCGGGGCTGGTCATGCACCGCACGGAACATAGTACCCAGGGCTTGTGGTATAATACCATCTAGAGGAGTGAGCTCGTCGGCAGATTCCCGATGACTCATAGTAAAAGTCTTGCCGGAACCGCTTTGGCCATAGCAAAATATGGCGACTTTCCCACCCATTAGGGAGTTCTGAACCAAGTCACGGATTTCGCCATACACAGATTCGTTTGAATCATCCGGACCAAAAACTCGTTCAAAGTCGAACTGTTTTGTGTCCGTGACCATTTCGCCGGTAACTCGCTGCCTTGGGACAGGGAGAAGCATCTTGGCCCAATTGTTGGACAATTGACCTCGCTCAGGGGGGCCAAAGTCAACGAGATCATCTGCACTCACGTCCTTCAAGCTAGGTCTGATCCTACACATCACACGTATGTTTCCTTTGAGAATCTGAATATACTCGAAAAGCCGCCGGCATCTCTCCTGTTCGTCCTCAACCTGTTGCGATAGCATGGACTCAATTTGCTCTCTGGCAGACGTTGATGCCTCGAACTCCGCTTGCCAATGAGCTTCTGCTGCTTTTCTTTCAACGTTGATAGCCTGAATCTGTGCCTCGAATTTCTGTCTCTGAGTTTCTAAAATTTCTCGTAGCCTGTTGTCTCGTCGGTCGGACTGGGTAGGACTGGCAAATTGATTACCGGATAGGGATGCTGTCGAACTACCCGCTTGACTTTTCAAGCGATTTTGAAATGAATTCAAGTCCCGGTGCAAGATTTTTATCGTTGATTTCATGTCGATCGAAGCATGCTTCACTTCTTCAATACCGTTGAACAGTGCTGTTTTCTCGTCAAATATGAGGGCGTGAATACTTTCTGCAAGCTTTTTCGTGGTGTCACGGATGTGCTCAACCTTCTCGTCAACCTCTCGGGCGTCCTTGCAGGGACGATCGGAGATCGTGCTGACAGATTGCTGGAGCGAGGAGAGCTGAGACTCAATCCATGCCATCCTGTTATTGCTGGTGTTCTCCATATTGCCGAAAACCAACGGATCCATTGCGAACATACCAAAACGGTACCTGTGACAGTGACGGAAAAGTTTGACGTCCTGGTGAGGAACCAACTGCTGTCTATCCCAAGTTGTTCCGGAAACAGATCGGGGTGTCCACATGCTTAAATCTTTGCAAGGGAGACCCTACACACTGAAAGAAAAATTCGTCTTTGTGTATTCTTTGTCCCATATTTACTTAAGAGATAACAATGGTGGTATTAGAGACAAAGGGAGCCTTCTTGGTTTAATATCTCTATTTTATAAATGAATGGTTAACGTCGGAAAAAGAATTGCCTTGTTGTGAGCTATACTACATCGTTATCTCTACTTTAAGTTCGAAGGCTTTGATGTGCATTCCTACAGAGGTACGGTGGATTAACACCATCGGTGTGCACCGGAAGTCGATTTCATGATTCGGGATGCCCTTTTCAGTATAAACCTTATCTGACATGTCTTAATGGGTGACAAGTCTCTTCCGTCTCAATATGGTTGTGTAACCTGATTCATCCCGTAAATACATTCATAACAGTGTTGAATGATTGAAGAACCAAGTGCTGAATATTTGCTCTATAACATGTCTTAAGTCATTAAAACAAAAAAGGGGCAAAGGAAGGGGCGTGACAAATATGGGTTTGAAGCCACTAAACCAACTCGATCCAATCATTTAAGAATCAGCACTTGAGTAGGCCAATGCCTGGCGAACACTGACAAGGTTCCACAGTCCGTTCGTCAGGTGCAGGACACCCGGGATCACAGGCCAGGACGGCATGTGGGGTTCACAACTCGGAACCTTTGGTGGGACCAGCAGGGCTATGGCGGCCATACCGCAGGCAATTGCTGAGCCCCCAGATATTTCCAAACCTCGACCACCCTTTGGACATCTCGTATGGTCGAATATCGGCACCATGTCGGGATTGACTTGGCAACGGCGTAGTTGGAATGCCAGTATCCAGAAGGCTCTTTTTAACGTCCTCAACCTTCGCGGGAGAAAAGGACTCCAATGCTTTCGCTTCCTCCATTGAGGCTTCTTGGATGTGATCGACATGTAACCGTTTCCCCTCCATCGTGATGCAGCTCCAGCTGGATTCATGTATCCAGAAAGGAGTGATGAGGCCTCCTTTAATAATCAAGTTCCCTTTCGCACCGCAAACGAGACAGCCGATTTCATTATTAGGCCCTCCAAGAAAGTCAAACTTTGCGAGATGACAGTACGGACAGGCTCCGTCCGGCTGAGGACCGAGATATTCGGCATCATCGAACTTCTTGCCCAGCTGGCTAGCAACATGTCTGCCCAGCTGTTTCGCGCGCTCAATCGCCTTGCCGCCATTCTTGTAGATGACGGATCCAGGACTTGCGTATCCATTCAATACGACCTGGTCAACCACTTTCCCATGGATTGGATATACGAATTGGTGCAGGGTCGGCAGCGCCATTGTGACATGTTCCATCTGCGATGATCCCGCGACAGCTAAGAACCCCACCACTCTGGGATTCAGGACGCGGGAGTCCACTGGATGGTTTTTGAACTTTGGATCACCGGCTTTCTTGCGTTCCAAGACACGCTGAACAAAAGCGGCGTCAGTAAATGGTCCCAGGATGCGGTCCGTAACGGCTTTTAGGAAGCCAGGTGGCTGATGAGAATACACAGGAGTTGCAAATATGATGGCGTCCGCATCCAGGATAGCATCGAGTACGGCGCGCCTGTCATCTGCAAAGAAATCTTCGGATGATATACCGGCTTTCATTGACACTACATTGCCGAGCGACACATCAGCGGCGGATGCCAATGGCTTGGGATTTCGCGGGATAACCACTGACGGCACGTGGATCCACGAAGCGGTCACAGGCTCAGACGTTGAGGTTTGGATTTCTTGAAGTGCGGCTTTGAGAAGGATTTCTGAATTTCCTCGAATGCTGCCATTGCACAGTCCGAGAACGCGGAACGGGCGGTGGCTCATTGTGCTATGTTTGCCAATGGACATGGTCTCCGGGCAAGCCATTGGATAAGCTGCAAATGCAAATTGTACCGCTCAACGAAAGGCCGAACTCAGAAGTACCGGTTAGGACAAGGGCGAGGTGTCAGCATGCACTCTCCGGATTGACTTTCCATGGTTCAGATCACAGTCTTCAATGGGTCTCGTAGCAATAAATGTAGGATACAGAATATAAGAAGGACGCCGTACATGTCACAAGCAATCTGGCTATTCATGTTGATAGAACAGCCTGACTCCTTGCACCCTGGCAAACGGTCCAATGGACTTGTGTATCATGTATGCATTCTAATCCTTGCTAGAAACTTGTCGGGCTACCCCATTGCAACCCTGCATCGTGCGTGGCTACCGTGGCTACGCAAAGAAGCAGTCGATGGTATTCAAAGTCCCGAACCCACATTCTACTATTGGCACTGTCGCCCGATATCTATGGACATGAGATTGCCTATCGTTTGAAGTAACGAGTAAAAGTGTTCCTGAGCTGTTCCTCTTTGGGTAATAATTCTCATTGGTTGGTTATCGAGACCCAAACTTTTAGCTACATGTTCTCACCCCGGTTGTGAGTGCGCCACTGGCTCTTGCATTGCCTAATACATCATTACATTCATATGGTCTAGATACGGGCCGGAATGCGCCAAGACTCCCAATCTCCCAAGTATACCTAGCTTCAGCCTGTGTAAACTCACGTTTCTTAGTACGGTAACAAAAGTATACAATCTTGTATACACCGTATAGCCACATGCCTAGGTCAATATGGTTGGGTGCGAAGTGGCTTCGAAACGACATTGCTGTCATCGGACATGAATTCTAATCTGACTGTCATGGCTCGGATCTTACAGTACAATCACACTGCAGACGGCAATCGATTATCCCTACTATTCCGTTTACTCTATCAAGTAGATAACGACGGGCTCTAAGTACGAGTAATAGACAATGAGCTCTGCGTGAAGTATCCGGTTCATCCATTCGGCACAAGTCTCCGAATCGACACATCAACCGAGATAGGACAGCTAGCTAAAGCCATTGCCGATCGTATTAGGCAGCTCATTAGATTACTATCGCCTATTTTCAGACTGCTATATTTACAAGCTGCCGCCGCAAGCCCATCTGGAGTCAATTCTATGCTAGGGCCGCGTAAGCATTGATGATGTGCTCGGCGATCTGGCCCCTGGAAATGTATGCACGATTGCGGGTGGGGCCTCTCCCGTGTGGGGGCCAGCCGGCAAGCCTGGCTTGAGTCTCAGGTGCACCGTCGCCCTCAACAGCAATGATAACACTATTGAAACGTAGTTGATCTCTTTCCATATTACGCGTCTAAAGTTCTGCTATTCGACTGGTGCGACCGTCATTTTTATTGACTCGTGCCTTGACTTCAGTTGCAATTCAGCGGTCAAGGATATGCCCACATCCCTACCCCTGCAGATAACACCACCACCGTAGTGGGGTGTAGGTACATGCCTTGAAACACGGGAACCCTAATGTATGAATTCGCCATGGCGCCTATACATGACCATGTAATGTACACGGATGTTCTTGTAGCTTTGTATGGGGCGTGACTGTGATTAGGGGCGCTGGCACCCACAGAGAAGGACTGTTTCCATATCTCTGGTCGAGTTCACTTGTTGTAATGTTGCAAGAATCCTCCTGCCAGCTTAGGGAGGCGTATGGAGTTGCATACGTGTGTGCCCTCATCCCGTATTATTCCGGTGGTACAACATCCACAGGTACCTTGACAGAGAAGATTAGATATCCATGGAATTGAGCTTGCTTGCGAATAGAGTTCGTTGATACTGATAGGGATTCACGTTGGGGTTTCCTTCATGATTTTGTGCTCCATACCTGGAATTTCCTTATTTACTTGCTAATAACCACCCACTCAAATCTCCTTCACTATAGTTATCAACGTACTCCTTGATACAGCTTGACGACATGACAGCGAACGACAGTGTGGCAACTGATGATGCCTCTCAACAGGTGGCGAGTGGCATCAACTACCTGACCCCTACAATGGCGGATGCACCCATGCCGGATATGGCTGGTAACGGTACCTCAGATCCACATCATTGAACGGTGGCTAAAACTATGCTGTAGCATCTAACGGCATCCAGTCAACAGGTATATCCGCTGAGGACAGTCCGAAAGGAGAGAAAAACAATGAAAGGGCTTCTCATACTGTTGGTTTCAACAATCCAAAGCAATTAAGCGAGAGACGACCACGCAAAGCAATATGGTAGCTGACGGTTATTCTCAGAGCGCACAGAAAGATTCCACCAAGCCTTTGCTTGTACTGACGGCACCCCCGGTGATGGGCCACACAACACCTCTCCTTCGTCTTTCTAAGGCGTTAGTCAAGAGAGGTTTCCAAATCCTCTTCATGTCCGCTCTGGAATTCAAGAACGCCATCGAGAAGACCGGGGCCGAATTCTACGAGTCCAAAACACCTTTCGCCGACCCTTCATATCTAGGTTCCCGACATAAGTTGCCGCCAGGTCTGCCCACTCTAATGGCCGATATGGAAAACATGTTCATCAAGCAAATGGCACCACGAAGTTTAGAACTTCGTTCGCTGCTTGAACTGATCCGGGAGCGAGAGCCCTCTCGGAAAGTTGTATTGATAACCGAGACCATGTCTCTGGCCCCGCTTCCCTTTATATTTGGCGCGCCATTGCCGAAGGGATATACCAAGTTTCCAAAGACCATCAACATCAACACAGTTCCCATAATGCTTCTGAGTGTTGACACTGGGATCACGGGACCATGTCTGCCGCCCGATTCTACCGATTCAGGCCGCGCAAGGAACAAAATCATAAACGAAATGCTAGTGAGAGGCCCATTCGGGGGGACCGACAAGGTCTTTCATCAAACTTTGAAAGAGCTTGGATGCACGTCGTTGCCTAAAGTGTTCTTCCAGAATGCCTGGCTGGATTCGTACGACACCACATTTCAGCTGTGTGTCCCCAGCCTCGAATACCCGCGATCTGACCTTCACCTTTCGATTCGTTTCTGTGGAGCTCTTCCAAAAGGGGAGATCGATCCAAACTTCCAGTATCCCTCCTGGTGGTCTGAGATTCAATCGAATGCCGTGCTGCCTGCAGACAGCCGAAAGAAGGTCGTTGCCGTTGCGCAGGGCACGGTCGCCCTTGACTATGCAGATTTGATCCTTCCAACACTGAAGGGCCTTGCCGAACGGCCAGACGTCATTGTAGTTTGTATTCTGGGAGTCAGAGGTGCTACGATCCACGGAGAAAACGGGTTCGAAGTCCCAGCCAACGCCCGAGTGGTCGACTTTCTACCATATGACTCCATACTTGAGTATGCCGACATATTCATTACAAACGGGGGATACGGTGGCCTGGCCCATGGTGTGTTGAATGGTGTGCCCATGATTTTAGCTGGCACTAGCGAGGACAAGGCCGAGGTGTGTGCGAGAGGTGCTTACGCTGGGTTTGCAATCAATTTGAAGGTACAAAGGCCCACGGGTGAACAGATCTTGGAAGCAAGCAACAAGATCTTCACGGACCCAGCCTTCAAGCATACCGCATTGAGACTTATGCAGGATAACGAGGATTTGGACGCTATCTCTATAATCGAGCGGCAGATCCTGAAGCACGCGAACACAGTTTGATTTTCCTAGATTCATCAGAAGGCTTTATAAATGCACGACTCTATTGCGAACATATAATAGTGATTTTTGCAAAGAGAGTACGCAATACAAGGAAGAAAATACTTGACTATAACTCTTATCTGTGCTAAAGTAGCGAGCCATGATGCCGAATCCACATGGACTGTGACCGGAGGACTGAATATATTGTGATCTGCATCACAACTAAAAGTGCAGGTATCTTAGCTCCGAGGTCTCCATTTCGAATAGGGGCAGGGTTCATGAATTGCATACATACCGAGAGACGGATTTGATTCAAATGACGGACAAGAAATTTCTATAACGCAATCTTCAATGCATTGAATTGCTAAACATGGGAAACCATTCTGCATTGCTTTCTACAGTAAATCCATTTTTACCAGCAGCCTATTAGCATGCGACTTTCACTGCACCAAACCGTTTGGCCGTCGCAACTCTCATCCGTTTTCCGTATATCCACAAAGGAACAGTCAGCAATGAGAAGAGTCCCATTAACAGAGCAAAAATTCCAAACGGTTCGGCGGCTCCACGTTCTTGGGTCCACTCTGCGACGAAGAAGGACCAGGCGAATCCTACAACAGCGCGCAGAATCGCGGCAATCACGAAGCAATCCGCCGCTAGATACGAGTATGCATCGATCAACTTTACCAGTCAGTCATTTCAGGATCTTGAGTGTCGGGCATTGAAACTTATGAGGAACTCACATAATTGAAGCCTATCGAAGGCGCTTGCATCAAGCCAAACGCAATCATCCCGTGTCCGAACTCCAAACCTACCCAGACGTTTGGGCCCGGGTTCTGTGCGCAAAATCCAAAGACAAGAAAACCAGCGGTTGCGATGGCTAAGGAGGGAAATATCGTAGGTAATCTGGCCTCTGGTTCCAAGAAACGGTGCCTTTGGCGTTGATTCTTTACCGAGCTTTTGACACGGGCGTCAGACACGAAATACGTGTACACAGCACCCAAGACGGTTCCAATCAAGCCACCAACATTAATCAACCCAGCATTGTTGCCCCAGAGATAAGGTGGCATGGCGAGCAGCTGTGGACCAATCGTTGAGATGGTAACGATGCCTCCAACCAATCCTCCGTATTGGAGAGTCACGACCCACGTACCGGGGAGTGCAAGTACACGCCACGGACTCGTGAAGTGGTATATGGCACCTCCACGTGGCTTCGTGAAAAGAATAGATCTTCCGAAAGTGTACGGTGCATGGCTGACTTGTGGCCCTGATTCTTTCGAAGTGGTCGAAGTGGCTAAAGCTGTATCGTTGGTGACCTCGGACGAAAATTTTCTTTCGTACAAAGTTTCTGGAACGAGGAAGAAGGTGCCAATCACGCACGCCGCCCCCAACGCAACGTCGATCCAAAATATATAAGCCCAGCCTAGCTGCCCTGCAATATTTCCGCCCACCAGGCCACCGACAAGAGATCCGGCGGCAAGGAATATTGTGTAGACAGCCTACAATCAAGGCTGTGGTAAGTCTGGAAGCCTTTCTTCGTTAATGTGCAGGCTAACTTACCATTGCTCGGCCTCGCTCATCTACAAAATACACGTCACCAACGACAGCTGGAGCAACAGTATCCGCTGCTGCTGCTCCTATTCCTTGGAAAATCCGTGCCGCGAGCAGGGAGTCGTAGTTCGTGGCAAGGCCGCACCACATGCCGCAGAGTGTGAGAATCAGTGTGGCCGCAACGAGAACCGGGCGACGTCCCAGAATGTTGGAGAGCGGCACCCACCAGATGTTGGCGGCACCAATCATCAGCACGGTCACCTTTTCCCCGAAACACTCAGTGATATATTCTTTTCCGACATTTTGTGGAGGGCTAATGACTTACTGCGATGAGCCTGCTTAATTCCGTAAATGGCCTGATGTCATGTGGGAAAAACATGGGCCACATCTGGAGAGCAGGAGCAATGTTTGAAGCTGAGAAATTGGCAACGAAGGAATAAAGAGATACAACAAGAAGGAGTACATGTTTGCGCCACGGAGGCCAGTTGAGAGGGTCGGCGGGATCTTCTGATGGTTTCGGAAATCGGGCGGGCCCATGTGGTGTCTCAATAAATTCGGTGTCATGATCTGGAAATGATCGTCAGACTCGAAATCATGACATAGATGATACCAAGCAGGCGCATCTCGAGCACACATTTGGCTACATGGAAAAAGAAGTTGCGAACTCACCACCAGCAAATACCACAGTTCCAGGCGGTGTTGCCGCCTCAATTTCTTCCGTTGAGATGGAGAACGCGTGCTTCCAGCCAGCCATGGTTGATAGTGTGAGAATTTCGACTGGTCAACATCTGTGCTCGACCCAGGGGGAGAACATCAACTCCCCCTGTCTTTATAGACTTACTAAACTCATCCATCCCTACCTGCCGAAGTGTATTCCGCATATCCTATATTCAATATCTTGGGCTTTGATCTCTTTCTTTGGAAGGTTACTCTCTATCGCTTTACGCGCGTCTCGATAATGGCGTGCCACGGATAACATGCCGCGAAAGAAATCTCAAAACGATATGGACATTTCCCACAGAGTCGGCAGCATGTAAATACATGAAGATGTAGCAGCGTTGCGGAGCCATTAGATAACGTCGTAGCAGTACCCTGCGGCAACTGCTGCACATCCGGCACATTTGCGTGGGTCCGGCCCACATTCCTCCTTTCTGTTGAACAGGGGTCATGCACTGCCGCATTTTTATGATCAATTGCTAAAGATACTCCCCGCTAGTATGCATTGGGTAGTTGGCTCGAGATAACGGCCTGAAACGCAGCAAAGATGGAAAAGTCGTATGGTACCGGCAAACTGGAGAGGGAATAGGCAGGTCTCACAGCGCTGATTGCGTACGCAGCCAAATGTCGGCACTTGGCCAGCCAACCAACCGCTTTGTTTGTAAGCGGTACCGCTGATATCGGTGCAATTGTTGTTGGTGGAGCCGGAGAATCTGGAAAGTACACAGCGCCAGAAGACCCTTTCCTGATTCTTGCTAGGCCCGTGGCAGGAATACACGCACGAACTCAGCAATCATTGAGATCCAGTAATTGTTCCTATTTGAAACCAAAGTGGCAAAGCAAGACCAGCATTTTCTCCTCGGCCAAGCATATTTGCAATCATCTCACACGGACGACAAAATGACCCAGACGCCAACGCTTTCGACGGAGTCCATAGGACATGAAGAGGCACCGCAACAGGGAGAATCAAATAGCAAGATTTCTCCAGCTGAAGTGAAAACGGAGACTCAAACACCGCTCTCTGCTACAAATGAAGAGGTTCTTAAGTTTCTTTCTGGGTGGAAGTTGGCAGCTGTTGTCTGCAGTACGACTCTAGTTGTGTTTATGATCCTGCTGGACGTATCAATCATAAGCACTGTAAGCCAGTCAAACCAGGCAATTCCAATTCAAGGCTTGTCAGATATGGCTGGATGATTATTGATAAATCGCAGGCAGTTCCAAGAATCACCAGTGAGTTTCACGCGCTGGACGACGTGGGCTGGTATGCTGCTGCGTATCAGCTAGCAAGGTACGTTAAACCTGCGGTTGTGCTAGCCTTGGCTCTGAGTGTTTTCATTGTATCACTGAGCACCAGTTACTGACGGACTGCTAGCGCATCGTTGCAGCCACTCACGGGAAAGTTTTACACACATTTCAACACCAAAGTTAGTTAGTCCGAAGGCTCGGTCGTTCGGGAAGTATGCACACATATCTAATCTGGGCTCAGTGGACTTTCATCTCTTTCGTAGTGGTGTTTGAGGTTGGGTCACTGATATGCGGAATTGCCAAATCATCACCCATGTTCATCGGTGGTCGCACAATTGCCGGCCTCGGAGGATCAGGATTGATAAATGGGGGCTTGACCATGATCTCTGGGGCAGTTTCTACGGAAAAGCGTGCATGTAGGTCCCTTGTTGAGACCCGATTCTCGTAGAGAGATGGCTTGGTTAACATTTTTTTCTTTTAGTGTACACCAGCTTGATGATGGGGTGTGAGTATACGTGATCACTGATCGGCCACTGAACACTAACTGTTGCTGCAGTTGGGCAGCTGGGACTGATTTCGGGGCCACTCATCGGAGGCTCTCTTACAGAGTACGCAACCTGGAGATGGTGTAAGTCATTTCACCAACAGTCATTCAATAATCTTCTTTGGCTGACCTTGCGCTGAGGCTTCTATATTAACCTACCCATCGGCGCCGTGGCTTTGGTGTTTCTCGTTCTAACCCATATCCCCGAACTGACCCATAAGCCCCGGTTCACACTGTCACTTGTAAGGGAGGTTGTCCCCGAACTAGACCTTATTGGCTTCCTTCTGTTTGTCCCAGCCTCGCTTATGTTCCTCCTCGCGTTGCAGTTCGGTGGCAACGATTATCCATGGTCCAGCTCTGTCATCATTGGTCTGTTCTGCGGTGCTGGCGTTGCCGCAATAGTCTTCATTCTCTGGGAACGCCGAGTGGGAGACAAGGCGATGATTCCAGGTTCAATTATCAAACATAAGATCGCGATCAGCAGCGCTCTCCAGGTAAGCAGAACAGTATCCTACTGGTTCGGCTGGAAATGTGTGTCTCTCTGTTTATAGAGTTTAAACTTATGGCCGTTGGCTAGGGCATGTTCTTGCTGGGTACGGTATTCGTCGCCAGCTATTACTTCCCCATTTACTTCCAAGCTGTGAAGGGAGTCGGTCCTACGCTCAGTGGAGTATACTTGCTGCCAAGCATCTTCAGCCAGCTACTCTTCGTAGTAGCTTCTGGATGGTTAAGTATGAAGTGCTTCCTTTTCGGAAACTCGGAGACTGTATGGAGTGGATCAGACAGGCTGATATTTGTATAGTCACAAAATTGGGATACTATCTACCATGGCCGATCGCTGCTGGGATTCTGAGCGCGGTCGGAAACGGTCTCGTGTCGACCTTCTCACCTACAACAGAAACAGCGAAATGGGTTGGGTACCAAATCCTGCTGGGTGCTGGTCGTGGCGCTGGAATGCAAACAGTACATCTAATATTTAACCGGCTGAAGTATTTCCTTTCTGGCTGACCGCAATACAGGCAATGATTGCAATACAAAACAATATGCCAGGGAGACAGATCCCCGTCGCTATCGCCTTTCAGATATTCTGTCAAAATATCCTTGGCGCCATACTTCTGGTCGTTGCCTCAGTAATCTTTACGCAGAGTTTGGCAACCGAACTCTCCAAACACGCCCCATCGGTCACCCCTGAGGCTGCCTCTGCAGCTGGTGGAAGTGCAAGTGCAGTGCGCGCTCTTGTTCCGCCCGGGAGTCCGGAACTTGATGGACTGCTGCTGGCGTATTCTAATAGCGTTGACAGAGTCTTCTATCTTCTTGTTGCTCTCTCTGTTGTGAGCTTCGTTGCTGCATGGGGAATGGGGTGGAAGGACACAAGAAAGAAGAATCAGCCAGGGAAAGGGGCTCCCTAAAGGAAAAGGACGATTGCATCGTGGAGCCCACGATCAGTCGCTGGAGTGATTGTGTCTTCATATTCGCTATATATACGGTATAGAATAGTGGCGGAAATTGAGTCTACAACTTGTATGTTGTTGTCAGTCAGCTTCAGGCTTTTGTGTGAGCATTTCGGGTGCGAGCAGGGCGATTCGGCCCCGAACCACAAAAGGAACGTCCCCACAGGGGGGCTGACTTGGCACTTTCGGCTGCGCATGATCCAAAGAGGGGCCGCTGTGTGACTGGTCATTGATTCGTTCAAAAGCTTGTCTTGCGTGGCCCGTGAGAACTAACGACGATCTTCGTCGCCAATTGATCCCGCTAGGCAGACTAGCGGCCCTGAGACCGAGGGTTTTCGGACAAGTTCCAGTTTACCGAATGAATGTTTTGCTGACATATACAGTACAACAGAGCAAGTCGTGAAATTCACAAAGACCTTCTCGGACTCTAGTAACCAAGAGCTGAAGCCATGTATATAACCAACATGAGCCGCGGGCTGCTGGCTCGTCTTATAGCAACCAGTGAGTTGAGGCTTGCAACACCAAATCACCCATTTCTCCAGGCGTCTCTTTTCCACCCGAAGAATCATTGCTCGTTAAGCGCCAAGGCCTTGTCCTGCCCCCCAAATTATAGGGGTACCATGGCTTCAACAAAGCAGCCACACATCGCCATTGTCGGCGGCGGTCCTGCTGGTTTGACACTGGGTCTGCTACTAAAGAAGCGAAGCATACCATTCACCATTTATGAGCTTCGGCCTAAGCCTACTGAAGACGATTACGCTCTACCATCAGGGTCCCTGGATTTACACCCAGACACAGGACTCGCAGCTATCAGTGCCTGTGGGCTGGTTGATGAATTTAACACTCTGACAGGAGAGTGTTCCCAATCCAACACAATCACAGATAAGGATGGTACAATCTTGCTCAATGACGACGGCGGCGATAACACCAGGCCCGAGATATCACGTCATCTTTTAACGAAGCTCCTCCTTTCTAGGCTGCCCACGGACTGCATTCAGTGGCAACACAAGCTACTTTCGGCTTATGAAGGCGAGGAAGGGGGACGGTATGTTCTCGACTTTGGCCCACACCACGGTATGGTCACCGCAGACCTGGTGATCGGTGCCGATGGTGCTTGGTCGCGTGTCCGTCCCCTGTTGACCCATAGGAAACCGCATTACAGCGGCGTGCACTTCGTCACCCTTACCATTCCAAACCTGGGGCATCGCTTCCCCGAGCTTGCCGACCTAGTAGGGGCCGGATCATTTATCGCCCCCGGTGACAGAAATATCTTGATGTCTCAGCGCGGAGCACTAGGTGCAGCAAGAATCTACTTGTCTATTCATACCTTGGATGAGAACTTTGGAACAACCACCAGCCTCGAGCATATGAGCCAATCTGAAGCGAGAGACTTACTGCTGAGTTCCACTGCCAGACACAACGATGGGAAATATTTTGGAGCCTTTGGGCCAAAGTTCCAAAAACTCATTACCCAAGGGTTCAGAGACAATGAAGGCCCGATAGACGTCAAGCCGCTTTATATGCTACCTGTAGGTCAACTGTCATGGCAGCACAGACCGGGGGTGACAGTCATTGGCGATGCAGCGCATTTGATGACGCCCTTTGCAGGAGAAGGCGTGAACTTGGCCATGAAGGATGCACTTGAGTTGGCAGATGCAATCAACGCAGCTTGGATTGAAGCATCAGACTCTGAGACCGGCAAACGGAAATTTAGAATTGCGCTAGAAGAACGACTGGAAGAATTCGAGACACAGATGATTAATAGGGCGGAGGAGACAGCCGAAGAAACATGGAATAACCTGCAGATTTTTCACGATGAGGACGCTAGGACCAAGATTCCCGCGCTCTTTCAAGGATACATTGGGGAGAAACCTCTGGAATGAGTGATAGGGCACGGGTACGCAAAGACGATAAAGGCGGTTTGTCCCTTGGAATGGTAATACTTTACGATTTAGACATTCACTAGATTAGAAAAGAAGTGAAGGAAAGGGAGTATCTAGTCCTGAAAATCATTATGAATGTGCCTCCTGCGCAGTGCTGTTTGTATTTGATGAGGCACTTTAGATGAATTTAACAATATCTCTGCTCAAACGTCCTGTCGAAGGTGTATGTCATCACTGCTAGCCTTACACAGCAACGAAGAATTCTGGTCGTCCCATCTCATTTCTGGAGTTGATTAGTAGCTGTTGATTGGTGAATCTAGCGTGGGAGTTTGTGTGGCCGGGATGATGCGCAGACCTCAACGGTAGGCTGCATTCGACGGACAGGAACAGAAGGTACCTTCTGATGGGGCTGTGATTTCGATTTCGATTTCAGCTATTGTTGACAGACACTTCCAAGGGCTGCGCCTCTCTCCTTCTTACCAAATTCTCCAAAACTCATCTTAGAGACTAATCTAACGATAAAAAACCAGATTGCCGCGATGTTGTCGTTTATCGTGCTACTCCTCATTGCCACAGTCCTTGTGGTCGGAAGCGATGAGCGACATGAAGATAAAGCTCTGGAGGTTTTCCAAGCAGCAAATCCACCTCGAAAAACTTTTGACGATGTTGTTTGCCGCCAGACGATTGTGCAGCACGTATTTGAGAACAGCTATGGTGCACCGTTCGCAGGAACCTACACCCCGCCCCACTACTGCGACTTTACAACAGTGGTCTTGAACCTGTCTGCGACATCTCAAGGCCGCCAACATGACCGCTTGGCTCTTCTCTATTTCAATGATGTCGAAATCTGGCGTACTTCGACGCCCACGCCGACGCAGTCTGGAATCCACTGGTCTTACGTCAAGGACATCACCATCTTCCGCTCGCTGCTGGACAGGGAACAGAAAGTCATCTTCGACTTGCCCAACGCCATTGATGGAAACCTCTACACTGGTGCGTTCAATGTAACCATCGAGGCGCTTTACTTCAATGATGAATACCAGTCAGGCTTCACGCCTGCCGAGGAGATCTTCGCTATCTCGAACCTGACGTCGGCTCAGAATACCCCAAGTGTCTTTAATCTCCCTGGTGATAGTGGAGTGGCAAATCTAACGCTCCCTAGAAACATCAAGAACGCTGTAGTGTCCATCATGGCTTCGGGAAACGGAGCCGAAGAATTTTGGTTCGCAAACGTCCCTTCCGAGTACACCGACACGTTCTCGACCAGCCCGCTGGGACCGCTGTCTGGACACAGCCCTTTCCGAGAGGTTCAGTTGCTCATAGATGGGCAACTGGCCGGCATCTCATGGCCCTTTCCCATCATATTTACTACAGGCATTGACCCTGGTGCATGGCGCCCAATTGTTGGTCTCAACGCCTATGACCTCCCAAGCTTCGAGGTTGATGTGACACCTTGGCTATCACTTCTTTGCGATGGCCAGGCGCACAGTTTCCAACTTCAGGTTGTTGGTTATGACAGTCTTACTCAAGACAATATTGGTACTGTTGGCGACAACTGGTGGGTTTCAGCATCACTGTTCGTGTGGTTAGACCATGCGGTCAATGAGACTGAGGCTGGCCCAATCAACAAAGTTCACTCCGGCCCAACGTTTGATTTTGAAGCATTTATTGGTACAGAAATATCCTCCAATGGCTCTGTTTCCAACACCTCATTTTCATTCTCATTGGCCGCAGAGCGTTCTCTCTCAATCACATCTACACGAGCAACGACCAACGGGACACGTGTCGTATCGTGGCATCAGCACCTATCATATATCAGTATTCAAAACTTGACAAACAGCGCGTTGAATCAGACAACTTCTGCGGTCACGTCGGGGAGTCACTACAGCGATGTTTCCGATGTGGTGTCACGCTATGTGTATCCACTCACTCTGTACAGCTCATACGATGTGTCCCCAGAAGGCCCGGTCATACATCCAGGATCTGTCCTATGCATGGTGGACCGTAGTGCGATAGATGATGGTGTCAACTTGCTTCAATTATACTCAGGGGTTGAAGTTGGCACCAAGAGCCTTGTGGCTAGACAGAATATTACCAGCAAATACTACTGGAACGACACAATTGCAGAAGGAACAGGTAGCAACAACAAATGTAACGGAGAGACTTGGTTCACGTACTCTGGCGCGCCTGCATTCGCAGCTGGCGTTAAGGAGTACTCAAGATATCTTAGAGAATCTGATGACCCAATTGTCGCAGATCAACAGGCCTGGACCACAATAGTCGTGCCAAATACAATACCGATGTGGGACGTGGAGGGATAGCCAAATATTTTGAAGATGCGGCGCAACTGTTCTCAGGAAGTACTTAAAGAAAATGCGCATAAAAATGCGTTATTCCATGTTGCTGAGGGAAAACATCTAGGATCTAATCTAAGTAGTGCAACATAGACAGTCAACCAAAGCCCAAGGTCCTCCTTGACCAATATTAAACCACAAGTACTAGTCATGATGTTTGCGGCTGAACCTCAATAAGATTCCCATCAGGGTCAGTGATGATGAGAAAGCCGTTGAACCCGATACCCCGGATGCCTGCTAACGCAGCTACTCTAGCTGACTCAACATCGCCTCCAAGGCCAAACGCTCTAGCAACGGGGCCGTCTTCAACAGCCAGATCCTCCCCAACACGTTTCAGAATGTTGACGCCGTTATCTTCCATACGAGACTGCGTCGCTTGGATGTCTGGGACGATCAGGCCAACGTGGCCGAATGTGTTCGGGCTGCGTGTGGATGCCTCGATAGTCCCGTTGGTCCCCTTAAAATAAAGTAGTTCAATCAGGCCTCCAGTGTTCGTCTTTTCTCGCAGCAGTTCTTCGCCTGTCTGATAGCCTGTTCCATTTTTGCCTCCCTGGCTGTGACCAAGGTAAGTGACCTGGTACTCGGGCGAGGCATGGAATGTGAAAACATGGCGCATGCCGAGGATCCTCCCATAGAAGTCCACTGATGCGGTGATATTATTAGCAACGAGACTGAAGTGGTTGATAGTGTAGCCAATGGTTGCCGGATCAGCTGGTGGATCATTTCCTATAATGAAGTCATCAGATGCTCTGCCTCCAATGGCACAGGCTGAAACGGGCTTCTCAAAGAATTGGAGTAACAGTAACAAGGTCGTCAATGTCGTCAGGCGAAACATGTCGAAACCGATTCTGATGTTTTTTTTTTTAGTAGAGGGCTTTGCATTGCATCTGTGGTTTGCTTTATCTACAGTTCCGTGGTTTACTTTATATAAGAGAAGCGGGTAAGTCACCTTCTAGTGTCGCTTTGCAGCGAATGCTGATCCTCTGAACTCCTGCAGCAACCTCGAAGACCTGACCACTGAAATTGCGCGAAAGCACCGAAAACTGCGCGAGATTCTGGCGCTAGGCTAAACCACAGCCACCCGAAGGATACGCAAGCAGCGAGAGAACTACGGAGTACATACGCGAGGATAGCCCGAGGATAGCCCGAGGATAGGCAAGCCATTCTTGAATTAAATTTAAATTTCTTCTATCCGGTCAGCATACACCAAACACATAGGAGCACGCTGAAGCAGCAAGAGAGCGCATTGCGCGAGGACATTCCGGTGGTGGGTCGGCTTGTTGTTCTCACCCCCACTCATGGTTTCTATAGCCACCCCCTTCCCCACACACATATACTCACCCACCGGTGGCGCTGTTGGTATGAGGCACGTTGACAGCGAGATGAACCAGGTGAAGAAGCTGTGAATCAGGGGCAGCGCTGACCCGTCGAGCTTCTAACCTGCCTTAGTGGGTGCCAATGGCAAGGTTATAGAGGAATCAAGTGAAGTATCAGCTGATAAAATATTGTTATTCGACTATGGTGTAATTAACTGTAAATCGAAATTGAACGCCACATGTTTCCAAACTTGTGTCCTTTCATATGGATTTCCTAGCTCGCCAGAACAGCACAGTAACTCAAGCGCAGATGATACAGGGTGATGCTCCGTGTTTTATGTGGTTGTATTTTTGTAGGAATCAAAGTCAAGAAGTTCTAGGCACAGTAAGCCTTCACTTATCAAAACGATAATCCAGCAAGAGCGACACTCAAGCCAATCAACAATGTGTTCAATAGTGCAGTAACGACAACAAGTAGGCCATCAATTACTACGGTAAGCGCAAGGATGAGCGCGCTCAAGGCCCCAGTCAGTGGATTCAAGTACCCGAGCAAGGCCCCTGTAGAGCACGAGTTAGTATTTGGTTTTCTTGGACTGCGCAACAGGAATGGATCGAGATATCGAGATTAACACTGAGGGTGTACTAACCAATGCCAAACACAGCGATAACAGCATCGAGTGTCGCGCTGATCTCTACCAGGAGCGCAGCGATTAGGGCAGCAATAGCAAGGACATCCAGCTGTCTCTTCTCCTTCGTCGATGTTCCAAGAGCATTAACGTCGGAGATGGCCGCGTTGATCACGTTGGTCATCTCGGTCAGAGCAGTGTGGATCGCGAGACCAGCGTCGTCCTGCTGTGTGATATTAGCCCCTGCGGGTAAAGCAGCGAGCGTAGCATCTAGGAGTTTGATTAGACTTATTCAGACGCATCAAGTTGGAGCAACTGAACATACTAATGGCACCTGTTTGCACTTTCACACTTGTAATCAGGGCGTCGAGTAAACCAGACGCGTCTGCTCGTCCCTGAATTGTCGCCGGCGCAACGGTTGGGGAGGTGAGGGCTGTGCCAAAAAACCCAAACAAGGGGAGTGCGGCGACAAAAAGGACCTTCATCTTCGAGAATTGAGATTACAGAGGTGCAATTGATAACCTTGGGAAAGAGATTGTGTTCACAGATTGCGTTCACAGATTGCGTTCACAGATTGTACATTTTGACCAGTACCACTCGGGATCTGCGTTATATAAGACGTGTGGTTTGCGAACTCCGATGTAGAAATAATGACGTTGATCTAATACTGTTCTCATAGCGATCATACAGAGAAAGACTATCCCGGTCAACGTTGCAGCCCTACCAGGGCAGTGGGCCTGAGAACTTGGCAATGAGCCCTGCACTGCGAGCTAGTGCGCTGGGGAACAACAAATCACGGAGCTTCGCCGGGATCTGGTAGCGAGTCACCATCTCTTTCCCAACGGTTCCTAAGCGACCGCTCTAGACCTCTATTCAACTAGTCTTGATTCAACCGTAGTGACGTCGCAAAAGAGTCCCGAGCTTTGCTCTCGAAGCATTGTTGCCAATAGCGAACCCATGAAAATATGCAACGCAGGCATCGATGCAACGAAGACAACCCATCGTGCTGGAGTAAAGCAGGGTAGAAAGGCCCGAGCTCTATTTCACTTGTAGCTAATGACGCACTAAATTTCTGAACACTGGTTGGCCGGTGGCTGGTATTGAAGCTAGGCTAGCATTTGACTTTTTGTCTGCTCTGAGACTGATCGCCACCAGTGGTATCATTTCTTTGAAACCATTCCAGAGCTATGGGCCCTCCTGCTTTGAATTTCCTGATATGAGTATAATGCAACTCTGACTTCGCACATTTGTATCGATTCATGGTTAAGCAATAATTCAGGTGAAAGGTGAGGTGGCTGTCATCATATTGAGAAATGTGTTCGAGGTCTTAAAAGCATCCAGCATTAGTGGTGCCAAATTCAAGTTGGAATTACTCACCTTGACTTCCGTGCGGTACGTTGCCTTTGAACTTGGGCCTTTGGAGTTCTGGAACGAAGAAGTAGCACTGGAGAATTAACAGTCCAGAGGAGGGAAATGGTTATAAGCTGTGCACACGCCTTGAACCTCTTTGAGCACGAGAGAATCTACACTTAGTGCAACATGATTACTATAACACATTTCCGTGATATTATATCATTGGATTAAATTACCATCCTGGCACACTGTATACTTGCGAGGATTTTATCCAGGCGATTCAGAGCCGAGCTCAAGAACTTGATCCAATTCCTTCGCTTTATCTACAAGCCCCCTTTTCTTGTAATACTCCTGCAGGTAGCCAACCGCGGTAATGGTCCGTTTGTGTTGTGGTCCGAGCTCTTCCTCCAACACTTTGATATATTCTTTGCCGGCCATTGTAACGTCTTCGATCGTGCCTATTTTCTCTTTGCACACAAATCGAAGATACAAACTGTCCCATCGGTCTATCGCTTTTGAATGTTGGCCTTTCGGGCGTGATTGAAGCCACTCAAGGACGCTGTCATTCATTTTCTCTGCTTCTTCCACCATCTCATGCCTGTCGTATGCGAAGGCAAGCGACAGCTTTGCTGACTGGGCCTGAGGGACCAAACCCGACGACTCCAATCTTTCGATCTGACTTCGCTGTCTCTCCTGGATTGTTTGAGAGTCTACAAAGTGCATTTCCTTCTCGTGGCTCAGGTAATCAAGCGTATCCCAGAGATTCTCACATAATAACAGAACCCCTTTGTTGGATTGACCCAGCTGATTCTCAAGACCGTCGACATACGATTCTAGGATATGATAAGCATGGCGCCGCAAACTTTGGACTCCTGCTTCTTTGAGCTTTATCATCAAAATCCGGAGAGGATGTCGAGCAGGTAATTTAATCGTTGCCATCTCAGCAGCAAATGTTAGAAAGTGTTCAGCCAGCTGGGTGTTTAGCTGGAGGACGACTAGGTAAATCGCTTGAAGTAGACCTGGGTCGGGGTTCTGCAGAAGCGTGGTGAATTGATCGAAACATGGACTGAGTGTGCTGAACGCTTGCTTAAACTTGCCCTGGTCGAAGAGCTGTGAGGCGGTTATTGTCCTTCCCCACCACTTGTTGCTTGCCGGATTGTCAAGATTATCTTCGTGGGTCCAATTTCCAAGCGCGACTAACCCAAAGCTAAGTTGTCGGGACAGGTATATGACTTCTTCAGGCAAGCAGAAGACGTCAGGCGTTGAGACCCATTCTGGTATCGATACGCGTGCGTGATTCTTCATCAACTTCCTACTCTTACCACGCTTCCCCCGAGTCCCAGAAACAAGTACCACGGTGAATTGAGAGTTGGCGGTATTACCGCCGTATGCGGGGGATTTCAGGTTGGTCGATTGGCGGCGTTGTGTCCGGATGACTACACTTGACTCTTGATCCTGATCTGGGGACCTGCTATTCCTACTTCTGTACTTATGCACGTTCCATCTGCCCAGTCGATATTTGTACATCTTTTTGCTTTCCCGTCTGTTAGCCATGATCTGCCAAACAATTGACTACACTTGCGTTGCGTGGAAGTCGTGTTTGCGACTCATTATCTCCATGACTTCGTCTAAACCCCGACCATCTTCTATATAAAGACTGGTGATCGTAGTCCGCCAATTCTCGAACTCTGCCGGGGTGGCCCATCGATCTGGAGGCTCGCTAGACATGATCGCAGCCTAGCCTCAACGCAGGCTGCATGATGCAACGCACCTGCAGTAAGGGAAAAGTACGTCAGGACTCTGCGGGTAACTGGAGCCAAAGCCGAAACAGGAAGGAGTTGGCCGCCAAACTGACTCTGAGGATGTTATACAAGATTCGGACCCTAAACGCAATAAGATAACAACAACTGGATCTTAGGCCAGCAGGTTCATGGAAAAGAATTTGCGGGGTCGAAACGGCGGCACGGCTATTTAGAAGGATCTTATCACCAATCGCACCACTGACGAAGATCGAGCCAAGAACTAGGACCTTCTTGTGCTGACCAGGAAGGGTTGCATGGAAGGGACTAAAAATAGCACATCGCCGCACAGGCCCGCTTCAGCGCTTCTACTACCGTACCTTGGCTTCCTTCTATTGGGTTGCTGAGGCCGCCTTTACTCGCTGCCGGGTTGCTCTACCGTTGTCGGATTACATCCCCATCAGCGTCCAAAGACATGAGATCAGTGACCATAGACATTCTCCCCAGGGAGGCCAAGGAGCATCGACTAAAAACCGCCCTCGCATAAATCCTGATATCACGACATAATTTCGGATGCTAGTAAAGCTGTCAATTGATCAGTGTCTACCCGCAGAGCTGAAACGATACTTGGTCGTTTTTTGAAAACAACAGAACAACGTCGTCAAGATTTCTCAAGCTCGCGTCATGGTCGGAAGTGCCGGCATTTGAAACTTTGAACGGGTATGGAATTCGTTCCAATGCCTGACAAGACGCCGTAGCGCTATATTATCTGGCCGGTCTCCGGTAACCACAGTCATGTCAGTCGCGTGATAAGGCTATGGAAGCCTGGACGATCACCGATAGCCCGACACGGAAACGCGGAGGCGCGGCCCACCTATCGGCTTCTTTGGGTCTGCATCCCATTGGATATAGGTTGAATTAAGCTTTCTCATCGCGCCGGAATCTAAAGATTAGATGTCGGCTTATGTCGGCCTGACGGGCCCGGACTGCGGCGCATACGCGCCCTCCTCTCTATACGCGTACCACGACTGAGGGGTGGGATAAATCAGGGCTGAGAGGGTACGGGTTTTGTATTGGAGGTCCGGAAGCCGAGTAAAACGCGATCGCAACTGCCCAAGTTCTACCGTGGCGCTTTGCGCAGCTCAACCGACTCAGTAGAGACACGCGGCGATTGAGTTATCTGCTTACTCATTCTGAACTCTAAGCTAGTTGGTTGTCGCGACACGAACGGCGAGGAAGGTTGGAAACCGCGCGGAGAAGGTTCAAGGCACGTTGCTAGGCCGAAGGCGCAACAAAATATAAGATGAGAATTGGTTCCGGTTCCACGACCTGGGCCATCCATCTCACAATCATTACGACTACTTCCTGTAGGACATACTTACCTCATACGGCCCTCAATTGCAGAAAATAGCATGGCGCCTGAGAAAGACTTTGAAATCGCCATCATTGGGGGCGGTATTGCTGGCGCAACTCTGGCAATAGCTCTGAAGAACCATGGCATCAAATGCCAGATCTACGAGCAAGGCCACGCATTCAGTGAGATTGGTGCCGGTGTAGCCTTCTCCCCTAATTCATTGAGCGCGATGGACGTGTGTGACAAGAATCTCCGCGGCGCGTTTGAAAAAGTCGCGACGCACAACCAATGGCCCAGCAAGAAGAACGTCTACTTCGACGTCATGGACGGCACCCCTGATTTTTACGGAAGAGACCAGACGGAGCCCATCTTCACACTTGAGAATGAGCAGGGTCAGGTAGGAGTAGAAGATCTTGTGTCTTGTGAACGGAGTATAGCTAACATGCAATCAGAATGCTGTGCACAGGGCTCATTTCATGGACGAGATATCGAAACTAATTCCTATTGAGACCTGTCATTTTAGGAAGCATCTCGATAGCATTGCTGAAGATGAGAAGATGGAGAAATTGAGGCTGACTTTCCACGATGGCACAAGTGCTGAGGCAGATGGAGTGGTGGGATGCGACGGAATCAAAAGTCGTGTACGAGAAATCATCGTGGGCGAGAAGCATCCAAGCGCCAAGGCAAAGTACACACACATGTATGGTTACCGAGGAGTAATTCCGATGGAAAAGGCGGTTGATATCATTGGAGAAGAGAGAGCAACGAACTCTTGCGTGTGGGTGGGTACAGTGTCATTGCTCAGTGTTTTTCTCCCAAGACTGACAGCCCGAAGATCGGGCCCAATGCCCATATTCTCTCTTACCCCGTCGATGGTGGCGACACTTACAACATGTTTGCTGCTGTGTGTGACACCAATGAGTGGCCTGATGAAGACCATCTCACGCTTCCGGCGAAGAAAGAAGACGCGATCAAGGACTTCGCCAATTTCGCACCTGCCATCAAGAAGAAGCTCACGATGGTTGAGGATAACCTCGATAGGGTAAAGCATGGGAGTATTCGTGATCCAAAAACTGCTAATAGAATATACAGTGGGCTCTATTCGACCTAGGCGATAACCCTGTTCCTTACATGCACAAGGGACGCGTTGCTATCATGGGCGACGCCGCACACGCCACTACACCGCACCACGGTGCGGGCGCGGGCTTCTGTATCGAAGACTCGGCGTTGATGTCCGCCATACTTGGGGACGAGCGGGTCAAGAAGCCGGCCGATGTCGAGGCAGCTTTCGCAGCCTTTGATGCCAGCCGCCGCGAGCGAGGTCAATGGCTGGTGCAGAGCAGCAGACGTAACAGTGAGCTCATGGATTTCCGCGCCAAGGACGTTGGCAGGGACCTGAAGAAGATCGAAAAGGAAATGAAGGAGAGATTCGGGAAGATCTGGAACTACGATATCAACGGGGCCATTAACGACGCCAAGGGAGACCTGGGAAAGAGACTTGCAAAGATGAGCCGGGCATGATTCTGAATATATGAACCAGTTTACTCGCCGTCTTCGCCACAACTACTTGTCTTTGAGTCTAAGGATCCTTCTAATACTACACAATATGAGAAGACCAAAGCACACCACTGATCAGATGCATAAAACGCAGGAAGACAACAGATGCCTCGAATCCTCCCCTAAGAACTCAACAACAGAACGAGAGGCCTAACTAGAGACATCCGCTGGCGCTGAAGTCTTAGTTTCTTGAACAGCCTCTGATGAAGATGACCCTTGAGCAGGAGCCTCGCCCATAAGAAACTGCTCGTAGCGCTTCCTCTCTAACTCATGGACCAGTCCCCAGTCGCCGATCTCCTCTTCGAAGAACTGGTCAAGATCAAGTCCGCGCTCCTCGGCCTCATCGGAAATTCGTAGGTGTAATCCCGGGATATACTTCATTATAAACAGTAGAGCGCAGGATACGAGGAAGGAGTATGCCGAAATGGCAGTGATCTCGGCGAATTGTCTTCCAACCTGAATGCCCTCGCCATCAATGGCGCCGGAGGCTATTGTAACGCCGTCCAGAGAAGAGACTGCACACGACGTCAGCTGGAATTGGAATGACTGCGCAGCTGCAGAGATGAACTTACTGGACGACGTCGCGAAAATGCCCGTCAAGAAGGAGCCCACCATTCCTCCAATGCCGTGAAGCTTGAAGACGTCCATTCCCTCATCAATCCGTAGCCAGTTGTTCACATTGTCCATGAGGGCGCAGACTACAGCGGTGATGAAGCCAATAACTGCAGCAAGCCACACACTGACATAGCCTGCGGCGGGTGTGATGCCGACCAAACCAGCAATGGCACCCTCACAGGCGCCAACGACGGTGAACTTGCGGCCATATTTGAAATAGTCGACAAGAACCTAATTGGAAGTCAGCCTGCGGATGAGCATATTCGGGTCTACGATGCTCACGTACCCAGCCGATGGCACCGGTCGAAGCGGCAGTGTTCGTGTTGAATGCGGCGAGCATGGCACGAATGGAGGCATTCAGGGCGGAGCCGCCATTGAACCCAAACCAGCCGAACCAGATGAGCACGGTGCCCAGGAAGACAAGAGTAGTATTGTGAGGCTTCCCATGGCTCTTGTCCGTGGGATTCTTCTTTCGCTTGCCCAAGACGAAGGCATAGGCGAGGGCTGACCACCCGGAGGCGATGTGGACGGGTCCACCGCCGGCGAAATCGAGCGACGGAAGCTGTTACAGGCAATCAGCCGATAGGTCGGCCAGTCTGTATCTGTTCAGAGCACTCACATTGTATAGCCAGCCGTTGGCGTTCCAGGTCCAGCAGGCAATCGGGCAGTACACAACCGTGGCCCAGCAGAAACCAAAGATCAAGGACGGAATGATGCGCCCACGTTCAAAGGCGCCTCCCACGACGATCTGCACGGTGCATGCGCAGAAGAGCAGCTGATACAGGCAGAAGACGATCTCAGGGATGGTCGAGTTGCCGGGGGACGGCGCCGACATGACGTTCTTGAGACCGAAATTGGCCAGGTCGCCGATGAAGGGGCCGGCCGTGCGGCTGTAGGCCAGCGAGTAGCCCCAGAACATCCACTGCACCGTCACCACCGCGCTGACCATGAAGGACTGGAACAGCAGCGCGAGGGCCGACTTGCGGCGGGCCAGGCCGCCGTACAACAGGCCGATGCCCGGGATAATCAGCCACACGATGTAGGCGCAGAAGACCAGATACGTGTAGTTCCACTCGTAGCCGACATACTGCGTGTTGACATTCACCTCGAGCGGGTTGCCCCCGTCGGGTATGGACTCGTCATAGCTCGGCTGTTTTGGCGAGACACGGTCAGCCTGCTTGAACGTACACAGCAATGGAGGCCCTCGAATCGTGATATTCCGGGCTCCGGGGTCAACCTACTGCCTCGCTCATGATGGTGACTAGCAATCAGACCTCCTTTCCGTAATGGGTTCAGCCTGGCATGACAGGTTGAAGCACGACATAGGTCCAGAGGAGCAGACCCATGCAGGGACGTTCCATATCATATAGTCCCCCTGCCGACACCAGCTCGGCGCCAGCTATCTCCAACGACAGGGTTTCCGAGAAGCTGGAGATTATTGTCATGTTATTCAACGTCTTATCAAGGTCTCTACCGGCCTTATCAAGATGCGAGAACCCCGGATCATTAAGTAATGGTGACCCTGAGTGCTGGTAAGACATGGCATTGGCTGTATCCAGGAGCTGAGGTTTGGCGCTAAACGCAGAAGAGAAAAAACATCCAGACCTTGGCTGTTCCAAGCGCTTCAGCAGGCCCCAGGGCGCTGTTGTCTTATCTCTTGGCGTGGAGTGCCGAGGACTCCACGCCGATAAAGCCTGGACTTACAGCACATGTGTGCAGTCTGTAAACCTCCACCGAAATGAAACATCAGGCGAAAGTCGGAATGGACTGTCACACATTACGCCACCTTCATAGAGTACATAGTAAAGGGCTCACGATCTACGCTTATGCGTCCAACTGAGTGTGGAGATGCTCCGCCATCCCGGCTGCCGGGCCGCGGGGGCTCGACAGCCGACGTTATAAGTGGCCAGATGCCACAAGTCGATTTAAGAGGACAGAGACCACCTGTAGTAGCCCAAGTATCTCCAGAGGTCCTTGGAACATAGCACAATGGGGTCCGGTATGACCAACCTGGCTTTCCTGTGGTGTGCCCGCAGCCATCACAATATCGTCCTCACGCCTTCTCGACAGAATGTGTGTATGTGCGTCAAGGTTACCACGTAGCGAGGCAGAAGTCGTGGTTGCGTAGGAGTCAAAGGGTACTAATTGACAATTTGTCATTCCCAGAGCATCTTCTGGCCGCAGACCGTTCAAATAGTGTTACTACACAGGGGCAGACTCAACATGACTACGGTGGGTCTGGGTTGATTTTGTGTCCATGGGTAGAAGACATCTGCTCTCTACGGCTCTTTACATATTTGATAAGGTATATGTAGTAACAAAGTGTGGCCGTGTCCCACCTGTGCAATGTACCTCCCGAAACGCCAGTGCCCCGAATCTTTGATACCATCCCAGCTAAGCTATACGAGAAAAAAAAATTGGCAAAACGAAATAAGGATGTCAGAAGCATCAATCATCCCACTCCTCGTCGTACTGGTCGATAAGCCTATTCTCGGCCTCCCGATCGCGGTTCTGCCTTGTCCTAGAAGGCGAGCCGGCGAGGTAGTGGTACCCCCTTCGATTGGGTAGGAAGCGCGCGCAAGACGCTGTCGATGCGACGAAGAGGTCCTGTTGCAAATGTTAGTCACGCCGGCTGTGCTTGGCCAGACCGCCAATCTATGGAATGGAATGAGGAAACGTACCGAGACAAAGCTCCAGATGCCGGCCCAGAGCGAGTAGTTGGGCAACTGTCGCCAGCCTCGCTGGTTGGCGACGGTGCGCTGGTAGAAGATGCCGCCGAGCAGGTAGACCAGCATGGCGACCAGGAGGATGATGCCGAAGACGGTGCCCGGGCCGACGCTGCCAGGGGTGTGCGGCTCGGCGCCAGCGCAGGCATGGGAGGAGCGCACCTCGAAGAAGTAGGCGCACTCGTCTGGGTCGGTGCCGACGAAGGACACGGAGGCCGAGGCGGAGGGGTCTCTGTCGCACAGGAAGGATATGGTGGTGGACTTTCGCTGGGTGGGCGCGTCGGTCTCCTTGGTGCTCCTCTCGGTTGGGGTGCCAGATGACGAGGACGAGGGCGAGTGCGCATGCTCGTGCTCGTGCTCGGGCTCGTCCTCGTAATCCGTGTAGGCAGCGCCGCTATGCACACTCCTCCGCTGAGCCGGCCCAGCAGGCAATGATCTCTTGACGCTCTTCCCGCAGAGAGAACCGCCGGCGTACTGCAGCACCAGCTTCCTCCCCCTCGGCTTCAGCTCCCTCGATGCGAAGCCCAGGCTGTAGGTGTCGCCCTTGGAGGTGTAGTAGGCGCTGATGTTCCCCCACTGCTCCTGGCTGACGCCCTTGACGTTGCCGAGCTCGCCGAGCACGGGCCCGCAGATGTTCAGGGTGAAGTTGTAGCCGTAGTCGTAGCCATTGGCGACGTAGTTGGCGGTTGGGGCGCCGGGAGGCGGCTTGGTGCCGTCGGCGGGCTGCCTGACGGCCGTGTCGGGACGGAGGTCGAAGAAGGCCCCAGACTTGACGTTGGTGGCGGTACAGGCTGCCGAGGTGGTGGTCTTGTCGGCGTCGGCAGCGCGGCAGACGGCGGGCAGGGCGAGGGCGAGCAGGGCCAGGAACGCGGGAGGTGATGAAGACAGGCGCATGGCTCCAGGTTCGTCGGCAGCGTCACACGTGAAGGACGCCGGGCGGGAGGGATCCAATGTCGGGCGCGTGCGGACGGAGGGACGGAGGGACGGAGGGGAGAGTGCGCTCGATGCGCCTAGCAGAGAAAGGGGGGAGCGCGCATGCAGAGGGCAGCAGATGCAATGCGACGAATGGCTCGCTGTCTGGTTTGGGGGACGTTGGTGTCTTGTTGTCTCGATGCGGTCATGAGAGCAACTCAGGTCCAGTATAATGGCATCCATGGCGGTTTACGACCACCTGTCGTTTGCGCTGCCACCACCGAGGACGTCAGCCTCTGGGGCCGTAGGCGTCGTCGACCAATGGGCCACCTGAGCCCCTGTCCGCTAGGCTGCCCCGGGTGCCCCAGGGGCCCAGGGGCCCAGGTGGTCGGCGGACGGCTTTAGGTCAGCGGGGCCTGCCCTACTAACTATGGTACTGTCCAGTGGCAGACAAGGTCGGGCCGCCACGGACTGCACGGCATCTTCCATGTACTATGGCACTACGGCACCACATGCAAGGTCAGGTCTAATTGACGAGTCTCAGCTAGGGCCCTGACGGTGCTCCTTTGTGCCCCCTCCCCTATGCCCTGTTCGGGACAATGAACAGAGGCTGGCGGGATACAGGTAATGAATGGACAGTCTGATAGTCACCTCGGATGCTGGGCTGGCCATGGCGCCACCCGGAAGCCAACTTGCCGGCCAACCCACGATGGGACGGGATTTCTTGGCGGCACCGCGATGGAGCTACCTGCATTGGGATCATATGATTGGCTGGAGCTTGATGGTACTGATGAGCGACAGGGAAATTTGGGGGACTAATAAAAGGGACCACAACATCTTCATCGACGTCAACATTCTCCCCGGAAACCCCCTAGGCCAGATGAGAGAGTGTGCGGGATACCACACCTCGAGATAGCCACCGGACGTCCCTTCTCGCCAGTCAACCCTCCACGGTCTTCAACTGATCTCGTCTCGTCACACGTCACGTCGCGCAATGGCTTCAAAATCCAAACCAGACTACGAGTTTGGCGGCCCGTAAGTCTACCCCCCATGGGGCCAGAGAGCATATGTTGTTCCTCCCCTCTTTCCATAATTCCTAGGAGAACTGTGTGGTTGGCAATGGCTGACCCTCGCCTGTAGTATCGGCGCCGCTGGCATCGTCCTCGGTCTGCCCGTCCTCCAATACGTCTATGCCCTTGGCTGTAACGACATCGCCGGCTGCCCGATCCCGTCCCTGCTCGACCCCAAGAACCTGTCTCTCGAGACCCTGAAGGCCGAGGCAGGATGGCCCGCCGACGGCATCTGGGGCTTCTGCAGCTGGGGCGCAATGGGCTGGACTCTGGCCTACTATCTCCTCAACCTGGTCCTGTACCGCGTGCTTCCCGCCCAGGAGGTCGAGGGCACCGAGCTGGCGTCGGGCGGTAGACTCAAGTACCGCTTCAACGGTAAGTCCCGGCCACACCAGTACGGTGTAGTGCAGTACATTGCAGACAGACAACAGACAGACATACACAGACGAGAGCGTTTTGCGCGCGTACTAATACGACCACAGGCCTCGCCTCGAGTACCTTTATCCTCGTCGCCCTTGCTGCCGGTACCGTTGCCCAGGGCGCCGAGTTCCCCGTCTGGACCTACATCACCGACAACTACCTCCAACTCCTTACCGCCAACATCATCATCTCCTTCGCCCTGGCTGTCTACGTCTACGTCGCCAGCTTCTCCGCCAAGCCCGGCAATCCCGAAAAGCGCGAGCTGGCCGCCGGAGGACACACCGGCAACCTGATCTACGACTTCTACATCGGCCGCGAGCTGAACCCCCGCGTCACCCTGCCCTTCTTCGGCGAGATCGACATCAAGACCTTTGCCGAGGTCCGCCCCGGCCTGCTGGGCTGGATCATCATCAACTGCGCTTGGATGGCCAAGCAGTACCGCAACTACGGATACGTGACCGACAGCATCGTCTTCATCACCGCCGTCCAGGGTCTCTACGTCATGGACAGCTTCGTCATGGAGTCCAGCATCCTCACCATGATGGACATCACCAGGGACGGCTTCGGCTTCATGCTTTGCTTCGGTGACCTCGGCTGGCTGCCATTCTTGTACTCCCAGCAGACCCGCTATCTGTCTGTCTACCCATTTTCCATGGGCTGGCTTGGCACTGCCGGCGTCGTGGCCGTGCTGTTGACTGGTTTCACCATCTTTCGCCTGAGCAACAAGGAGAAGAACACGTTCCGGACCAACCCCAATGACCCCAGCGTCGCCCACCTCAAATACATCGAGACCAAGACCGGCTCGCGCCTTCTCATCTCGGGCTGGTGGGGTGTTGCGAGACACATCAACTACTTGGGCGACTGGATTCAGGGCCTACCATATTCCCTCCCAACGGGAATTTCCGGCTACGTCATCCTGTCTGCCGGCACCGGCATCGCTGGCGCCTACAAGATGCTTGATGGCCGGGAGGTCGTCCAGGGTGCTGCCAGGGGCTGGGGCATGCTGTTCACCTACTTCTACATTCTCTACTTTGCTGTCTTGTTGATCCACCGTGATGGCCGAGACGACGAGAAGTGCAGCAGGAAGTACGGCCAGGACTGGGAGAAGTACAAGAGGACTGTCCGCTGGAAGATCCTTCCCGGTGTGTACTAGGCGTGCTTGAGTGCTGATTAAGGACGAGCGTGGGCAAACCGGCTACTATGTAATGAGGAGGTATTTCGTGTAAATATCCGTTATCCACTGCCGGAATGGCGCAGCTTGGAAAAAAGTACAATCAATTTAGACTCTTGAGCAATAATAATCACGCAGATAGGGAAGGCAATCTGCCGTTGGGTGTAGGCATCCAAAATACATACATATTGAACAACACCGGTCTCACGTAGATCGTGCTTGATCATTGGTAGGCGCAGGCGGGCCAGTGACATCTCGAGCATTATGAGGTCTGCCTGATGTGCGCTGATTGCTCTTAATGTCAGAAGTCTTAGCGTGGAAGCTCCGGTTTCCTGGGAGGGGGTTTCTTTTGGCGTGGCCGTTAAATGTACAAGTTTCATCTAGCATACAGCACCAACGCGATCAACCCAATCCTGGCATCAAGTACGACCCGTCTGCCACAAGCTTCAACAGAGTTACGACGTTTTCGCCTCTCGTTCACGAATGAGCGCGTCAACCCGTCGGAGAGGGATAATTCCATATTTTTCTCGTCGTTCCTCGAGGTCGTAGTCGGAGCTTACTCTTCGACCTGGAACCAGTTCTCACGCTGACGATTTACGATCACACCTGCGTAGCATGTCGGGTCATCACTATCAATCGTTTCCAACCCACCTACTGAGCTATCAAATCCACGGCAACTTCTCGACATTGACCGATCTGTCGACATTCTCCTCGGCACAGAATAGAGGCAGACGCCTGCCCTGTTGATGGTGATAATCACTGATTCATACTCATCTGCCGGTCTTACCGCATTCTCAGCGGATACTTAATATAAGATCCCCTACGCGTTTGTTTGCTGCGGCTTCAAATATGGACTGTACTAATCATTTTGTGCGCTCCAGCATGTGCTCCTCACCAATGTCACCGATACCTGGTTTCCGACGATCCGCAAGCGGATTCGGTCAACACGACAGCGCATCCTTAGAGCAGGGGATCGTGTCCCGTCTGAGAGCATTAGAGAGTGGGAACGCACCCCAATTCTCGATTTCAACTACCAACGGCCAAGACCCCGCTTCAACACGAGAGCATCTAGTTCGACATAAACGAACCCTGGACAATATCCAAGCATGCGACAGTCGTCTCGCGGACCGTCTCAGTAACTTGGAAAGCAGTACTCATCCTACCGAATTTGAGGCTTTGAAGAAGAATACGACAGATCTCAAATCTACCGTGGACAAACTGATGGATCGTCTCGCTTCGACAGAGACCAAGAATGAGGTACTAGGCCGTCTAGTCAATAACCTTATCAACTATGGGCATGAGAACAAGAAGAAAACCACCAGCCTCGAGGCCGGAGTCGAACAGAGCCGCGTGGGGGCTAAGAAGACAGACGGTCAACTCAGAGAGGTCCGCCGCATTATGGATAATACCACCCAACAACAGAGTGAGGTGAACTCCAATATCTTGGACATCCAGAAGCAATTCAAGAAATTCAAGCAGTTCCAGCTCTCGGAGAAAGTGTCGCATGACAAACTCAAAGCCCAGCTGAAGGACACCAAAGAACTGAAGAAGGAGATCATTGAGAATTTCAAAGGCGCTTTCAAGGACAATGTCAAGAACGAAGTCAAGACAGAGCTGAAAGCGGAGATGAAAGCAGAGCTGGTCAAGGAGTTTAGGAGAGAAATCGACATGGTGCAGTCACAGCATTACCGTTTGCAGGATGAGTTGAGTGAGGCTTACGACCGAGCCGAGCGAGCCATGACGGAGGCGAGAAGAGTCACCAACGAACTCGAGATTCGGTTTGGAACTGTACCGCCCGAGGTTCAAAGTATTCCCGATGAAGCCGGTCTCATCATAGACATGAAGCTATATACGAAGAAAAGGCTCACAAAAATGATCTCTAAGACAGAGTTGAGACTCAAGGACATGATCTGTGACATGAAGCAGGACATAGCCCGCCTAGAGAAGCTGGCGGATCAAGGAACCAAGAATCTCGAAGACATGTGCTCGCAACACACCGAGACAATCACAAGTGTCAAGCAAACGCTAGAGGACAATATGAGGTTCACGACCCAGGAGATTGCGCGTCTGGACGATTTCCACAAGGAGACGAGTGCAGAAAACAGAGATGGACCAAGCGCTGCGGCGAACTTGAGCGCTCATAGTAACCACGCCACTGAATGCATCATTGACGCAATCCGCAATTTCATTGAAATGCAAAAATTGCGCATTGGTGATCTAGAAATTCCGGCGCTCAAGAATATCAAGGATCAGTCGACAGCTCGGCGCATTGGGCTACCACTCACTGCCCCAACGCTACCTTCAAGTCCTCAGCCTTCAGATGACGGCACGAGCTGTTCTGCTCAAACTCCTGACAAGTCGGTCTCTGTCTACACCGACAAATACGTCGAATGGCTCCAAAAGCTCGACTTCCGTCCGGCAATGGGCATGACAAAGTTCAAGGACGTTGATGTTCGTGTGGATGAGCACCTCATCTTCTCAGACGGTCCTGATAGGTACTACCTCAAGCGGAACAGCATCTTCTCCTTTACGCCTTTGGTCATGGCACGGGATCGCCGAGGCTGCCAGGACGAGGACTTCTACGCATACATACACCAGCCCTATCACAAGCGAGCATACAAGGACACGGCTATGGAGATTATGTACTCGTCGGATCTGCCTGTTGATGATGTCCGGTCCCTCCCAAAGTATGTGGTCTACCTCGGAGAAGTCTACTGCGCAACCGAAGGGGAGCGAACCGGCCAGCTGAACTGGCGCACTGATTACCACCTGGTTATGGACATTGCCAGACCTGCCAAGTCGCTGTGGTTAGTGTTCGGATACGAGTGCAAGGATGCAAATGGCAATATCCGCAACACCGAATTCGAAGTTGAAGAGAATGACTTCTGGTCTTTCGTTAAGGAGAATGAGAGTTTCGACATAGCCAAGGTTGCAGAGAATGTCAACGACTGGAATATCTGCAGTGATACCTATCGCTACGACCAGCCCGAGCTGCACATCGGCAGAGTCAGAGAGGCCGTGTCGCAGTCCGCTCGGATTGCCAAGCCCCTTTTCACATCGCCGAACTTGGAAGCACTCCTAAGTGGTATTCGGAAGGGCTGGAGGGGCTGGAGGGATGCTACTACCGTTAGTTCCAAGAGTACCTACAGCTTGGACGAAACAAGCAACTCGGAATTAGAACTTGATATTATTCCGCGAGGTTAAAGTGGCCATAAATCAACAAGACTGGCTGTTTGTAAGATTGGCTGAGGAACAGGGATCACGTTCTGAAGTCTACAAAGTCTGCTAAGACTGTCAAAGGAGTAATGGTAATAGATTCAGTAATGGTAATAGATTCAGGTATGAATGTAGCTAGCATAGGCTAGTTGAGCAATTCATTCTGAGTAGATGCTCGCAAACGCCTATAAAAAGTAGCATCCCGTGGTATCATTCTCAACCCCCTGATAAGTAAACCAAGCACGACACCGATCATTATTTCTCGTTGCGTTTCTCATCCAAACAGATACACATCGCTACAATGACAGCCATGTCAACATTGGGTGCAATCGTGACCTCGTATGTTTGTTGACCAGCGATGAGCTCACGCGCATTGAGGAACTGGCGCCTGATGGTCGCGACAGGTTGCTTCGTTGCAGCATCGGTGATGTCCGCGGACCTGTCGAAGAAGTCTCCCTTCATAAAAAGTCTCTCTTGTTTCCCGGTGGCGGACACGAAGTTGCCATAAGCTTTTGAGGAGCCAACTATATCAAGGTTAGGTGGGATGCAAAGCACCGTACCAAGGATTCAACTTACTGCTGAACTTGGAGGTGACGTCAAAGAACTGGTTCCCGTTGGGATCCTCGGCATAGTAAGTCGAGTGGATAGCAAGGTGCTTCTTGCGGATAGTGAATAGATGGTTTCCTCCCATGTCACATACCATCTTGCGGCCTGACAACGACCACGCCGAACCTTTCACTTGGAAGATGGGCCGGCCATCGACCGTTTTGATGTCGAAGCTGTCACCCGATAAGGAGAGAACCTTCTCCTTGATGACCAGGGTTTCAGATTTGCGAGCAAAGAAAGGTGCGAAGATGCCTAAGGGCGTGGGGTAAGGCGCGAGTTCAACCATGTCGAGATCTTTCTAAGTGCTGTGGGGCTGCTATCACAAGCCGGCTTGATATAAAATGTATAAATGGACTTTTAATTCAAAAGCAGTAGGATGACTTGAAAACCGCTTGGATGCCAAAAATTTATCAATTGCAACAAAATGCCAACTCGTTCTCCATAGCGCCATGATGTCATCTGAAGGAAGTGGCAGTGTACTGGGGGCAATCTCAGCTGCTGTGGGCAGTGCAGCACGCCGTCAGTGCTTAGCCAGTCTCAGCCCAAAGTTCATAGGCAGGATTGTGGCGTATGTATTAAAGCGCAGCCTTGACTGACTTGGCGAGTGGACGACTGGCACTGGGTCGCCAACTAGCCGTAGGCGCCATGAGCGTCGTGACTGGCCTCCATTTGGTTGGTTCTCCCAAGCCGAGCTGTCAGCTTCGGTCATTCATTGCCTAAACGTACCTATGTAGTTAGCATCAGCCCAAAAACTAGGTCGCGTTTAACCCCCCCGAGCGCACTAACTCAGAAATATGCACTACGAAATCCTCTTCCGAGATCGGCCGATGCCTCACGTGACTGGAGAAAACCGACAACGAGCCACGGTCAAGAGAATGTGTTGCATGTGGCTTTCGACGGTCATCGCGATACAATAATCGACGTGTATCAGTCGCTGCCGTGCCTGTCTACTAACAGGAGGCGAGCAGTCCCCTACCAGTAGGTGATGTGGATCTAGTAGAATCTGGTGTACCCAGAGCCTAAAGGTTTCGGATAAGCCTAGGGAATAGGAAAAAACGAAAAGAGAGGATTCGTCCAGTGTAGTTAGTAAGTATATGTCGCGACATACCTACAGTAGACTCCTGTCAACTGAGTCTACTAGACCCTGACAGCACAGGACCCGTGGTAGCGGCCAGGACTCAAATTCACATGCTTGGCTGCGGCAGAGTAAATGATTAAACATACGCCAGGACTTCCAACTGACGATTGCAACCTTACTAAGCTGCTAACCGGTTATCGCAAGCTGCCATTGCTCCAGGCTGGGAGAAAACAAAGTCGGGTTGCAGATGCCGTTGGTAGCCCATAAAACCCACGGGGCTCTTCACAAGCTCCAAACTTAGTGAGACAGCCCTATCTTCCAAATCAGAAGGTCGCCAACACCGACGGACATTACCGTCCCACCGAAAGGAATATCCCGCCAGGTATGGGATCGCAACATTTGTGGGTATGCTATGTTCGGCTTCACGAGATCGGGAATGGCAGGCTCAGCTCGTTACCTAAGTTAGAGTATTTAAGCTCTAGGGGGTGGGGCGATTAACAATGCTTGGATGCGAGTCTGGCCGCCTGGGACCGAAGAGCGCCCAGAATCACCCCCTGTCGCCGCCGCCATGGCATTCATGCAAAGCTTGTATTCGGATATCAATTTCAACCTGGGAGGGATTTTCAGCAGGGATGCTCAAAGAGACGCCGGCACACAACCCAGATGCGTCTGATATAGAGAGCGCTCATTAAACTCTAAATATTCACCGTTCCACCGCCGCGGGTTCAACAACACGATGCGCATTGAAGCTTACAAATCTGGGCGGTACTCTTTCTAATGCTGTATTACAATTGATGTATATAAGTAGTTGGCAGAAAGGCCTCATGTGTCTGAGACGCCCAGTCAAATGAGCATCCCACCTTGTGTCATAGCCGTAAATCCTCCACTGCCTCATCATGCGCTTGTTACTCGCAACTCTTTTTACGGCTGTTCTCGCCTACGATCCCACGCTCGGATTCAACAGAGCCTTGGTGGTGGAGAACAGGACGATAGATGACATCTACAAGGCTGCTTTGGCCGAAGGTGGCGTCGTGAACGTCTGGCATGGTGGCGATGAGCCCGGCCAACAAGCTGAGCTGAAGCAGGCGTTCGAAGCAAGGTTCCCGAACATGACACTAAATGTCACTGTGGATCTCTCAAAGTACCACGACGGAAACATTGATCGTCAACTTGCCACGGACAGCCTGTACATCGATAGCGCCATACTGCAAACGCTGCATGACTTTACCAGGTGGGACTTGGAAGGAGCGCTTCTGGGTTATCAACCGCTCGACTTCTACAAGATCCACCCTGCCTTTCGTCACATCCACGCCTCATGGTACGGCGTGCGCCTTTTCGGATGGTCGAACGTGTGGAACTCAGACCGCCTTGCCGATGGTCCGAAGGAATTCACCGACTATCTAAAGCCTGAGTTCAAGGACAAGCTGGTTCTCACATACCCCAACGATGATGATGCGGTTCTCTTTGCATTCGATCTGATGTAAGTCTCTTATGCTACATGTACAGACACACCTCGGCTGATGGGCGTAAAGAATGCAACAATACGGATACGAGTGGTTCGAAGCTTTGTTGGCGCAAAACCCACACTGGGTTCGTGGCACAGCCACGCCTGTGACTCTGCTCCTTCAAGAGAACACGTCCTTCGTCGCGTCGTTCACGACATCTGTCGGCCTAGCCCCGTCATCGCCACTCAATGTTAGCATCCCGAGCGAAGGAAACTTTGTGTCTTGGCCACAGACGGCAGGAATCTTCCGAGACGCCCCCCATCCTGAAGGCGCAAAACTTCTGCATAACTTCATGCTGAGTGACGAGTTCCAAGGCGCACCAGGCTCCTGGAGTGTTCGCAAGGATATGCCTGCTCCTGCAGGCTATGATGCAATTATGGATGTTCAGTCAACCAACCCCGTCGAGTTCTCGCGTTTCATGGGCAACCGAGAGCGGGTTGAGAGACTCAGATTCTTCTTCGAGAGCAAGATAGGGTCAGCACAGGGACTCAGCCCTCTGATTGACAACCTCTAAATTGCTCTCGAGTTGTATTATTTCTAGATCTCGTGTATCAGATACATATTGCCCCATATCTGCATATTCCCTTCTGCTGTGAGTTCCGGACTAGTCCAATCTTTTCCCTGGTCCATGCTAGTTAGAAGACTCCAGTAAGCGTCATAAGCCATCTAGGATTTATTTCAAAGGTACCAATGTGAAATGAAGTCTGTGAGCTACATTCCTACGCTGGTTTAAGGCTAGGTTTACGAAGAGCGGGTTGTCGTACACGATCTTGCCTGGAGTAAAGATCTACTAGGTTTCAAGACTCGTTGAGACGCGTGGGCTCTCCTGGGTCCACTTGCTCCTGCAAGAATGTTGTCGTTCAATACATGTCTGAAGACCTATGCATCTCGCTTGCGGGACAGTCCTTGGCAACTGCGGAGATGTATCCTTTTGGGTACCGCCAGAGCCTAGCCGACTGACTAAGTCAGCTAATCCGCTGATGACGGTACCAATCTATCCTAAGTGGAGAGATGGCGAGCGAATTCTCAGAATCGCTTGCCGTGGCTTGCAGAGATAGTTTTGTCCGGTTTCGCCTCAAGCGGGCTTAGTCGCAGTTATGTTATACATGGGGAGGACATCCTCATCCGATACACGAGCCAGTTGTCTCTCGCTGCTACTATGTGTAACTCTGGACGAGCCGCTCTTGTGGACCGACGTAAGCTGTGACCAAATCGATGGTATTGATGCCCAAGATGGTGTTATATGTTTCAGGCGGATGAATAGCTGCCAGCAAACCGGTAGACAAGCACAGACAATCCCTGTGCAACAATGAACTTCGGTCCAGATCTCGGCCTTGTCGAAGGCAACGGCGTGGCTTCCCGGGGAATAGCCAACTATGGCTTTGACGAGGCCGGAAGCGATAACACTACGTCGCCATCAGATGTTAGTTTATCTCAATGTTGACGGCGTGTGATGTCAATAAAGCAGTAGTGGCTTACAATACACCCAGTAAGAAAACAGCTGTCGTGGCAATTTTCCTACTAGTACTCAATTGAAGTCGTAATACCATTCTTATTGGCATTGCTATGATGTAGATGTCGATGGCAGCCTCAAGTATGCCAGTCACGAACCAGAATACGTTGAAGTTAAAGCAATACTCTGGATGCCAGTATGGGATCCAATTGTATTCGACGGGGACGCATTGTAGAATGGCCGCCAGAGTGAGCCCTAGCCAGTAGACACTGACTAGCACGCCTGCGGCGATAATCTGACTTCGGAAGGAGGGGTCCACCGAGAATAGGCGATGGTACATGAGGACTATCGACAATTTCGTCGAGGAAGTAATCGTAAAGTATAGGACAGTCGCAGCATAGATGGCTTTGTTGTATAGAACGTCACTGGGTGTGTAGTTCTCGTCCGCAGCAGGGTCATCCTGCGTGTCGTCCGCGCCCGGGGCGCTGCTGGTTGCTGGATCTCTGTCAGCACAAGCTAATCCGATTGCTCTGAAGCGTTTCTTGAGATGCTGTTGGAACGTCATACGAACCCCATATGATCAAAGCGTCTGTCAGTAGGGTTGCCAAAAGCGCCAGCAGGATCAGGCCGTCATCCCAGCTGAGACCAGTCTTGGTATAACGGCGAGACCAGAATCGTAGCGCGACGGAGATTATGGCGAGCGCCGCTATCAGAACTCCAACTATGATTGAGGGGTCCATCCCGTGGTGCTGACAACAACAATTCTGCGATATTCATGGAATGGAGACTGACTTCCAATGAGATGGTGCGGAGCGGCGCCAACTCACCAAATTCACTTGCGTAGAATGAGGTCTCCGCAGAGAGAAAATGCCTTTGGGGGGAGGCAAAGATGATATACATCCATCCTCGTAATTCGGACGCCTGGAAACAGTATATCGAAAGTTTTGTCCTATTTAAAGCCTAGAGTGGGCCGAAAGGTGCGGTCAGCCTTACGTATCATAGTGCGTGCTCGATGCCACGCAATACAGTACCATACCAGTGGCACGGTAGCACACGTTTCCTTGGCGTAATCGATTGTGAGACTGGGAACCAAGATGATTGGCTTACCGCTAATGTATTATTAGCAGCCCTCACGGCATTGTAATATATTCCCCGCACCCACATGGCTTACTTGCATATAGAGATCTTTTCGATTAAAATAAGCGCCTGCGAAGGACTTGTGTTTTTGCTGTGCCGCGCGGAAAGGACCATCGGACATGCGGACCGATCCACACCACCTAAGCAATCTGGCGTCGATGAATCTTCAGACCACCCACATGGCTATCTAACTTATACAGCCCGCGGCATATCAGACGCGACTCGGCCAGCCAGATGGAGACAAGGCATCTGGGATGTACATGCCCTGGGGTATAAGTCACATTTTATTATCTTTTCATAGCCAGAGGTTTCAGCTTACATGCGAGCAGCATGTGCCGGCTTTGGATAGATGGTTTCTGCTGCGTACTAATGTCTTAGTGAACTATGAATAGTCTTAGCCACCAGCACCGCTCATAGTCGGGGAGTTCCATTCCGCTCCTCTTGAAGCCTGATCCTCTGTAAACTGCCTTTCCGGTTCCTGGCTGGTCGTAAGGTTACCCTAGACCATTATGTGGTGAACCCTCTACATACGAATGCTCGGCTTGTCAGGTCAGTTCTGGAAAGAACTTCTACTGAGTCTGTGTGCCGCGTGCAGTACGGAATTGGAGCAAGTGACGAGCTAGCTAAGATTGGATGGTGGGGACGGTTGCTTCAGTGAGCTCCACTCCCTGGAGATACACTAGAATTCCATAGGTGTTCCCTTATCACTGTGGCTGCACGGCTAACTCCCGTATAGCGTGCCGCTGTACGATGATGCTGTAATCCTCTCCCTAGGTGACCATGCAGGTTGCAATGATGCAACTAATTATGGTGTGAGAACCCAATGCTACGCTTGCCAATGGCCTGCTCTCAACGTTGAATTGGTGCTAGGGCTTTCTTGCGTTCGGGTCATTCCCTGCCTGCTGGCTATTCGGAGTTAACTTGGCACCACTGGCGGCATTCGATCCGCCAGAGAGGTTCCAGCAACCCGCCAATTGAGAGTCGCAGCCTGTAGAGTCCTGTTCCAGCTCAATAGAGTACTGTAACCTGATATTGATCACCGATTCCATAACCTATCGCGTGTCAACCTCAACTTGCTATTGACATAGTAGAAGACTGACACAAAGATCGCTCTCAGGATCAGTGGCGCAGCAAGCCTTCCCCGCAATTCGGGCCTCCAAGAGTATTAGGCAACCAAAATTGAGCCATACATATTGCTACACAATTTCATTTCATCCTTTCCACTCGGGCTTGACCGCTCGTGTTCTGCTATAGTACTGTCTGTGATCACGTCCCAGCGCTGCATATATACACAGACAGGATACGATGGGAGACCACATTGCAGTCGCGGAAGCTGCGCGGCCGAGAGGGCAGGGTTACATGGCCCAGACCGTACGAAGCCCTGCCCCTAAGTTTCCAGCAGGCCTGGCAAGCCTGATGTCCCCCGAGCTGCCAGCGAAGCAGCATGCATCGTTAGACACGGAGCTGTCCCGAGGGGACGCCACTACCAAGGCATTCTTTGACCACTCACGTGGGATCCGCGTCAACACGGATGCCGTGGTATCGGCTGCTCTCACAGCGCAGTACCCGTCCCTGGAACTGGTCGTTGCGCCCGCCCAAAACTGCAACCTCATCGCGTACGCGAGGGCGGGTTATGCTAGCTACGATGCTGTGGAGGACGGATCTGGCAGCCTGCCGGGCTCGCTGCAATGGGACCTGTACATTCCACCGACCAGGCGTCTTGACGGCGCACTTGGTGGCCTGGGTGAGAGAACATTGTTCGGAAAGTATATCTACAAGTGGAAGGGGTCCGACTTCATCGTCTATTACATTGAGGGCCGTGATGGTGAAATGAGTTATCCCGCCGTCGACAACTATTACATCATGACCACGGCCAAGGCGAAGGCCCAGCAGCTGATCCTCGAAGCTGGACGCTGGAGCGCAGATCTGCACGAGGAGATCTGGGTGTTCGATGGGGGCTACTGGCAGAAATCCCGGGAGCTGTACGACTCGATCAGGAACGCAAGTTGGGAGTCCGTTATCCTCAATCCGGAAATGAAGAGAAGTATTATCGACGATCACCTGAGCTTCTTCAAAGGTCGTGAAACCTACAAGAACCTCCAAGTCCCATGGAAACGGGGCATTATCTACTACGGCCCGCCAGGTAACGGGAAGACTATCAGTATCAAGGCGATGATGCATACTCTGTACGCCCAGTCGCCGGTTCCAATTCCCACGTTATATGTACGAAGTCTGTTCTCTGTGAGTGCCCGTGTTGTGGAAAGTTTATGAAGCTTTGTTTCGCTGATGCGGTGGTTAGTACGGAGGACCTGAGGCTTCGATCAAGCAAGTATTCGGCAAGGCGCGCGAGTTTGCTCCTTGCTATCTGGTGTTTGAGGACCTTGATACCATTGTCAGCGACAACGTGCGCAGTTACTTCCTAAACGAGGTCGACGGTCTCAAGAACAATGATGGCATCTTCATGGTCGGCAGCACCAATCATCTCGACCGTTTGGACCCAGGTATCTCGGTAAGACATTCCTAGACCCAGTTTGATGGCCACTAAAAGTTTCTGAATCTAAATGACGCACAGAAACGCCCCTCTCGTTTTGATAGGAAGTATTACTTCCCGGACCCCACCCTCGAAGAACGCGTTGCGTACTGCCAGTTCTGGCAGAAGAAACTGGCCGGCAACGAGGAAATCGAATTCCCAAACAAGTTGTGCAAGGCGATTGCAGGAATTACAGATGATTTCAGTTTCGCCTATATGCAAGAGGCATTCGTGGCTGCGTTGTTGGCCATTGCGCGCAGGTCAGACACCCGCGGATCTAGCATCGTAGGCTTCATGGAGGATTTAGGAGACGATTGGGTTGGCGTGGGTGGCGGCGATCAAGATCTTAGCAGATTGCCGCTTTGGGTGGAGATCAAGAAGCAGGTCCAGATTCTCAGAGAAGGTATGGAGGAGAAGAGTGAGGCCATCACCAGCTTGTAGTGGGCGGCATCTTTCACATGCATTAACCCCCACTGCACCCTATGTACAACGAACATGTAAACACTTCAACAACAACGTCTTCTTGGCATCTTGAGAGCAAGAGGAACTGCACGTTAGGGAGGCGAAGCTAGGCCTGTTGGACTTGGTTACGCAGTCTGCTGCTCTGAATACAAAACTCCAACTTAAGCTGCATCTACAGAGTACTTTGTGCCACCCTGGCGTCTGATCTCGTCCATAATCTCCATGACTCGAATAGTCTCAGACCAGGGCATAACTGGGCTCTCCTCCCTTCCAGCTGCAAGATCCAATGCCGTGTTATCAGCCTCATAGATGAAGCCCTGCTGCGGTCGGTCAAAGTCATACTTCTTGCCCTGTGGTTTTTCATCGCCGGTCCACTTCGGGTACACTGTAAATGAACGTGGATGAGAAGGGGCACTTCCTTCGACCTCCACGAAGCCATTGGTGCCATCGATGGTGGCAACGATCTGAGATGCGCCGTTCTTGCGCTCGGTGGTCGACGAGACAATACCTTGACGCCCACTGCTGGGATAGTGCAAAACGACACTGGTCGTGACTTCGATGCCATCGACAAATGATTGAGCAGCCATGATCTTGGGCATTTCTCTCTGAGCTGGTGCTTTAGGCTCCAGCGTCAAGATGGCCCACGTCAAGGCGTAGATTCCAATATCTAGCAGCGAGCCCGCCCCAAGGTCGATGTCCTTGTACCGAGACGTCGAGGGCAGACCTGCCATGTCAAGGTACATCTGGAAGTCCGACGCCGTCCTGAATACCTCGCCGATGACATTGTCCTCATACAGCAGCCTTCTCAACTCGGTCACCATGGGCCGATGCCGGAGCCACATGGCCTCGGCGATATAGACACCCTTCTGCTTAGCAGCATCGAAGACCTCTCGCGCCTCCCGGGCGTTGATCGTGAAGGCTTTCTCGCAGAGGATGTTCTTGCCAGCCGCAATGGCAGCAAGGCAATCTCGCTTGTGGAAGCCATGGGGGCTGCCGATGTAGACACAGTCCACATTTGGGTCGCTGTAAACCTCAGCGTAGCTGCCGTAGAGGGCCGGGTCATGCGCTGAGGCGGCGTCCTTGAGGTACTTGGCGGCAAAGCCTTTGCTCTTGTCCAGCGATGAAGACCCAATGGCCTGGATGACATGCCTTGCCTTTGCGTCAGACCGCGGGGCTACCAGGTCGGCCACGAACCATGAGGAGATGAGGCCCGTGGCTGCGGGAGGGGTCGTGTGAGTACGCAGGTTCGACAGACGACAGAGGCTGGGACTCACTGATAATGCCCCAGCGGCAGGTTGGAATAGGAACCTCGGCCATTCTATCAGGTTACACAATTATGTAGCACGGGGATTGGAGTATCTATTGACCTAACTTACCAGGCCTGCACTCGATGATGGGGGGGGGCAGACTCCCGTGGGGTAGGGAGCGGGGGAGGGGAAGAAGTGACAATTTTTGGGACACTGACGTCAAACCACAATTGTTAGCCCTGGCCGCAAATGCACCAAGCCCCAGTCCCCTCTTGACGGCTATATTGAGCTGGCCATCCGCTGCTTGACTACCTATATGTTTCCATGCCGACGTCGAGCTACTGTTGACCCCCGTGGGTGAACAATTACCTAGGTACCTGGGCAACCTAGGTAGGCCGTCGCACCCGATGCAAAGTCTTCCACAGAATAGTAAGTGCATTTAGCAATTCAAGATCTTGGATCCGCCATGGCTTTTCCTCTGAAAGATGCCCTCCGGATCGTGTTGCACTGCGGCTTGCTTGCTGGCCGCGGGATCCAGTAGGGAGCCAAGTGGGTTTTGCGCTCGGTCGGCATAGTTGATATACGTCCAGTCGATGCGTCCATCCACCGATTTGGCGTACTCGTCGACCTCATTCAGGTACTCTCGAGCCACCTCGAAACCAAAGTCCCGAATCTCCTCTTCACTGATGTTGATGGAAAGGAGCATGGAGATGACGTTGCGTCCTCTCAGGTGCTGATCGAGTCCCATTACATTCCCCCTCTTTCATCGCCCAACGTGCCGTAGAAGCTTGGTATTACTGGAACAAACACAGCGAACTGAATTATTTTGCGGTGGAATGGTCACAATCCTTCGCCTTCTTTGACCCAGACGAGAAGATTGGTTAAATCTCTAATGTCATGGCAGTGCATAAGGTTTACAGAAGGTCTGGTGAGACACCGAACAGTGTCCGCTATATACTCCCCATCTTGTCCTTCTTCCTTGAGAGGGGACAATATTCAGTCTTTTATGAATTGAACCATATATTGGACTTCTGATTATACGTGACCTCACAATCCCTCTAACATCTAAACACGAACATAGTGACTCGTATAGAAGAGTGAAACTGTTTGACACAGTAAACGATCAATAGCGAACCTGGCTCAACCTGTACCGACTCCCTGGATCTGAGTGAGAGAACTGCGTTAATTGTTAGCTGAAGAGATTGCGCTTGTGCGGTTATGTTCAATACGTAAGTTTAAGTCCTGTAGATCAAAGATTGAAACGCGGAGCCTTGCTACTGGTAAAAAACAGCTGTAGTGATGGAATGACAGATTAGCACCTTCCCATTCATATTTAAACTTCCATCACTATTCAACATTCACGTTTCTTCTCCGAAGGAAGTGTACATTTCATAAGAAGCCGGAACTACGTACGTATTCGTACACAATGTCTGTTTACACTCATCCAGGTGGCCAGATAAGCCTGCTAGCTTCACCTCCTCTATTTATTCAATCAAGCCCACGAAACATTGTAATAGGTGGTCTATTCCACGCACTACCCCTGCTTTCTAACGTATCAATAAGCTTGAGTAGTCGAAACACTGGGTTTGATCATGAATAGTATTATTATCAGCCATGGCTCTCCTAAGGTTAATCGGAATATTGCAACTACCCAGGACTAGTTCTACTTTGAAGAAGACTCAAAGACTGTCTTCATCTGAGCTGGGCCGTACCCTGCATTTAAAGAGAGCTGCAGAGTGATGCGCGCTTTCTGGGGGCTCAGAAAGCCACCGCCGTAGCCGACTGAATCGTTGGGCTCCACATAGCCATCCATTGTGCGTCGAGAAAAAACGACGGCAGTCTCGTTTTGCTCAACAAGCTGCTGGATCACATCCCTGCCTGGGTCGGTCCAGCCACCGGCACCCATGCCCGCAAGCACCAAACCCTTAGCTCCACTTGCGACGGCGGCTGTAGCAAGAGCTGGGTTCAACCCCTGATAGCCGTATAGGACATCCACTTGAGGCAGCACAGTTGTATTGGCGACATCAAAGTAAGGTTTTCCTAGCGGCGTGCTGGGGGTTGAATAGAAGATGGGCTCAATATTAATAAAGAAGCCCAGGAATCCTTGCTCGTAAGCCTTGAAGGTGTCTAGAGAGTTTGCATTCGTCTTGGTGGTGAAGTAAGCACTCGCTATCCTGTCGTTCAACACGACCATGGTTCCACGGCCACGAGCCCCTGGGCTCGCTGCCAGAGTCACAGCTTCAAGAAGATTGATGGGCCCATCGGCGCTGATAGCTGTAGCGGGCCGCATCGCTCCGACAACCACCACCGGTTTCTCAGATCGGGTTGTCAAATCAAGGAAGAAAGCGGACTCCTCAAGCGTATCTGTTCCGTGGGTAACGACAACGCCTTGGCAATAGGGGCTGGCTAGCTCTTCCTGGATCTGATGTGTCAGATTCAGCAGAATGGCAGGCGTGATGTTGCCGGAATCCACATTGGCAATCTGCACTCCCTTGACGTTGGAGACATTTAGGATCTCGGGCACAGCGTCAATCAGGACTTGGACTCCCAGGGCACCTGCTTGGTAGCCGGTCGTTTGGTCCTTGCTACTGGCACTTCCTGCAATAGTCCCCCCGGTCGCAAAGATAGTAACGTTGGGTAAACTGGCATTGTAGGAGGTAGGGTCTCTGACCAGAAGACTTGTAGCAGGACGAATTACGGGTGATGCTGAGGCGAGGGTAGCCGGCAAGGCAAGCAAGGTTAGGATATTAAGGGCTACCATGATGCCGCTTAGATGAACAAGCACTTGTATTAGTGATTCTGCCACGGGAGGATGGCTACTCGCTTAGCATTTCTCTTAATCGTGGCACCGAAAACTTTTATATCAACTCTTGCCAAACGCAAATATCAAGCTTACAAACGGCAATTATGTGAGGCCATTGAAAAGTGGTTAGTGTGACAAGTGAATCGGATAAGACTAAACGAAATAGACACTAGGCGTGAAGTGAACAGGGATCACCAGCGCCGCATCCGACGTTATCGGCCGTTGGGACTATGACGTCCAGCGTTGGGGTTTAGTGTGCCGCTGCTCCAAAATCCCCGGAGATATTCCTTGACCAAAAGGCAATGGCGCATGTTAGGAAGCGTGCTAGAAGAACTCTAAAAACAACTCTTGGTCCTATACGAGTCGTCTTATCTGGCAATATAGTCCTCTTGAAACTCACCTTGCGCTTGCGAATTTCGGACTTCGGATCAGGCGCCCACATCATCGGCTTCGTTCCGACACTGGTCCAGGCTAGATAGGCTGCTAATCTTTGGAGAGTCAGTTTCGCCAAGCCAGTTATCTTCAAGTACCCCGCTCACGCTATCTATTCCGAGCCGGTCTGATATGGATACATTGCTGTACTATGTGCAGTCAGGTTTCTTTCAGAGTTATGCCCAGCCCGTTCGCGAGTCGTTGCTGAAAGACCACACTCGGGGGACGACACGCACATTCTCGTAACATGAGTATGCAAATGCCCTTAGAACAGACAAGAGTTTCGTCCGGGAGCAGTGAAATGATTCCCAGAACCATTGTGAGCGATTCCTTTCATGTCACCCTCTCCTAAGTGGATCATTGCGAATTGCAACCAAGTTGGACGAGCGTTGAATTGCACCTCAGCATTAGCGACTGTATGAACACCTCACACCTCAAATGCGTCGATATCGCGAAGCTTCCGTACCATTGAAGCGAACATACCCGCTAAATTAGGTTCTCTGTTGGAATACTCATGCGATGTTGAGGTAATGGTTCAGCAATGTTGTTAGATTTGAAACTTGAGATAGACCTTAGGCTCAGACTATTGAACGGACGTCGACACGTATCTTCAGGATATATTTTGTTCTGTTTGTTTTGTTTATGCCAAGTTGCCTCGCACACTGACTAAGACTGCACGTAGTTAGCTATCACAATCCGCACGTTCATGTAGGTACACTGTGGGACAACCTCCAGTGCCAGCGTTGAGACAACCAGAGAAAATGGATTGCGATGAATTTAATTCTTGAATTGTGTAGATATTTCAATGGGACTTAGAGGCTATTTGTTGGGATAATGCACGCCTGCCTGGCAATGTAATCCTTTGCTCACCCGGAATCCGCCTTGCCATCGAATGCCGGTCGCCCAACCTGGCCGGATGAATCATCGTTGGCTCCTGCACCATGCACCAAAAATAGATATGCGGTGTGGGATCCACTGGCATTCGGTCTCCCAACTGCACCTACACAGTACCTGTCTATGAACTTGCACGCCAGCCATCCATGCCGATGCTGTACCGACCTCTCTCAAGTTCCTCAAACTTTACAGAGATACGCCTTCTCACGGTACTACCGGCAGAGGACATCACTGACCCTGTTCGTTGTCATTTGACCGTCACAGATCGGAGTGGTTGCTCAGCCTACGAAGCCCTGTCCTACTGCTGGGGCGATACTTCATCGAAATGCGACATTGAGATCAATGGACAACCTGTTGATGTGACGCAGAATCTTCTCTGTGCTTTGCAGCATCTGCGAACCTCAGACTCGTCCAGGATATTGTGGGTCGACGCTATATGCATCAACCAAGATGATGATGTCGAAAAGTCCAGACAGGTTCTGCTGATGCGAGATATCTTCAAGAGCGCGAGCCAGGTTATCGTATGGCTCGGTCCCACCGCTACGGATAGCAGCCTGGGATTTGAGGCCCTGAAAAGGTGCCTCGCTTGGTATCCTGAGCTAGAAAGAAGTTTTTCATCGGACGCGTTGGGCACCATAAGATTTGGACTTCTAGAAAGATTTTTGCGGCGCTTGGGTGTGTCGCCAGTTTTGCAACCGGATGTCAAGAAGCAGTATGCCTCGTGCTACCAACTCCACCAACCAGAGCTGGCTGCTATACGTGGGCTGCTGGAACGGGAATACTGGACGAGGCTCTGGGTCGTCCAAGAAGTGTGTGTCGCCTCCCAAATTGTCGTCGTCTGTGGTCACCTGACCATGATAGGCGATGAGTTCACCAACGCTTGCAAAGTTGCCCTAGGACCTGGTGGCCTATTGCAGGAGCTTGGTGCCCCTCTTTGGCTTTCTTGTGTAGTTGGCCTGGCAAAACTACGAGGCCTCTTTCGAGATGAAGCATCTGCCGCGAACTCTACTCAGGCTCCAAGCACAGAATCGATAGCCGAAATTGGGAACGACCATGCAGCCAACAGTGATGCTAGCCTTCAACGTATCTTGGACATTGGCTCCAGTTTCAGCTGCACCGATCCTCACGACAAGGTATATGGACTACTCGGATTGGCAACTGCCCCATCCATCATACCGGACTACAACCTGCCTTTGGCAACCTGTTACCAAAACATCACAACGAGCTTGATTACAAATATGGAAAATCTCGATGTATTTACCAGGTTTGATGCGCACTATAACCTACGAACTACAGCCGAACTCCCCTCCTGGGTTGTTGATCTCAACCTCGATCTCAGCAGTTGGGAACACCATTCGTGGGGCCCGGCCAGCCCATTCAAGTATCATTTGGCGTTGGCGTCGTTGGCCTCAATTATTTTAGATAAAATGAAGGTGACGGAAAGAGAGCCCGAGTTCAATGCATCTGGGTCCTCTACTACCGTCTTGCCCAAGGTCATCGAAGATTCCATCCTGGTTCTGGAGGGCCACACGAACGATCATATAGCTGTTCTTGGTTCCCAGCTGGATGGACGGCTTGATGGCGATAATGAGGAATCATGGCGGTTTTTTTCTGAAGAAAACCGGGCGCATTCATTATATAATCGCTGTCGCCTCTTCATTCAGCAATGTCTGCGCACCAGTTGCTGGGTCGACGTTCTCATGCAATGGGAGGATATTGCGATGAAGGATCCAATGATGTCTAGACAACAGAACACGGAAGCATTCTGCCGTCTTCTCCAAATGGCTCACCCCTCAGCAGACCTGACAATTCAGGTTGGTTTGTATGAGGAGGCGTGGGGATCTTTGATTAGTTGGCTGCGCATCCTTCGTCCATTGAAACTATTCGGAGCTGGTCGTGGACTGAATCCCTACCACCTGGTTGCTGGGTTGATATCGTATTTCTCAACAACACGCTCAGAGTCGAAGACGCACCTAGTCTTGTTTGTTGATCGAGTTTTGAGAGGCTTCAAAGTTGCCCGGACTGCGAAGGGGAGGCTGGCATTGGTATCGGTGCGAACACAACACGATGACAAGGTCATCTTGCTCAGCGGTGGCAAGACTCCTTTTATTGCAAGGGCCAAAAATGGTAGATGGGAGTTCATCGGGCCTTGTTATGTCGACGGCATCATGCTTGGCGAAGACTGGAGACAAGATCATCAGCAAAATTTTGAGTTCCTCTAGAGCAAGAAGGCGAAAACACGAAGAGCAGGATTTCCTGCTTACGACTGCTGGCACAGGTGACGTCGCGTATTATTTATACCTAGCTATTGCAGTATGATGTATCGCTGGTTTTGGAAAGTACAGTCTAGCTGCATGTGTGTCTTGCCTCTTACTATTAATTCGGGGCGTATGAGTGAAGTAGAGGCTATAGGTAGTCTGTCCCCTGGGAGACTGACAGTAATGCCACTTGAACAGACCACGTCAGGCCATTGGGTTCCTCGAACATGACATTCCTTTGCAAAATGTTCCTTTGATCTTGAGCGTTGGCTGACGAGCTCACTCCCTCCCTCGCTCCTTGGTTTAAGACGGCAGAATCCCATAGTTGACAAAAAAGGCAATACAAGCTGTCGGCCTACGCCCGACTCTAGAATCAGTAACTCAAGGCATATCTAGAGCGTAGCTCGGAGATGAGAGAAATAAAGGGGGCGGAAAGCATCGCTATTTTGAGACTCGTATTGCAACTCCAAATTTAATCGAGTATCTCTGTGTGTTCAAACAGCCCGAGCGAACATATCGGTCAAGTTGAAGCTGTGGCAAGATACCTCGGATTGATGGCGTCGCATTCCCCCACATTTTCGCAGGGGGATACTTGAAAATGCAGGCCTCGGCCGGGAGCATCTCGTACGAATCGGCCTTGGCCGCATTTTCCAGGATCTGAACCCGGTAAATATTGCACCAGCGGAGATTATCGTGGTTCGATGGCTTATGCGCTATGTAGTATCAATGGCTTACCCCGAATAACCTTTGCATGAGGCATGCTACACATTTGACTGCCGATGCGTAGTATCCCTAACGCATGTGATGAAGGAAGGCATGCATAGTATATATTGAGCACAGTCGTGCGATTGTTTTTTTTTTTTTTTTTTTTTTTTTTTTTTTTTTTTTTTTTTGGTCTTGGAAGAACAACCCTGCTGAGGTCTGGCTCAGGTAATCTTTGCAAATCTGCCAAGATGCTGAAGCTTATGGTCCTCACTGCTCTTGCCGTAGTCGTCGGCAGTCCAGTTGCTGGTGCCCTCATGGCACCTCAAATTTCTGAGCGGCAAAACCCAGCATGCGAAAATACGGCGACATCTCGAGCTTGCTGGGGTGACTTCAGCATCGACACTGATTATTATGATAATACACCAAAGACTGGCCAAATAAGAGAAGTCCGTAAACCTTTCCGGGCGGAATATCACGCGCACTAAACCTCGAAACAGTACTGGCTGAGTACTGAGATGCGTGCCCTTGCACCCGATGGCTATGAAAGAGAAGTGATGGTCTTTAATGGAACGCTCCCGGGCCCTACTATCGAAGCGGACTGGGGCGACGAGCTCATTATTCATGTGACGAATAACATTCCCAACAACGGGTAATTATGTCTCCATTGTTATCGGATGGCACTCAAGCTCATTTTTGCACAGGACTGCAATCCACTGGCATGGAATCCGGCAACTAAATACCAATATTCATGACGGCATGCATACCCATCGATATTTAAACACAAGCTATTGACACATATTAGGGGTCCCAGGGGTGACGCAGTGCCCAATCGCACCTGGGCAGACCATGACGTATCGATTCAGAGCGACGCAGTATGGTACCTCTTGGTATCATTCCCATTTCAGTCTACAGCTCGCAGAAGGTCTTTTTGGACCGATCGTGATACACGGACCGACTACAGCAAACTATGACGTTGACCTCGGCCCGGTGCTCATTGGAGACTGGTCACACGTCAGTGCATTCCAGATTTGGGAAGAGACCCAACGCGTTCTGGCATTGAAGCAGCCTGTTGCAGAGAATGGCCTCATCAACGGCCTCAATCCGTACGACTGTACTAGATCGAGAGATCCGGCTTGCATAGGCACGACTGATCGATTTGAGGTTGCCTTTGAGAAGGGGAAGAAGTACCTCCTGCGCGTCGTTGGTGTGCAAGTGGATGGATATATGAAGTTCACAATTGACGGGCACAGACTGACTGTCATAGCTACCGATTTTGTCCCCATCCAGCCTTATGAAACGGATAGCATTATTCTGGCGAGCGGGCAGCGATACGATGTCATTGTTGAAGCCGACCAAAAAGTCGATTCATACTGGCTGCGAGCTATCTACCAGACAGCTTGCAATAATAATGACAACGAAAGTAAAGACAATATCTTGGGAGTCGTCCGGTATGAAGGCACTGACGTCAATGCCGACCCATCAACGAGGGCGCACCGGACCATTACGAACTCGTGCGGCGATGAACCGTATGAGAACCTCGTTCCATGGGTTTCGCACCAGGTCGGGGCCAGCGATATAGAGGACTATCTCATTCTTAGTTGGTACTACCAATTGGACCTGGTATTTCACTGGACGCTACGCACCAAAACCTTGATCGTTGACTGGGCAAAACCCACGGTAATAGATATTTACAATGGCGTCACCAAGTATCCAACAGAGGGTAATGTTGTGACGATCGATGCAGAGGACCAGTGGGTGTACTGGGTGGTTCAGGACTTGACATTGGTTGACGCTTTTCATCCATTCCACCTCCACGGCCACGACTTTTATGTTTTGGCACAGGGCGAGGGTCCATTCATACCAGGGCTCGTGAAACTGAACAGAAACAACCCACCAAGGAGGGACACCGTGTCGCTTTATGGAAATGGCTATGCGGTTATAGCCTTCAAGACCGACAATCCAGGGTAAGTTGCGCTCGCGAGTTCTTGATCCCTTGTGCCCTCGGTTGACCGAATAACTTACGGTAATGTCCAGGTCGTGGCTGTTTCACTGTCACATTGCATGGCATGCAAGCCAAGGGCTAGCAATGCAGCTGATTGAGAGACCGGGCGACCTATCCACGCTGATGGAAGGCGAGGTGGACGGCTTGAACAAAACCTGCAACGCATGGGTCCCATTCTACAACTCGCCAGCTCAGGCCGACGATGAGCAGGACGACTCCGGTATATGATCTTTCACAGATCTCCTCAAGGCTGTGATCGTGTTATAGGTTAGGGGGTCCACGATCTAATCATTAATGTAATCAAGACATATTTTATGCCGGCTGAGGGCTTGAATCTGTGAGGTCGTAACAAGAGCTTTTGCATTGGCACTAGACGAGCCGGTCTCTTAATGGCCGCTGAGCAAGTCCCGAAGCTGGAAAGCTATGGCTGCCCAGGTGGCTGGTGGGGCTCAGGTGCCACTCCTAAAATCCTGGGGCCGGCCGTGCTACCTAAGTTATCCTACAGTAGCTACCATCACGGTAGCGCTCAGCGCACGGCTTCGCCAGTATTGTCGCTTCAGTCCTCCAACTTGCCAAACACCAGGTAGCATCACACCGCAACGGTTGGCATTGTTAGCACTATCGTATGTGCCGATCAGTCTTCATGGGGCGATGAGCCACTATCATGGCCTTCACTTTCATTGATAACTCCGCGATTGACCGCAGCGCCAGGAGACTCATCCGCAGCCGTGCGGCTGAAGGGAAGAATCTTGGAAAAGGGCGACCGAGAAAGACACCACGGAGATCGGAGACTGCGGCCACAGCTGGGTATCAGATACCGACCAGGGAGAAGGAGCGGCCTCAACCCCATGCCGTGGATCAAGTCGCAAGACTGGAACGCCCGTATTCCGACACCTTCTCCTCGGTTGCTTTCCCTTACGAGCTCACCCCCAGATTGAGGAGTCTCTTACATAAAGGTCGATTCTACTCGAGTATTCAATTCCTACATGCACCGTTGATCTAACTCAAATTTACAGTCTTCTCATTCATTATAGCAAAGCCTTATCCGGTGGGACTGGTGGATGCTATTGCAGTTGACCAGTCTAAGTCACTCTGGGTTCCTTTAGTTTTCACAGACGAGGCCTGTATAGTCAACCTCTGTTCCACTGAACCTCTACCTGACTCGAACAACTAACACATATAGTCTTCCACTGCACTGTTGCAACGCTTGGAATTGTCCACGGCCCTCATATTATAGGCAGTGAAGGTAGTGCAGAGACTGCAAATCACCTTGCTCGTACATTCCGCCTCGTCAACAACAAATTATCTGGACCGCAAGCAACAAGCAACACTACCCTCGCGGCGGTGATCGCGCTGACGCAATATGAGCGCCTCCGTTCTCAGCACCGCCAAGGCCTCATTCACCTCCATGGCCTGCGACGAATCGTGGAGATGCGAGGAGGCATTGGCAAATTGATCCAAGAGAGCCCAGGAATTTCCCAGAAGATATTTAGGTAAAGTGTCTCCGCCTCGGGGGAACCTTAGGCGCAATTATACTGACCCTCTCCAGGGCCGACCTCGAATTCGCTCTTAATCTTGGCACACCGACGATGTTCAGCCATACAGACCTGCCAAGCTACGATGCCATCGAACTGATGGGTAGCCCCCTTGCAGACATGACCCAGGTTGCGTCTACGCACCCACTCTTCGCGCAGCTGGATACAGATGTACTTGTAAGTTTTTGATATAGCTACTCTGGCCATCACTTCACAATTATCCAGCGTGTATCGCAGTGAATGAAGTGAAGCTTGAGACATCACTACTGTGAAGAATCTCCTAGGATTCTGTGTATAAGACTAACTTGTGTATGCTCTTCCGGCTATCATGATTGACATGATACATCTGAGCGACATAGTGAACAACGCTACGGATAGTATTGTCAAGCTGGACGGCTACATCTTGCATGATACCATACTTTTGTTAGGGTATCGCCTGATCAATTCTAGCCCTCTCGGTGGGCAGCAGCCTAAAAGTTCTTTGGGGAACTTAGTCCACCTCGGACTTGTATCTTTCCTTCTGACTTTTCTGGCTGGGCTGAATCGAAAAGTTCCCTCCATACCACTGCTGTCAAAACTCCTGGAGAACGCTGCACTTGGATGGCCTCAGCAGGACGGCGAAGATGGGCACTACATCCTTCTCTGGGCTCTATTCATCGGGCGTACCACGACCTTGAGGGAACGCGATGACATGTGGGTGTTACCCAAGATAACTCAAATCGTGCAGGCTCTTGGTTTGAGCAATCTTGAAGATTTCCTTCGTGCAATGTCACTATTTCCTTGGATCAATGTTCTTCACAACAAACCAGCCACAGTGCTTTGGTCTTTGATATCGGATCGGCTTCAATTACCACCTCTACTTGGTATCTGAAAGGGCACAATCTAACGAAGCTTCTGTACACACCCAGGCACAACATTCTCGAGTTCGGTGGCGATGTCATCCCAAAGGCGTTTCTTAATCAGGTCCCCATCCTTATCCGCGACCTAAATCGGAACAAGCTCCCTTGAGCTAGTGTTAGCGTTAAGACCAATAATGACAGGAGGTCGGAACTCCCTCTTGAATTTCACAGGCATTGAGGAAGCACCCATGCGTTTTTTGTCCCCGCTACTGGCCCATGAAGTAATGTGCGGCTTCCATTCTCTGCGGTTTGTCCCAGTAGAGTCTTGGTGAGGCCTATTGCCATTCTTGGGACGAAGCTAGCGTTTCGAGTTAGACTTGTCTTGTAGAGGCCTGGGCTCACAGGATTCAACACCACCCCAGTCCGTTCAACCGGCATCATACTGGCTAAATGGTGAGCTATAAGAATCTGTAGCAGCTTTGTGAGAGGTTATCCGTTACAGTGGTTGGCTATGGAAAACCGCCACGACGAAAGTTGCAGCCATATCTTGCTGACACGCCCACGTTTGCCTTGTCATCCAATTGTCTTAGCGGCTCATCCTTCACCTTCTCTAGATCCTTCTTCACCCCGTCTAGCCGGCCGGCCCTGCTGGCGACGATGACAAGATGTGGTAGGATAGAAAGCGCTTTGCACTCTCTTTGAGCTTGGGAAGGAGAAGTACCGCCAAGAGAAATGTGCTCAAGACATTAATGGTGGCACTCGCTTCGTGGTCTTCAGCTAGAGTGTATCGGTCGTACGCAGCACCGGCATTCTCGATCAGCGCATCAATGCGATCTAACCGGTCAGTCGCCTGTTTGGCAGAGGCCTTTACGGAGTCGTGTATGTTGAGGTCCGGTGGCCGTACCTCAACGACGCCATGAATGCCCGTGGAAACCTCTATGTCCGCTTTTGCGTTATTTCACGGTTCAGGGTTCCTTGCGGCTAGAATGACTCTTGAAGCGCCGATAGCAGTCAGTTGCCGGGCCGCCTCCAGGCCCAACCTCGTGTTGGCGCCCGTGATGATGTGCGTAGCACCTGAACAGGTTTCTTTGGGTGGAATTATCGGGAGCTCCTGCCACTGCTCTCTGAAGAATTGTGAGAAGGGCATAGCCATAGTGGCTGAAGTGGGATTGCTCCTTCAATCAACTGCACTGGTTTATTGCTTGAAAATAATGGTTCTTGTGGAACGCTCCATGATCGCCATCCCGAAGGCAGACCGGCAGCCTTTATAGACTTGTCATATTCATGGACTCTTAGCCAACCGGGCTCTTTCGAATATTCGGTGGTCACTTAAGTTGGAAGTTGGTGGCTATCGCATCATCGACAGTGGCTACAGGAAGACATCACCAACCTCATGCTGTTCGGATGGGCGTCCGACCAATCAAAAGCAACGTCCCGATCAGGTTAGTTCTTACTGCTGAGGAAGAAGAGTCCAATCAGAAACGCACAGCTATATCCCCACAGCCCTGACCAGTTCTAAACTAATTGCTATTAACAGTCTAGCGCCGCGAAGGAGCTACTGACCTGCAAAGTCGCGTATTTCCCGGCCGGATTCCCGTTTCATCGGGAGCGGGCGTGCACAACTCTCTTGTCATCCGGTCGGGTACCTCTCAGTAGTTATAAAATAGCTAGGTACGGTCCCGCCTGTGTGAATTACTGCTTGAACCTACTCTTATCTCCGTGGGCCGGAGGGCTTGGCGCCGGCGCCAAAACCGCCTGTCCTCCCTGTAGGCGGACACGCTGTTGATTTCTCTCGGCGTTAGGACTGTTCGACAATTGTTGAATACCACCACCGTCATGCATCCTGAACGGCCCCGAGATCCAAAAGGGCGGCAGGATCTGGATGAGATGGGAACTACTGTGTTATGTGCGTAAGTGCCTGCCAAACGCCCTGAATCCCAAAGTCAATTTACCGAGGCACGCTGGGCTTTAGCCTAAACTCGACGCGAACCTACCGGTACCCTTCAGTCTGGACGCTAAACCGGGAACGCGGGGCGATACCACCAGTCACGATCGAACTGTTCCTGGCCCTTGACGAGCTGCCAATATCATGCCCGTAGCCTGGGCTGCGGAAGATTTTTGCAAGCCTCCCAATTGGAGGGATCGAGCGGCAGAGCGGAACATCGCGCGGATTTCGGGCAGTTGGAGGAATTGGGGTTGGGCATGTGTCTTGTCGGAATGTAGAAGCTAATCACAGTTCAGTGTCTGCTTTATCCATATAGAGACCAAGGCCGTGGCCGCGATGAATTCCTTGTTGAGTTCCATTTCCTTGTCTGCACGTGGTATGAGCTTCCACTGGTCGTAATGCCGCCGTTCTGGGTCTTGACCTTGCTCAGCGCTGCAGGATTAGCAGCTCCCTCCCCAAAGAGTATTCACTCGGACATCACATTGTTGATCGACAATGACCTGCAAGGTGAGCTTTGTCTCCTCTTCCATCGCTCATCAAGTGATCCCATGAACTGAGTGTCATATCATACAAGGCCCTAATAGCCCGAGCGCAAACTCTGGAGTGATCGTCTTGGCGGCCCGCTCCTACCGGGGTGCGATTACGACTTGTGAAGCATTTGGGGAACACTTATGGTCGCCGGATCTAGGAGCTTCAGATATACAGGCAAGCCTCAACTATTTGAAGTACAAGGAAGCCGAAAATCCACGCGCGCAGTACTGGATAGCGCCTAGTGGTAACAGATCTCGGTCTGTCGATACCAGCGGTGTTGTCTCCTGGTCCCCTCCCTCGGTCGACCTTCCCGCACTCTGTACACAGTCTGCACCGTTCTCAAGTGGCTCTTTCAAAAACACAAGCGAGCAATGGCGAGTCACGGTTGAGTCAAACAACGAGGTTTTGACAGGGTAAGGGAGACATTCTTCCTTCGTCACAACGGTGGCTAACTGGACCAGATTCCGCGATCGATACAGCTTCCGTTTTCTTGGTATTCGGTATGCCCCACAGCCTGAGCGATTCACATACTCGGTGCCGCATATTGGCCAAGGAGGCAAGGTTTCCGCTCTCGAATATGGTTCTCAGTGCGTCCAGGCCGGCGGTGTGGGATCAGAAGACTGCCTGTTCCTGAACGTTTGGACAACCTTCCTGCCAGGATCCGACCCAGGAAAGAAGGATCTCAGGCCAGTGATGGTGAGTTTCTGGTCTCTCGGTGTCCATATAGCGTCGCTTACACCAGGCAGGTTTGGATACACGGTGGTGCATTTACCGGCGGAACTGGCAATGATCCGACCGCAGACGGAGGCAATTTGGCATCCAGGGGCGACGTTGTGGTGGTAGACATTAACTACAGGCTCACAACACTTGGGTTCCTAGCGTTGAAGGATGGTAAGACCAACGGTAACTATGGGCTTGCCGATCAAATCAACGCGCTGGACTGGGTTCGGAGGAACATCAAAGACTTTGGTGGAGATCCCGACCGGGTCACCATCTTCGGTCAGTCCGCTGGAGCGGCCAGCGTTCGAGCCTTGATGGCGTCTCCGAAGTCTATCGGAAAGTTTGCTGGAGCCATCCCTGTTAGCAGTTTGGGAGGAATCAACTACGGCACGACATATTCCAAATACTACACTATTGATGAAGAAATGGAGGTGGCGGGCAATGCGATCTTGAAGGCGACAAACTGCACTGACGCATCGTCTCAGGTGAATTGCCTAAGGGCCGTCTCAGGGGATGTGCTGGCAAGTCTCAGCACCGTGGCGCGATACCCAGTGGTCGATGGGACGTACCTGATTTCGGACAGCCTGGAACTGAAAGGTCCCCCATTGCCTGTGCGGATCATGATGGGCATCACGCGGGACGATGGTGCGCCCATCATCGGCTATCCAACGACCAAGAACGAGACAGCGTACCTAGAAGCTGCAGGGTTTCCCATACCCCCGCCGGATCTGTACCCTGTTCCTGATATGGATAACAAGACACTCGCCCTGTTCAACATGAGTTCGCGCCTTGCGACCGACGGGGTCTTCCGCTGTATCGACCAAGCAACCGTCTACACAGGTCTTCGGTCGGGCCGCTTCAGCCCCAATGTCTTCTTCTACGAGTTCAATCGTACGTATCAGACCTCGGGCTGGCCCGGACTCGACGTTTGCGAGCCGCCCAAGTCAGCCGAACATCCTCATGGAGACCCCAGCAAAGAGTATTTCAAGTGCCACTCGGGCGAGCTGTACTACATATTCGGGAATCTTGCCCGGCAAGGGCTACCTATGCGTGATGAGAATGACCTGCTGTTCGAGCAGTTTGTCTTGGACTCTTTCGCGTCATTTGCGAGGACGTACGATCCGAATCCGGCAATGGGTCTTTTGCAGGCGAGAGGGTATGAGCATACCATCCGAGAGTTGCATACGGCTGGACTGTGGCTTCCTGCAACGAAAGATATAATGACGAAGAGAACACTGCAATGGCCGAGCTTTCAGGGTCCATTCACCGAGGTTGAGCAGTGCGAGGCGCTCAACCTTGGGTTGAACTATTATGAATGAGCTTTGCACAATTGCTGACTTAAGATAGAGATTGTGCATCAGTAATAGACCCCGATGAGGGAATAATACGATCCTTGTGTTAATGCAAAGCCACCTGGAAGGGGTGTGCTGGTTTGCTGGTGGTCTGGACTGTTCATATGGGTGTGGTATGTAAATTTTCCAACTGTGGTCGAGAGCTTTTTGCGCTTTGAAGAACTCATACCTAATGTGACTTTCTGGTGCCTAACTGCTGGCTTGGTTGCAGCATCGCCTTTCCCAGTTGATTTTGGTTGTCCGGCTCATCAGCTTTCACCGGATTTCTCACCCCACACATCATCTATTCAGTTTCCATTTGGTCATCATCCTTTCAGAGCCCCCTCTCACTTCACTTTGGAGCATTTTTCAGTCGCTCATTTAATACCAGAGCACATTCCGCAAGCAGTGCCTATCGTCGTGGTGGTTACAGCCGCGTTTGCTTCTGCTATTCTTCGATTCACATCTCACAGTTGCGTGTCATCCACATGAAACCACTGTTCACATAGACGGCATCGCAAATCATCTACCTAGCACCGCAAGTATCGCCCGGTGTCGACTGGTAATTTCGCGGTACGTGGCCACATGTCCATCGTACAAGGATTTCCATGAATCCGGGCTGTTTTCTCTCTCTCTCTCAAAAGCCCCTACGAGTTTGATTCCACGGCATCCGTCATGCTGACTTACTATCCCGTTGATAGTCGACACTTGACGTGTCCGCCAACGAGGTTGGCGGGTGCCTCAAATCCGTTTGTTCCCAGACAGGTTTTCGTGTCGACACCTGGACAACAATCGTCAAACTCGGGGGAGCAACAGTCAACGACAGGGCCACAAGCAGTTTCGCCTTACTCATCAACCACGAAAGCAACAGCAAATCAGCCCGCAGTGTCTACTTCGATGTCCAATACCCCTTTGGAATCCCCCACGCGCTCTGTAGGCCCGCCCAACATGTCCGAAAACAGCGACCCGACTGTCACGTCCATTGGCACTTGGAAAGTCGTGCTCGCGGTAATGATCCCACTCTTCGTACTGGCGGTCGTTGCAGCACTGTACTTCTGGCACCGGCACCGCTGCCACCAGATCAAGAGGAAGTCAGAGATCGAGCGCGTGGGTACGATGCTGGACGAGCTGCAGGCGCGGTCCACCAATATAGAAGCTATGTCTTACACATTCGAGGCCGGCGTGGAACGCGTCAAGAAGATGGAAACAGAGATGAGAGTCCGGGAGAACAACTGGAGTGAGTAATCTGTTCTAACCTAAGTTGCCCCAATCTTGCCTAACCGAAGACTAGAGCAAGTATACACTAGAAATAACGGCACTGAGGTTACCAGCTACTCGTTGCCGCCTCCAGGGCCCTGGGTTGCCAGCCCTCAGTCAATACCACTCACGCCGACTCCACATTCGGGCTTTCACGGCAAGGCACCTGCAGGTCCTCGTCCTTTGTCTGGCAACACCTTGCAAGGCGGCTTGCCTCGCTCTGCGCCTGGACTTGAATATCTGTCGCGAACACGTTCTGGCTCGGAGTCAGAGGTTGCGCGCTACACAACCCGTCATCCTCCTTCCACGATCGCGGAAGAATCGAGCGCGGGCGGCGGTTCTCCATTCGACACGCCCGGCAGAAACCACAGCCCGCTCCTTCAGCGATCCGACGGTAGCTACGTGATGCTGAATGCTGTCCATCCACCGAACGCCGAAGATGATGCCACATATCCTACGGCTGCGGAGCTGTCGCCGCTACGAAACAATCCTTCCCACCCTGACCTGGTACCTCAGCCTCTGCAAGTTATCAAGCGGAACTCAACGGTTAGGGAGCAATCCACTGGAAATCTGACTCGAGCCCTGTTAAGGCGCTCAGTCAGCGATGCAACGCCCGGCAGCGGCTACATTCGCGCTGGGCTGAACGGCCAGATCTTCACTTCCTACGGGCGGGGCCAACATCGCGACGCCGGACCATCGCCCATTCCTGAGGCATCAGGTGAGTTGACCAGCCCCTTCTCGAGCAAATCACCCATTGCACACTCAACAAGTAGTCAAACTTCCCCAGCTACGGCTATCTCACCGTCGAAGCCCCAGCCTGAAAATCCATTCACCACACCCCGCGCGAGCACTCTCGCCGCAACGTCTGAACCAGGCTCCGGGACACCGGCAACGAGTCCGCCCCAAAGCACCCTCAATTCTCCTCGTCGCTTGAGACGCCCAACCATCCCATTCTGGCAACAGGATATGGAGTGGCGTACGTTCCGGGAGGACTAAGCTGACGCTTCTTTCATTTCAAGGAATTGTGTTGCAGACCACTGCTGAGTGTTGCCTTTCTTCATCGCACCAGAGTCTTGATGGAGCGACTGGACCCCGCAGCGGGCCCAACGATGCTGTCTCTGTAGACTTGGGAAAGCCTTCGTGTCCAGAGAGCAACAGCACTAGTGACACTAAGTCAACAGATAGAGAGGAGGTCTTGAAGAATAAACACAGAAGTCTCCCGGTCCGGGCTCGTCCTCTTCCGCCCAGTCCAACAAAAAGAAGAGCTCTTTCCAAGATCCCTCGTCTGGCATCACCTTGCAAGTCAACTTCCGGCAAGAACAAGACGTCCCAGCATCATCAACTCTCTATCAGGAGGGATGCAAATCACAATTCACCCACGCATTGCAGTTACGAGCATACACAATCGGACACCCGGTACAAAGTGCCTACAATGCTATGCTCAAGTCCCGCCAAGAAGTTCTCCGAGAGCTATCCAAGCAGCCAGTGCCTGCCTGGTATTAAGAGCCCTGTCAAGTTTCAGACTGTGGATGCCGAAGAAGATGAGAAGAAGCAGAACAGGGTGACTTCTTCAGATGACATACTCGGACGTGCAGCAATTTTGAAGGAAATGAGCGAAGCACTGAGACAGTTGGATGAAGCGGATGAGCCCCGTTGATGGGCGAGCATGTTTGGTTTTGCGACACTCTGGTTAATGTGGGCTTGTTGGTGTCCGTTCTCTTTCTTTGACTATGTTTTGTGTGTAGATCTCAGGAGGTGACTGTTTCGGTAGTCTAGTTTTTCCGCATGGCAGAATCTTCTCTCTTTGGAATATCTGGCAAGGGATACGTGTGCCTCGACGAGCGCCAAGTCACTGAGCTCGTCTTCCCAGCCAAAGGATTGCGGAGAAGCTAAATTATATTTTGAGAAATCGCAACATTTTGAGACATCCCTTGCTGTAGGATCACTGATCGTATACCGTGCCCGGGACGTAGAATTCTGCAGGCGACATCATTATCGACTGGGCTGTGAGATCGTACCTCTACGGTGTACGATCGCACACAGAAGCGCCTCTTCTCAAACGCCAGATGCCGAGGCATTGGGCAGACTTTCTGCTGGGGCGTGCCAGGAAGTTTGGGGATTGCAGAACTCCCGCAAGCCACCCAATCTCTGCGGTCTTGGCGGCTCTAACCAAACACCTGATGTGTCTGTTGATCTGCACCTCAAGATCCACACTCTGTGAATTCCATCAAACGACGTTGAGGCTGCGTCGACTTGGCATGAAACAGTGGCCACTCATCATTGAGAATGTTGTGCGGCTGAGAAGAACCCTGAAGGCCACTCAGACACAATCCGTTGTTTGGAGTGGGGTCCTGTCTGAGCCAAGGAACTATATTCTGCTTCTTATTCGATCACATAGCCTCAGTCTGCCTGCCCTGACTCTGGCTGCAGTAGCGTCCCATACAGCGGCTGGAAGCAATGAACCAACCATGTGAGGAGGGATATATAGGTGTATTCAGGACCGGGCCTCAAAACTCAGCGTGGGCTATCTCCCAATACGACTCCCGACTGAACGCCGAACCCCCCCACGATGTATCAAGCCGCTCTTGTCGCTGTTGGTGTACTCGGGTCACTGGCGCTGGGCAAAAACACCGCCGCCGTGGAAATTGTCAGACGAGACACGATAGCCGGAGTTCATCGGGTTGATGTCGGCAAGAATGGATTGACCTTTGAGCCCCGAAACGTTACCGCGAAGGAAGGCGAGATTGTCGAGTTCCATTTCTGGGCGGGAACACACTCGGTTGCGGAGGGCGACTACTTCGACGCATGCCAACCCGAGAATGCAACGAACCTGAACCCGGCGGGCTTTTATAGCGGGCCTATCACGGTCTCCTCCGGCGAGGCTGCGGATGTGTTCTCCGTGACAGTGAACAACTCGGCGAGTGCCATGTGGTTTTACTCCGCCGTAGATGACCAATGCCAGAAGGGGATGCTCGGTGTTATCAACCTGGCGTACGTTCCACCCTAAACGCGCGTGCTCGTCCTGCTCCGCGGCATTACTGTAGTCTAGAAAGCTAATGGCAGACTTGACGGCTATAGCCGGAAGCTGAATTCCCAGTCCTTCGAAACGTACGCCGAAAGAGCTGCCGATGCCGATTACGTTGTTGTCCCGGCGGCCGTAACAGGAGGCCGGTTGGGTCCGGCGACCACCACCGCACCTACACTTCCAGAGAACACGCAGTTCGACATGAAAGAGAACGCTGGGGAGAGAGTTGTCGTTAGAATGTCAAGATGCTCGGGTGCTTTGGTCGCTAGCTTGGGGCTTCTTACCTTACTTTGAAGCACAGTGTGTGTGTGTAGATATGGGGGTTGAGAACGTGTCACGAGCGTATCTTCTTTGATGAATTGCGGGCGACACGTCGCGGTACGCAGAGGCAGCTTCGGGGGAACATAACAGAATTGGAAGCAGTAACGGGTTTGTGTATCGATGCCTTTTGACCAGCACTACCGTACTGGCCGTGGCAATCCCAGTCGTGCTTCCGTAGCCTCGTATTGCTTGGTAAAACGGCAGGGCAATCTCAATCAATCCCTTTCCCCTCCATATAACGACGATCCCATGTCGTAAGTAACATGGCACACCCACCGCTAAGTAGTGTGAATAGTAGCCAGCACACGTACACGATCAATACACGTGGCAATGACCTCTGTCTCACATGTGCTTAGGCCCATGATACGATACGATACGATACAATACGCGTCTCTACGAGGTTCAGGTTTGGGCTTGGGCTTAGGCTTGGGGTTGCACTCCAGAGTGTTCTTGTGTAGACTTTGAATTCAAGGAGAGCCCAGTGTCCCGACTGGGCCGCTGGTCGGCAGGGCTCTCGCACTTGCTTGAACGTCACAGAAACGTGGCCAGCTCGTGTCATATTCCTTGAGGAGACCACGTCCAAGTGACCCGTAGGAGCGCTCGGAGCGAACACTGGCAACACACGACGGCGACTGCATCAGGAGAGCGTACGGAGAAATCTCGGGCCGCCTGTCCTGAAAGCCCCGACCCTGGAGCCTGCAGTCCCTGGCTTGTGTGGGCCATCAGAATTTCAGCGCTACCTGGCCTGGCAAGCCTGGCGCCTGGGTAACGCCACGGTGCTGTCTGACAGTGTCCAAAAACTCCTAGAGCGACAGACTGCGCGCAATCGGAGCTGCTCGATGAAGCAATGAGTTGAGTCACCTGGAGAGCCATCGCGAGTGAGCAGCTGCATTGCACATCCCAAGGCGGAGAGATACAGTAGAGGCGCGAACGCCCCCGATGTTGACGACGGCGTCCGCCAGGCGACATCTGTCTCCCTTCTCGCCCTCCCCTTTTCCGTCTGGCTGTGGTGCCTCGCTTTCATTGCTTGGCCCAGCACAGTTCCAGGGCCAGGTCCAGGCGCTGGCACTGGCGCTGGCACTGGCCACCCGCCGCCGCTTTTCCCATTCCGCGCCTCCGTCCCCGTCCCCGTCCCCGTCCCCGTCCCCGCCGCCCCTCGCGTCGAGCCACTGCTGCCAATTCCGCCTGCAAAAAATACCCCGCCAACATTTTCTTCTGCCCCGCCATCGCTGCTGTAGTAGTCATCGCCCAGCCCAACCTCTAAACCCGACTTCGACTTCGACGACGACGACGACTACCACGGCTGCTGCTGCTGCTGCTACTGCGTTTGTGACAACAAGGACCGTCGCAACCTCATCCTCCAGACCCTCGCTCCAAGACATCGTCGCAGCCATGGCCGCCGACGCTTCAGTTGACCAGCTGGCCGCCCTGCTGAAGGACCTGCCGCCCCTCGACCAGTACCCAAACTGCTTCCCCGCCATCAACCCCGTCGACATCTACCGATCCCACATCACCTCCATCCTGCACAAGATCACCGGCGTAGACCCCAAGGTCATCTACCCGGCCCTGCAATGGACCGCGACCCTGGACAAGGGTGACTTGGTGCTGGCCATCCCGGCCTTGAGGGTCAAGGGCAAGCCCGATGCACTGGGCAAGGAGTGGATGGACAAGGTCAGTACGGCAAGACGCGCCCGGGCGCGTGCCTCCCTTTTCCCCCCTAGACGGCACAAGGCTAACCCATTTAACCCGCAACAGTGGGAAGAGTCGCCCCTCGTCGAGAAGCCCATCCACACCGGCAACTTCATCCCCTTCTTCTTCAAGCCGGGCCCTCTCGCCAAGGCCGTCATCCCCCTCGCCCGCCGCAACAAGACCGAGTACGGCGCAAACAAGTCTCTCGGCCTCAAGGACCAGAACGACCCGTCAAAGGGTAAGAAGCGCATGATTGTCGAGTTCAGCTCCCCCAACATCGCCAAGCCTTTCCACGCCGGCCACCTGCGAAGCACAATCATTGGCGGCTTCTTGGCCAACCTCTATGAGGCGGCCGGGTGGGATGTCGTCCGCATCAACTACCTGGGCGACTGGGGAAAGCAGTACGGCCTGTTGGCCCTGGGCTTCGAGAAGTATGGCAGCGAGGAGGAGCTGACCCGGGATCCCATCAACCACCTGTTCAACGTCTACGTCAAGATCAACCAGGATATCACCGCCGAGAAGGAGCAGGCCGAGAAGCTCCAGGCCGAGGGCAAGGCCGACGAGGCCCAGAAGATCAGGGACGAGGGTTTCGACGAGCAGGCCCGTCGCTACTTCAAGCAGATGACCGAGGGTGAAGAGAAGGCCCTGGCCCTGTGGAAGCGCTTCCGGGATCTCTCCATCGAGAAGTATAAGGAGACGTACGCCCGACTCAACATCCGCTACGATGTTTATTCCGGCGAGAGTCAGGTCCCCGAGGAGGACATGCAGGCTGCTGCCAAGAAGATGGCCGACATGGGTCTCACCGAGGAGGACAACGGCGCTCTTCTCCTCGACTTCGCCAAGCACGTGCCCGGAAAGGCGGGCAAGAGCCTGGGCAAGGCCATCCTCCGCAAGAAGGACGGCACCGCGCTCTACCTTACCCGTGACATTAGCGAGATGCTGAACCGATACAAGAAGTACGACTTTGACCAGATGATCTACGTTGTCGCCTCCCAGCAGGACCTGCACCTCAAGCAGTTCTTCAAGATTGTCGAACTCATGGGCTACAAGGATATCGCCGCCAAGGTCCAGCACATCAACTTCGGCATGGTCCTGGGCATGAGCACCCGGAAGGGCACGGTCAAGTTCCTCAACGACATTCTGCGCGACGTCGGAGATCACATGCACGACGTCATGCGCAAGAACGAGGACAAGTACAAACAGGTTGCGGATCCCGTAGCCACGGCCGATACCTTGGGTATCAGCAGTGTCATGGTCCAAGACATGACTGGAAAGCGGTAAGTTGCTCCCTGTTGTGATGAAAACAAAGATGGCAACCCCACCGGGACTGACTGAACAACCTCTTCCCTGCAGCATCAACAATTACGAGTTCAACATGGATGCCATGACGTCCTTCGAGGGTGATACCGGCCCCTACCTGCAATATGCCCACGCTCGCCTCTGCTCCATCACCCGCCGAGTCGCCCTCAGTGAAGAAGAGCTCGCATCTGCAGACTTCTCGCTGCTCACCGAATCCCATGCCACAGAATTGATCAGGGTGCTGGCGCAGTGGCCCGACGTTGTCCAGAATACCCTTCGAACGCTGGAGCCAACCACCGTCATGACCTACCTGTTCAAGATGACACACACCTTGAGCGCTAGTTACGACCATCTGCGAATCGTCGGTAGTGAGCCAGAGCTGATGAAGGCGCGTATGGCGCTCTACGATTCTGCTCGGATCACACTCAATAACGCCATGCGCTTGCTGGGTCTAAGTCCAGTTGAGAGGTGAGTCTAGCAACCCCGATATGTCACTCTCGCGTCATGACACATTATGCTCACATGTTTGAAATGCAGGATGTAAAGCTTGACGATTTAGTTGGTAGGTTGAGATTTGTGAGTGATACCCAGGGCAGGATTCGGAAGTGGGCCGCTGTAGGGAAAAGGTGCATTCACGATAGAGTTCTTTTCAAACTCTTGTTCCGAAGGGAGGAATAGTGCTTAGTCAAGGGGCATCCATGTGAAAGTCTTCCGCGAGCAGCACATGCGCCCAGTTCCTCAGAACTTTGCACCATGACTGCAGCAGGGGAGGGGCTTGGCGGCCCAAGGGCCAAAGGACATCCATCCCATCCCGCTCCCACTCGACACGAGTCGAGCCCAGGAACTTACAGCCCTCGAGAGGCTATGCGTCTCAGGTCGATCTGATAGAGGCCGTAGCGACTTGGTCAACCCGCTCTCGTAGTTTTGCGTCCCCAGTCATGAACGGTCCCTCGAGGCCGGATCCTACGCGTGCGACGATAGTCTCGAATATACGTACATAGCATCCGGCGACGTCCATGCGGTGGCTACGGGACGGGACCGAACAAGGTTCGGGCGGCTTTAGCAATTGGAAACAATCGACAGACTAGCCATGAGCTCTGACCCCTGCATCACCGAGACCTGCATATCCGCTAGTGCACATTATCTGGTCTCGTCGTAGAGACTCTTGACTGGCCAAAGCGATCGGGACTTCTGCAGCAGATTGTTGTCGACAGAAGGGCCAAAAAGAGCCCTCGCTGCCGGATACCAATACGGTAGATATCCCAATCTGATTCAGCTGACCCGCAGATCTCGCGGTCTGCACAGCTTGTCCGCTCGTGTTTGTTGGCGGGCGGTCCTGCACCGACGCTTCCCAGCTTTCCTCCGCTTCCCTTGGATTAGGTTCCTACCGTTTTGGTGCTGGCTAGTGGCGGCTGAACAAGCCTTCCAGGAAAAGCATTTGGCCTTGACACTGATCATTCGCACATGCAATTTCATTTTCGTACTCCGTGTTGGAACCTAATAGTGTTGCCGCCGGCTGGCCTCACGCGCCACAGAGTGCCGCGATAGGCTGTGGGGGACACTTTTTGCAGCTGTGGCTTGCTTTCGAGGTCGGCGTGTGTTTGTGCAGTGGTACTCCAGGCTGTCCCAGGCTTCTTCGAACCCGCGCTGGCTGCTACGTTAGATCTTCGATCCCTCTATAGCGATTGTTCTGGCTATGGCTACAGAGCAAGGGTTACATCTTCTACTTTTTCCCACTGCCCACACTCTCACGGGGATCGTCGCGGCAGACGGGCGACTTACACCGGTCCCACACCCACCACCAAGATCAAAGGCCATCAACCCTTGACGCCGCCTCACGACGGGCACCCCGTGGCGTGCGGACGATGGCCCCAGCACCTTATGAACTGGTCGCAGAGAGACGAACACCTAACGTATCTGAAAGCGTGGGTTGGTTCACATGGTCAACGTTTCAAAACATCGGATCACTTTGCGACGAAGTCCCCATTTAAGTGCACTAGACACCGTGCGGCGTGGGCCAGCGCCTGTGGCGTGGGATCTATGTTTGGCTCAGATCCGCTTTCTCCGGCTCCCAAGCCTAACGCTTCTTCTCACCTGAGGGCAACTCTGAACCACGGCCACGCCTGACGTCCAGCTCCATCCCTGCAGAAGGACTGAGCTCAACTGCTGAGAAGTATCCCCATTATCTGGTAGTCAGTGAGGAGAGGTATCTAGTTTCATACGCAGGTCGCCTACCCGGTGTTTCTGCCTACACTGCTGAGCAACCCTTTTTGCCAGGGCCACAGTTTGCCGGCCATCCATGGATGATCCCTCATGCGCCGATGTCTACTTTCGTTTCTTTTCTCGCGTTGCTGAGACCCATTCGTTCACTGGGATCCCGAGAGACTGGCTACCGCGGCCTTGGCCCTAGTTCCGTCTACGACGCCATTGGCGTTACACAACTCGGCGCCCGAGCCGTCTGCGACCGCTTGCCCGTCGCCCATTGGTAATCTCACCAAGTACTCAGCCCGTGATAGGTGGGCGAAGCAAAGGCATCACCCGTGCACTGATTCTATGCTGGTGGCAGTAGGTAGCCGTGGCAGATCGTACAGGCTGGCAGTGCCTGCCCCGTCTGTCTGCGCGATGGGCGTCTGCATCTCGAGCTCTCCTGGCATCGAATGCAACCTCACCCGTGGTGGGTAAGATGCTGCCGCAGATCTACCCTTGTTTTCCGTAGGGCTTGTGATCCGCGCCAGGTGGCACCGGGGAGAGATCCAGGTCCATGTTGTTAAGTTCCGGCTGGATGGGTAATAGACTTCGGCCTTTTGCTCTGACTGTAACGGGATAGCGAGCCTTTCCCAAGTGCTTACGGCGAGCATCCTGTATCGGGAACCTTGAAGCCAAGGACCAGGGCCGTTAGTCGTCGTGGACTATGCACCCAAGCGGGTCCAGATGTCAAGAAGCGAGTACCTTGATCTTACGCCAGTCAAGGCTGCTGCTGATCCTCTCGTGGTCGACCCTTTTCTTTATAAGCCCATTCCCCCTAGTCTCAGTACGCCAGGCCCTATGTCTCATTGCCATATTCTTGTCCTTTCTGCACGGCTATCATAGCTCATCGGGTTACCGATAATACTTTTCTTGTCAGCACATGCCACTTTGACCTTGAAGTCCTCATTCCGAGAATCTTCACACGAGCGGACGGGCAGCATGGCCCTGTTACCAGTGGCGATTGTCATCTCCCTGGCGCTGTTTGCATTATATCTGAAAAGTAAACAGCAGAGGATAGCGAAGCTACCCGCAGGCGCCAAGCAGCTACCGGGTCCCAAAGGTATGATGGAGTCCAACCACCACCAGAGGAGTTCCGTTCACTCACCCGACGTGTTCCTTCAGGGCTGCCTTTGATAGGAAGGGTACACGATGTTCCTCCAGAGAAGACATGGTTGAAGTTCTACGAATGGAGCAAAGTATATGGCCCAATATATCAGCATGAGATGTTTGGATCCGTCCATATCTGGATCTCATCAGAGGAAATCGCACACGAGTTGTTGTCACGACGAGCTGCTGTTTACTCGGATCGTCCACTGATTCCGAACCTCCCTACAAATCGTACTGGAGGGGAGTACCTGGCCCTACATGGGCGAAATGGTACGTAGCCAACCCAGCAATATGATCACGTTGTCTGGGGAGATCAAAGTAAATACTTATCCGTTGCGCAGATACCTGGAAGCGCCAGCGAAGGCTTGCCCAGCAGCTAATGGCTACTTCGGCGAACGCCTCACTTCATAACTATCCTACCAAGGAGCGTGACCGCTTCCTATATCTTCTATCCCAGGACCCGTCGCAGTACCGTGAGTATGTCGAGCAGTTTACCGCTCGCACCGTCTCTCGGCTGTCCTGGGGCAGCACGCACCCTTCTGGTATCTTGCGCAAGACCACTTTCGGCCTCCTCGAGACCATTTCTCCGTCTGGGGCGTTGCCCAACGTCATCTCGTGGCTCATGCACGTGCCGTATTTCATGTCGCCCTGGAAGCAAAAGGAGTATGCTCGCCACGAGGAAGAGGCCAGGCTTTTCAAGAGCAACATGAAATACGTCCATGACCGCATCAACGACGGCACGGCAGAACCCAGCTTCGTGCGAACATTTCTCAACACACTCACCAAACAGACTGATGGTGCGAAATGGGGCAAAGAATCCGAGGCCATGTACGTGGTTGGCCAGATGGCAATTGCCGGTGCTCTGACCATCGGGTCTCCCATACAAAGCTTCCTCCTGGCTATGCTACACTACCCTGAGTGGCAAAAGAAGTTGCAGGCCGAGATCGACGATGTCTGCGGCGATTGCCCGAATTGGGAAGATCGCGAGAAGATGCCTCTGCTGCGAGCCGTCGTGAAGGAGGTGATTCGCTGGAGACCACCCGTCCCAACTGGCATCCCGCATGCCACTGAGAAGGACGATGTTTGGAACGGATACTTCATTCCTGCCGGCGCCACAATTCACGCTCTTGAATGGTACGTCTTTTCTTTTTTCCTTCTTCCTTCTCCGTCGTATCGTAATGCGGTCCTTCCCTCATTCCCTTATTTCTGTATGCGTGTCTCTCTGTCGGCGCCGGCTCCCCAATCAGAAGCCTTGGAGATTTGAGCCAATGCGCCCTAACCCCTGAGACTACGGACGTCCGGACGCACTAGCCAGCACACCAATTCTATAGCCCCACACACCATCCATGTAACTAACTTCCATGTCAACACAGGGGTATAACTCGCAATGAGGAATTGTACCCTGATGCAGAGACCTTTAATCCGGCACGTTGGCTCGAGCCGTCGTATCCGACCTACAAGGAGCCTCTGACACAGCACCCCAACCTACATGGCTTCAGCCAGTTTGGCTTCGGGCGCCGCACGTGCCAGGGTGTCCCCATTGTTGAGCAGGACTTGTTCCTAGCCATGGGCGGTATTGCGTGGGCCTTCAATGTCACCAAGAAGCGGCGCGCCGACGGGACCGAGGTTCCTGTCCACTGGAACGAGTACTCGCCCTTGCTAATCGCCAAGCCGGCACCATTCGAGTTCGATGCCGCACCACGGAACCAGGCCATTGCGGCCAGAGTCCAAGCCATGTGGGAGAGTGGCAGGGGGGAGGATGATGTTGAAGAGGAGAGGCAGCGTGCTCTGGAGAAGAAAATGGAGGCAGATCGCGTTCGGGAGAGGCATGAGCGAGCAAATAAGGAGAGAGACGAGGACGTGGCAAGCGTCGGAGGGAGTGATACCAGTGGCCCAAGTGAGCGCGGCAGCGAGGGGAGCATTGCTACCAGCTTTGAGAAGTCTGATGGATTTGACATTTGGGCGTGAAGTTGCGGATGACACGCCACGGCTAAGCACAAAATTGATTGTTTACTCTCTTTTGGGTCAGGGAGTCTCCTAGTTTCATTGCGTACTAATTGCGAAATCTCAATTGATTTGCCTTACAAACCCCTTTTCCCCCTTTCTCTCTTGATAACCACATTGACACTACATGTGAGCGCCGCGATGTAGGGCGTGCACTTATGCAACGTAATGCTGATTACTGAGATGGGTTCTACCTGGTTATGCCGTAGCTTAGCCAGATACGATTGCCGTTGGACAAGGTTATAGTATTGCCCTGTTCATGAATTCACCTCAGTTAGATGAATCATCGCCAACCGGAAAGTGCATTCCATCTCTGCTACGAAATGGTTTTTTCACCACTCCCTACAGAGTTTCTATCTCATTTGTCTTCATACAGTAATTCGGTCCAACTGAAGCCAGGACATCCACCACCACAAAAGACTAAAGACTAGATCGAACCATGGCCATGCGTCTCGTACGGTAATCCAAAACATACAAGGCCAGCGAGGATCCAGATCGCAGCACTGGCATATACTGGTGTTGATGTGTAACCACCGTAGATGGATATAATAGACGCCACCAACCCACCAAACCTGAGAAGAGTAGCGGCAATCCCCGTTCCGGTTCCTCGGATAGGACCAGGAAAGGACTCTGGAGTAAATGCATACATGATGGCATATTCTTAAAATGGAATTAGTCTATAACACGGAGCGATATTGCCCAGGAACGCCGGGAACAACGTACCAAAGTTTCCAAGTATACCTGTCGCGACTTGGAAGCCGATATCAGAGGCCTCGGACCTCACCGATGTATAAGCGAAGAGGAAGACCCCGGTAAGAATAGCGGAAAAGGCCATCATCCAACGTCGTCCGAAGCGTGTTTCAACTGCGAACCCTGCCGCAACGGGTCCAATCACCCCACAAGCCGAGACAATGCAGTAGATCTTGTACGTATAGCTGAGGGATGTGTCGGATGCCGTGTAGGACCTGTTCGCCTCCAGGTACGATGTGATGAATGCGAAGTAGAGCGGATATGCGATACCAATCATCAGCCAGATCAGAAAGCTGATGCTGGTATGTTGCGCCATCTTTCTACCAGAAAACAGCCTGCGCACATTGCCTGTTTTGTAGTCCTTGAAACTCTCCTTGATTATCTCCTTATAAGTAAGGCCTGTTTTCTTCTTCTCGTGGCGGCTGGCATCATCGGACCCCAACGCTACTTGTGCATCAATGGCTTCAAGCATGTCTAGTGTGAGTGTCTCCGGCTTTTTATTGTACCGGGCAATGTAGTTAACAGCTTCCACGGCTTCAGCATCGCGTCCTTTTGAGAGGAGGTATCGTGGTGACTCTGGCATTTTGAATGTGAATATTCGGATCAATCCAAAGGCCAAGGCCAGTGCACCCAGGGTAAGCATCATGTAACGCCTGTTGTGGTCAGCGCTAACCATTGGGACACCTGAGTCAATATACGTACCATCCCATGTTATCACGCAGTGCGCATGGAGCCTGGTCGCTAGTACAGCCGTAGTTGACCAGGAAGACCCAAGCGAGGAGTGCTACGACAACTTGGCCAAAGTTCCACCACGCTGATAACGTGACCAACAGCCACTGATGGCTCTGAGGAATGAATTCTAGGAACACGATGCTGTCAACAGGGACATTTCCACCAGCAGCGGTTCCTATGCAAGCCCACAGGGCACAGAATGTGATGAAGTTCTGCGATCCAGCCACAGCGCAGGCGAAAATGCCTCCAAGCAAGATTGTCGCGTTGAATGCAGGTTTGCGGCCAATAAGGTCGGCAGAAATACTCCAGAAGGAGGCGCCAATTATCAACCCAACGTAGTAAGCAACGGAGCTGAAGCTGAGACTGCTGATGTCCGTGAACTCGTTCGCAACTGCCGGGCGGGCGGCGGTGATGCCCTGGGACCAGAAGTTGTCGACGACCCAACCAAGGCCGTTGACAACGAAGAGCATCCATTGAAACCTTCGCAGGCACACGAAATCAGTATACTGTGTTCGGAATATTGGTACCTCTGAGGAAAGAAGAGAAATTCGCAACCAAGACTCACTTCCCCATCCCAATCTCTGTCAGGTGCTTGGTAACCAGCTCGGACTTTAGCCTATAGGCGTCATTGACGCTGCTCCCGTAGAAGTCCCTGATAGCTTCATCGTCTGAGACGTCGATAACTCCACCTTGATGGACGGAGCCGGTGGTCACTTTGCCAGTTAGATCAGAGTCGGATGGCTTCTCGCCATCTGCCTTGCGCGTTATGGCAGTCATGACGATCCCGCTAATTGTGAACGTAGTTTGCCTCCAAGCCGTGATACAGGACTTAATATTATTATCTCACTTCCAGCAAACGAAGGCGCCGAGGTGATTGGTTAAGGATCTCCACCGGTTTTACTGTAGCCGACACAAAGACTGAATCCCTTGAGAGTGTTGATATAATATATCCTGCCAGCTTTGCGGTGAAGGTCGCTAGCATCATATGTTAGTACAAAAGTATGTGATACACAAAATGCGTTCCCAGATTGTGGCTAGTTAATTGATTCAACGTTCCAGGCAATTCCCTCCAGTCTAAGCTTATCTGTGACACTAGCTCGCGATTGAGTTAGGCAGAGGAAGCTCAGGATTGTCTATCATCTTCCTATCCCCCACTTTTGGGAGTCGATCCACCTGGTCTGGAAGCCCCGGACTTGCCGGAAAACTGGCTGTTTTAATCCACATGATTGGCCCAGCGAAGTCTCACGCTCTGGTACCTGAGATTTCGGTCTCCTCTATAGGGACAAATTGCTCAGGGTTTCAAATGCGTGATCTGGTGCTAGGCTCCACGCGTTGCACATCGAACCCAAGATAAATTGATAAGTGAGAATCTACTTGATAAAAGGTTTGCTCGTCTTGGACTGAGCATCAAAACCTGCATATGTAGGTCAATTTTGGGGTATGGGTGAATGTTCGTCATCTCAGCGATCGAGATGGCTCGCATGCGGATTCGAGCTCTGCTACTCAGGGTGGACATCGCAGGCTTCGCTACGGGAAAAATGGACGTCTTAGGCTCAGAGTAGTCATGTAGTAAACACAAATCCGTGGCAGCCGAGATTGGCGAGACCAAATATCCAGTGAATATTGGAATTCATCACAAATCGAATATACCTTGCACTTAATTGTGTGAAGCGCTTCTCCTAACACTGATTCGAACGAGAGTCGCGATTCACCACTTCTACGTAATTGACCTGGGTTAATGCAGTAACCATTTCTCAGTAAGCTGCGCTCGCTAAAGGCTTTGCCTGCACTTCACTGTCCATTGGTTTTCCCGACTGTTGCTTGTATAGTTGTGCTCGTCCGTATGACTCTGCGTACGCTGCCGAGACAGCTGCCTGTACCGTGATTGGCTCATATTTCGATGGGTCGCCAGCAGACTGGCACGTCGGAATGCATTCAACGACGTAATCCGGATTACCCGACAAGAATACCGGAATAGAGTACCTCTCCTTTCCTGATTTATTAATGACGCGATGGACGTTGCTTTTGTACTTTTCATTGGTCCAGCGTGCCATCAGGTTTCCCAAGTTGACGACAAGGGCGCCTGTCGTAGGTTCAACCTGTCAGGTATCAGTATTCATCGTACAACTCCCAGGTCAACTCAGGCAGCTCACATCGATCCATGATTGGTTTCGCTGGTCCCAGACTTGCAATCCGTCAACCTCATCCTGGAGAAGCATCGTGATAGCACCAAAATCGGTGTGGGCACCGATTCCCCTGGTGAGCTTCTCATCTGCGTCTTTGGGCTGAGATGGGTAATGCAAGAGCCTCATGGTCGCTACTGCTCCATCCATGAAACGTGCAAAAAAGTTCTCCTCGAGATCGAGCGACAGGGCCAGGACTCTAAGAAGATCGCTGGCGAGTTCCAAAGACTTGTTGTAATAGTCCATAGTACTATTGCGGAAGTAGTCAAGGTCGTCACCTAAGCCTTGTGGCCACTGATTTGGACCGCTGTTAAGCTTCTTCTCTACGAAGTACGGGTGGTCGACAGGGAGGTCTGCTCCAATGTAGAACCCTTCTTTGAGCTCGGGCTGGGTTCCCTCTTCCAGGATCTGAGACCGCAGCATCTCATAACCTCGATTCCACGTATTGTTGTTCTTTGAAACCTTATCCTTGTCATTTTGCGGTAGATTAAAGAACTTTTTGGCTGATTTGAGGGCGGCTTGCTGATGGCCCAAGGGCACCGAATGGTTGATGATTTGGAAGAAGCCATTGTACAAGCAGCTTTCACGGACTTGAGTCACGACTTCCGATTTCTTTGCGGAATCTTCCGAGTAGAACCCTGAGCAATACGGTCAGAAGCAAATCCGACGTATCTTCTACTCTTTTGAGATACAACAAGGGTATTTGCAGAAATTGGACGAACCGGAAAAGTCAATAATAGGAATCTTCGAGGCAGACATGGTTGGTGTCTCACTGGTATAATTTGGCGCAGGATCTTCTCGAGACTTTCGTCAATATAGTCCTATAAGGATAAAGCGCTCATAATTAACGGATAACCTCGAATAATATAATATAAGCTGGTTGGGGCACAATAGACCCTTGTGGCAGCGATTGTTTGAGTTCAAACTCCCGCGACTGGATGGCCCCGCAACCGTTCGCGGTTCCGAGCTTGGCGCTGCCCCGCTGACCCAGTGACAGGATGCAAAGCCTCAGTTGGTCAAAAGTGGGAGACTGGAAGTGATTCGATATTGACACCCGAGGTGCCACAGACAGGTCCTGGGTGGGGAACCGAAATCTTGGTGGAAGTACGCTAGTGTATGGAAGCTTATCAGGAGCCAAGATCCCCCGTTGCTGGTGTACTGTTGAGATAGGGCTAACACCGTTCTTCAACTCCGAACCCCTTATCACTTGCAATACAATGAATCGTGCCATTCCACCACCACAAGTCAGCACGCATTAGTCAAGCATCTTGGTCAAAAGTTCGAGAAGCAATCGTATATCAATACTGGATGAGAAAAGCAGCAATCTTTGACAGTGTCTATCGTACCTGCACTCTCGCATCAGGAGTTTTGGGAGTTTGTGTTCGCTCTTCTGGATCATCCGGCTGCAATGTGGAATCTCTTTAGAAATTCGGCCTCCGCAGATTCTGCCAAGCAGCCACCGTCTCGTGGTCTTCCTGCATCATGGTACCGGTCTCCAAGCATGTTTGAATTGGAGAGGCGGGCCATCTTCTCCCGCAAGTGGATCCTTCTCACCCACTCAATTCGCCTTAGTCAGCCCGGGGACTACATTTCCTTCACCTATGCCGGATTCCCATTCTTCCTGATTCGAGATCGTGACGGGTCTATCAACGGATTCCACAACGTGTGCCGGCATCGTGCGTATCCTGTTGTCCAGTCTACCTCAGGGTGTGCCAAGATTCTTAGCTGCAAATACCATGGGTGGTCTTACGGACTGAAGGGCAACCTGGCAAAAGCACCAAGATTTGACACCGTCCAGGGCTTTGACAGAAGTCAGCATGGCCTCTTGCCAATCCACGTACACACCGATAAAGTTGGCTTTGTTTGGGTTAATTTACAAGCAGGAGATCCTGATATCAAATGGGAGGATGATTTCAGAGGAGCAGACGAAAAAGCGATCCTGAGAGAGTTTGACTTTGAAAAGGAGTTCAAATTCGATCATGTATGGGACATGGAACTAGAATCCAACTGGAAAGGGCTGATTGATAACTACAATGAATGTTATCATTGCGCCACGTCACACCCGCTCATCGCCGGGGTCTCAGACCTTACCAAGTATCGTGTGGACCCGAGCGGGGAGCGTCTTGAACACACTATAATCAACAAAAACATGGAGGACGATTCATTCAGGCGTTCGATTACGTTTTTTGCACCTTGTACATCGGTGACAGTCACGTAAGCGAATTTGCGTAATCGCTAGCTTGTTTGAGAGCACACGCTGACAGGTGCAACTAGGGAGCACTTCTTCTACATTCAACGAATGATACCGGTATCAGCAACAACGAGCAGAATCGAAAATGAGATTTATCGTCACAGAAATTCGTCGGATCAGCAGTTCAAAGCCTTGTGCGACTTCTACGCCCAAGTCTTGGAGGAAGACAAGCAACTATGCGTCGAAGCACAAAAGAACATAAACGCGGGTGTGTTCATCAACGGAGAGCTGCATCCCGAAAAAGAAAAGGTGTGATAGTAACTCGCATTCAATCTGCCCCCTAGCTGACTCTCAGTTCTAGGGACCTCTTCACTTCCAACAGTCGGTGAAACGGGAGTTGATGGAACATCGTAGAAGAGAGGAGAAAGAGGGAAGGGAAATTTGGCCTGCCACCCCAAAAGTAGCAGGAGAGATGAAGACTTCTGAGTTGGACGAAGAGGAGAACTTTTGTTCGCTGATCGAAAAAGAGAGCTGCCTCTCGAATACTGGTTTGGCGTGGTAAATCTTTGCACTCGACACTTTCGAAGGCACTCTAAATCAGCGAAAACGGGAACTACTCTTGGACATAACTCTCAGTGAGGTCGTTGAAAGAACGAAACAACCGTGGCTCATTTCAAAGCTAAGACTTCGTATAATGCAGTGTCCCCAACCGTGAGGAAGTCATGCAAACCCGTAGCCTTTAAGATAAATAGCAGCCGTCTGTAGTAAACATTGGGTCATTCTCGGCGTTGTCTATTGTACCATTGCGAATATAGTCTAGGCAACGATAATAAACCTATTTCTCTCTTTATATGCATTAGCTCGACACGGTGGAAATGGGAAGCGGTTATTTTCTAGAAGTCCGGTCTATAGATGGACGAGCATATGATTTCGGAGTTATCTTAGCTACACTGTCACGTAAGTTGTTATTATAAGACTAGCATTGGGCCATAAGGAGGTGGTTGCACAAGTAATCATTCATAACACAAGGTCTGTATAGGGTAGCAACCGGAAAAATGATACAGAATGGTACAATTACCACATTGTAACCCCGCCATCCACCCGTATGTCCGTCCCTGTGCAGTATCTACTACCTGTTAGAGAATGTTCGGCCCGAAAAGCGTTTCACATACCTGCTCGCATCACTCGCGAGAAAGACGCAAGCGCCTTTAATATCGTCTGGTTCTGCGACACGCCCATTCATGATCTCATCTTTCCAACTCTCCAGCAAATGGGGAAATGGTGCGGTCATTTCTGTCCGTACATAACCTGGGCTAACAGAGTTGACGCGGATGCCATGCTTGTTCATCTCGGCAGCGATCGGGGCAACCATAGCCCGAACAGAGCCCTTTGTGCCACAATATGCTGACGATCTCTGCGAGCGAATGGCCATGTGGCTGGCAATGCTGGCAACCAAGACTATGCTACCATGCTTCGTGCCGTTCTCGATCATGGCCTTCGCACCCAGCTGCGCTGTGAAGAAAACACCTTTGCTGTTGACCGCAAATAACTTTTCGTACTCTTCAATCGTGGTATCGAGAAATTCCACGTTCTTATTGACGCCAGCACATGCCACAACAATGTCTAGCTTGCCGTCGAAATCCTTTTTGACTGCAGCAAAGCCTTCGCTTAGATTTTCATTTGATGTGACATCAATCTTGTAAAACTTGGTCTTCACCCCAAGAGTAGCAGATATCTCATGGTACTCAGCCACTGGATCTATCATATCAAACACTGCAACGTCGGCACCCGCCTCGGCAAGCCCTTGCGCGAACGCGAGGCCGCAGCCACGAGCGCCACCAGTGACCAAGGCGACACGACCCGTGAGGCTGAACTACTCGCATTGGTCAGCCACCGACGCATTCACCATTGGGTAATGAATTCCTTTGAACATACCTTGCTCATTGTGGGTATTGATTTTGTGATTAGAGATAATTGTTGATGCTATGTTAGACGCGATGTGTATTCAGGTTAATATGTATCTATCAAGAGGGCACATCAAATATTCGATAATATTGCCCGCCTTACACACTGGGATTATCGACATGAGTGGAACCATACCATATTGCCGATCAGGTACATGTGGATCTGAGTAGCTTGCTACTACGTCTCCAATCCGGAGGGCCATCTTGTGAGTGGGATCAAGCGCATGGTACGTGTGCCCCCGAAGTTAGCGCAATAGTGACTCGTTCAGCTAGATGGCTCGGAAGTGGCTGGCCAATCATGTTGCATGGATAACGATGACCTACCCTGCCCAAGGGTGGGGGAGGAATGAGGAATAGTGGAGTTATCGGAGGGATGCGCGTTGTTCGGAGGCAAACGCCTATATGTAACACAGGAGTTAACCCCGAAGCGGAGCTCGGCTCCACATGAAGGCATACACGCAGCTGCCAGCTTATACAACCGGCTTGGTTATTTCATTTAGCCACAGGCCACATTGACGGAAGCCATAGTTGTCATCAACTAAATCTCGGTCGACATTCAGACCTTAGTTATCTGAGCTTTCAAAAAGATGGGTAAGAAGAAGGTTCTCGTATGGTAAGTGGCACGCCGAAGTTCTTTCGTACCCAATTCCGGTCAAAAACTAATGAAAGCAGCTACGGTGTGGATATTGATGCGGTTGCTGGCTGGCTGGGATCATATGGGGGTGAAGATAGCACCAGTGACATCAGTCGAGGATTGTGGGCTGGCACCACAGGCACACGCCGCGTTTTAAAATTGTTCGAAAAGTATGGTATCAAGGCATCCTGGTTCATTCCCGGTCATAGTCTGGAAACTTTTCCTGAAGAGTGTGCTATGGTGCGCGATGCTGGCCATGAGATCGGCTTGCATGGTTATAGCCACGAAAACCCTGTGGATATGACCATTGAGCAACAGAAAGACGTCTTGGATAAGACATTCCGCATGCTGACAGAGTTTTGCGGGAAACCACCTCGCGGGAGTGTGGCACCGTGGTGGGAAACCAGCGAAGAGGGAACAGAGCTCATGCTCAAGTACGGAATAGAGTATGATCACTCCATGTCGCATGAGGTGAGTATCTGATTACAATCTTTGATTGGCTTAGAGGAAGTGTACTAAATATTTAGGATTGCCAAATGTATTGGTTGAGAACTGGCGATACCTGGACCAAGATCGACTACACACAAAAGGCCGAGACGTGGATGAAGCCCTTAGTGAAGGGTAAGGAGACAGGTCTGGTGGAGATTCCAGGGAGCTGGTACATTGACGATCTACCGCCAATGATGTTTATGAAGAAATCCGCAAACTCACATGGTTGGGTAAATCCTAGGTGAGTCGCAATCCGAAAGACTGAAGTGTACACTGCTAAACACCCACAAGGGATGTCGAGGACATTTGGCGGGATCATTTCGACTACTTCTATCGTGAATACGACGAGTTTATCTTCCCGATGACTATACACCCGGATGTTTCAGGCAGGCCACACGTGTTGCTCATGCACGAAAGGTGATTAACCACCTCTGTTACGTGTTGTGCTTCTGCATTGCTAACATCTTAACATAGATTAATTGAACACATCAATAAACATGAGGGCGTTGAGTGGGTCACCATGGCAGAGGTTAGTTCTCCCCAGCGCTGAATATACATGCCTGTTCTAATACCATGAAAGATGTGCGACTACTTCAAGAGTAAGAATCCGGCACCTGAAGGTGCTATGATGCCAGCGAGCAGAGAAGAAGTAATGAGGATGTTAGAGGAGACTAAATCGAGGTAGAAAGATTACTTTAATGTTTGACACGAGGAACTGTGGGTGCATTCAGCTTGTTGAACTTGATAAACAATGACAAAATTTCATATAACCCATCTCCCGCATATCAAAGTTTCAACCATGGAATCGTGACAACTCTGACTGGTCTTTGATGTTGCAATCAGAATCAAATGGGGTCAGGCCACATGGGATTAGAGTTCTGGGCAGCATGGCCAATGTTCGATGAATTTGCAGAAATGTCATCGCAAATATCAAGTAGAGAAAGTAGTGACACCAGATTGTCTAGGAAATAACCCTGGACAAATAAATGGAGCGAATTTGGTGGATTCCATATTTGTAATATTTGACTTTGAGATTGTGCTATATTTGCTGACGAAGTATCTTGTCTATAACACTGCCGGCAGCAAGTACCTTCTCTTCTTCCAATTTGCGGCCAACTATCTGAATGCCAACAGGGAGCTGCAAATCGGCCATTTCGGCTTTGTGCGTTTTCCACAAGTCAGAATTCCACAGATCCATTTCACTGCGGGGGGCATGATCCCATTGTGCATTTTCGTCTGAGGGTTTGACTTTGCCCGCCGGGATTACCAGTGCACTATAATCCAAGAGGTTCCATATCTTGGTGTACCCAACCCATTTGCAACCTCCATGCGGGACACTGGTATGTGGCATTGGCGGCATAATGAGAACGTCAGCGATTTTGCCCGTTGTTTGACTCTTGACGTGCTTCCATTTTTCATGATATGCCTGTTGCAGAGCCCATTTCTTCTTGTTCAGTTGCCAGTACTCGTACACGCTCATAGGTTTAGCACGGTTGATCAACTGTTGCACATGGGGTATGGTCGGCTCTCCACCCCGAGCCATGTCGACCTTGATATCTTCGCAGCCATCGGCGGCGTAAAAGGCATCCATGGTCGCAATTATGTCAGAATGTAACGTGGCATCCCACTCTATAATGTCGTGTCCAGCCGCCTTGAGTGCAGCAATTGCAGAAGTCAAGACGCGAGTGACCGGCGGGTGGGGACGTACAACTTGGTCGTCAAACAGCACGCCGATTGTAAGTGGACGAGATCTGATGGAGTCGAAAACTTCTTGACGCCAGGGGATAGGTGCACATCGAGCGTCATATTCCCACGGCTGGGCTTGAATCAGGTGCCGCATGACGAATTCAATCGATGCGAGGCTGCGTGCCATCGGCCCAACCGATGATGGCACATGTTCCTGGCCTTCAGTTGACACGGGTACCCCATGATAAGGGAGCCGCGAGCTCTGGAATCGCAGTTGGTCACCATTAGAGGACGCAGGGCCGAAGAACAGGAAGACTTACACTTGGCTTGAAGCCATAAATTCCCATCATGTGTGATGGTATCCGGATACTTCCACCTATATCGGTCCCCCAACCAACCAAACTGCCATGCAGAGCGAGCAGTGCAGACTCACCCCCTGTAGAGCCCCCTGACGTATATCCTTCGTTCAGGGGGTTAGTAGTCAACCCCCATAACGGGTTAGCGGTCTCGCACCACTACAACAGGTCCTTAGTATTTGTACAATTCGTGCCCATCAGATCTTATCTTACCATGATACTTTGCGGCAAGTTTGTCTTGGCAATGATAACCGCACCCAGTGACTCCAGCATCTTAACTAGCGCACAAGACTCTGTCGCAGGCGAGAAAGTGCGACCGACATAACCTATAGAGCTATCGTAACCAATGACATTGAACTGGTCTTTCAATGTCATTGGCACTCCGTGAAATGGTCTGCCGTGGTAACACGGTCCGGTCAAGCTTTTGTCAAGCGCCTGGCCTTTGCGAATAGCATCCTCAAATAGGATCTCAGTCAAACTGCGCATTGTGAGAAAAGTCGATCAGAATGCAAGGTGGCTTGTGTTACCAATTGGTCTGGCAATATGATCAGTTCGACTGATGGATACGCGTTGGCATCATTAAGTAAACTAACCTTCCGATGAGCAGCAATAGCCCTAAATAGAAGTAAGAAAGTGTCATCTCCATAACATACCCCAACCGCACCTCGAGATGTAAGACTTTACGACATCCTCAACCTTTAACCCACCGAGATTAAGCTTCTCAGCTACAACAGCAACGTCAGCCAAGTCAGTCAAACTGTGCTCGACTTCTTGCATCTGTTTAAAACACCATTAGCTCTACTGAGATTCCCGATCGACAAGGGACATACATGTGAAGCCTCGAAGTGGGCGATGGCCGCGCATTGCGCCTCGCGTTTTCGTGCGACGGTTGTTTCCCAGCTGACCCGCATGTTCAGCTACCCTCTTCAAATGCTTTCTTCCAATGCAAGTCGATAGCGAAGTGTGACTGTGTGTTCCAAACCTTTTGACCCTGTGTCCGCGAACCAGTTCAAATGCCTCATATGTGGACGTGACAGCAGCGATATCGGTCAACCAGCAAACTGTGTACATGTACACAGGCCGATGGCTCCGAATAGCCCCGAATCGACGCAGCGGCGGGACGTGGATCCTAGCCAGGCTAGCCAAGAGTGGGGGAATGGGTTCGCTGGCGAATGGTGCCATTCAAGAGCTCATCGCGACGATAAGTTAGGAGGTAGATAGATTAATGGGGCGTAGCAGTTAGTGACTACGGCGTCTCTAGCACTAATTTAGTCAATATTGGAATACAGTGGATACTCACTCACTTGGAACTTGTAACGGCCGTTGTGGACAAGCCTTGATGTGACTTCAGAGAGCGAACTCAAAACAGCTGTCAGGGCTGCAACGACTTGCCTTAATACGACGATTTCTAGTTCCATTCATTGCCCCTTGTTCATCATTCTCAAGAATGGCACCACACGCAACAGACTCGGACGTAGAAATGAGCCACCAGCCTTCTGAACAACACGAGGAGACAGTTCCCAACCAGGTTGGCGACGAAATGGCTACGCCAGTGAACACAGATGTCTGCATTATCGGTGCTGGACCAGCTGGTCTTATGCTGGCATGTCTCCTGGTCCGATTTGGCATTCGCACCACTGTCTTCGATGAGCGTTCGGACCAAACAACGGTCGGAAGAGCTGATGGCGTACAACCTAAGACGATTGAGACTATGCGCATGCTTGGCATTGGCAATGATCTTATGCGGCTGGGGAAAAAAATATACGACATCTGTATTTGGCGGGGATCCGATTCGGTTTCATTGACCCGCGTCGGGCGCGAAACACACTACCCGGATGGGATTGTCGACATACTAGAGCCATACATCCTTATAGGGCATCAAGGAATGATCGAAAAGGCATTCCTTGATGATCTACATGAACGTGGCGTGGAAGTGGCGAGGTCCTACCAGTTTACGGGCTGTCAGCTGCGTAGTCAAAATAAAACTTCTGTCTTAGTACAGTCGAGTTACGGAACTGCTCGAGAGCCAAGGTCGATCGAAGCGAGCTACCTTGTCGGATGCGACGGAGCCCATTCTTCAGTTCGCAATTTCATCTTGGAAGCCCCCCCGCGTGGCTCCGGAGCAAGCGTTTGGGGCGTTCTGGATGGCGAACTTGATACGAACTTCCCGGATATCTGGAGCAAGACTGTCATCTTCTCGGAACAATACGGCTCGATACTTATCATTCCACGAGAAAGAAACATGACTAGATTTTATATTGAAATCAAGGAGACAGCTTCAGCAAAAGACCTCGGTGAAGCGTTCGTCAAGCAACGAGCTCGAGATATCCTTAAGCCATATCGTCTGGATTGGCGATCAGTGGAGTGGTTTGGGAAGTATCAAGTTGCGCAGAGAGTGGCAGCAAAGTTCACAGACCCGAGCCAACGTCTGTTCATTGCCGGGGATGCAAGCCATGCTCATTCTCCCAAGGCGGCGCAGGGAATGAATACCAGTGTCCATGATACATGGAATCTGGGCTGGAAGCTGAACTTGGCAGCTCGTGGCATTGCGAAGCCAGCGTTGCTTGAAAGTTACGAGCTCGAGAGACAGAAGATAGCGAGAGACCTGATTAATTTTGACTATGAACATGCAAATCAAATCGCTGGGGGGGACGCCGATGCTCTAGCGAAGAACTTCCGACAGAACATTCGATTCATCTCTGGAGTAGGTGCAGATTATGCACCGAACGTTATCAATCAAGGGCATGATGTCGCAACTGGAGCCGCGCAACCAGGTTGCAATGTCCCTCCAGCGAAGGCTACTCGCTACATCGACGCTAACCCCATCGACATACAACTCGATATCCCCGTACTCGGGCAGTTCAGAGTCTATGTCTTCCTCGGGGATATCACTTCCTCCACCGCTCAGGCATTTTTATCGACATTGAGCTGCGCAGTGCTCTCCGAGAACTCGGTTCTGCAGCAGCTGTCCGAGGCTGCTGAACAGTCCTACGAGAAATGCCCGAGGCCCTCTGCCCCAGAAGATGTATATACAAATCCGCGAAGGTACACAAAAATAAGTCAGCTATTTACATATTGTCTGATTAGTAGGTCTACTAAGCGTATCAACTGTATGCAGCAGCTAACTGGCCTTAGCAACAACCCCTAAGTCGGTCTTCGAAATCGGAGAATTACCACCCTTATTTTCCAACAGTGAATGGACGGTATACCTCGATGATGTACCCCATCTTGATACCAAGGGCAAAACTTGCACCGAGAAGTGGCTCGGTAGCGTGGGTACCAGCGAGGCAGTCATCGTTAACGTGCGCCCTGATGGCTACGTCGGCTCACTCGGAAGATGGGACACTCGGGGATTCTCGGGTTCTGTAGCTGCCGAATGGCTTGGAAAGTATTATGGAGAGTTTCTCCAAGTACCCAAGCCTGATCTAGGGACTTTATGAGAAGAACCTTTTAGTGTTGAGCCCCAGAGATAATCATACTAAACGGGTTTACCGCGGGAAGGGAAGTTCTATGGCAAACATTGTTATTGAGATTAATCAAGAACTGACGTTTGGTGAATCGTAATTTGCAATTTCCACCTCCGGCTATGAGATCTAATCTCATCTATGCACAATCCGTGAGGTTCCCTAACCCCGATACATAATAATTTCAATTCCATAGTACATACTTTGGACTTGATACAGGCTCTCAGACTTGTACATAGGAAAGCTGTTGGGATAGCGACTATGGCGGGTGATGCTCGAGACACTGAATGTTAACCTGGTATCTTGGATTTTGAAGTCAAAATTTTCAGGTATCAATTTGACTATGAATTTGTCCTTAAGATACCTCATACTGGGATATCAGCCGCATAGGAATGAGGGCCCTCAATACTAGAACCCCTGAGTGGATGATGCCCCACCGCACCTTGCTAAGAACATCAGCCATTACCCACACAAGACCTCCTGTGGTTTGCCTGGCCAAGCTTGTATACGATGTATACGACTTGACGTGAACCATATTTAACAACAGCTCCTGCATTTCTTTCCGAGCATCCCATACCATTTCACTATCTTCACTCTCGATGCTCGCAGGGGTGGCAGGCCGCGCGTGATGAAATGCCCACAAGGTAAGAGTTGACAGGTACAAGCACCATGGAACATGGAAAAGTCCCATGCTATCAAAATCATCGAGGTTATTCGACGCTTCATGCAGAGCACTTGCAGCATGAAAGGCAGCTTTCGTGGCACTCATTGGCGTTCTTGCACTAACACCGGATGACCCGTCTCTTGAATCAGGCTCCACCATGTCATTTCCACTAGCCCAGCGCTTGACAGTCCGCTCTGAGCGCACATAGTCATTACGATAAACTGGTCGGCCAAGAATGTGTCTCGCTCCAGCATAAATCTGCACGTCCAGGAAGGACGAGTTCAAGTGGATCTGAGAGGCGTGGTACACTGCCAGATACGCCGTGGCAAAGGTGGAAAACTGTTGGCGTCTTGTACTCCAGTCTATCTCGGACTCCGTAGAACCTTGTTGCTGCATTCGTCGTTGCTTGATCACGATTTCCGAGCAATACGCATCGAAATCCGTTTTCCACAAATCATACGCATCGCCCAGGCGGTGCCTCCAGTTGACACCGTCCACAAAGCTAGCAGCCCCAAGGGCCGTCTGGTCTCGCCGTTCCATGTCCCAAGAGATTGACATTAGGCCATGGAGTAGAAGGATGCGGGATAACGCATTGAAGTTACGCGGTCGTGCGTTGTTGGGTTCGATTAGGTACGTCTTCAAAGCAGCTAAGAACGAAAGTTCTGGCTGTTTCTCGGAAGTCATTCTGCGTTCCCAGTCTGACTCGTCCTCAGCCTCCCAGAGCGCCTGTCCACACGGCATCGATAGGCGCAGCTCGAATGCAGACATGCAAAGGCTCTGGCAGAAAAGAACAGCATGCTGCGTATCCCACATGAAGCAGAGGAAGGCCAGACGTTTCTTTTCTTCAGACTTGGCCCATTGGCGCCACGCATTTCCAAGATCGTTCTTGTCTGAGTTTCCATCTGAAATGGATGCCGACTGAATAGATTGGCAATCCGACCGGCGAATGAGGTTAATAAGTAATCCGTGGAACAGATGACTCATATCATGCTGCTTCTGTCCCGCCCGCGATTTACCAAAACACTCTACAAGGAGGATTGTTTGTAAGACCCAGAGCTCAGGTTTGGGGCTGAATCCCGCGTGCGCAAATATTTGAGGTCGAATAACATCGTGAATGCAGACTGCAAGTTGGTGAGCCTCGCGACTCGAGTATGTAGCTCCCAGTAAGAGTATTGCCAGTACCAGGAGAGGCTCTGTTCGGCTGGGTTCAAAGGTTGCCGAGTGGATCAGGGGATACGCCGTATTAAATCTCGTGAAGAAAAGGTCGAGATAGTCCTGGAGGCAAGAGAGGGATAAGAGAGGGTCCTCCCAGGCTCTCAGCTGTCCAGTTGGTAAGACAGGCTGAACCGCCTCGACAGCCTCTAATATGTGTCCTCGAACCTCGTCAGATATTGTTGGAAAACGTGGGACAGATTTCAGCGTAGACAGTGGTCTCTCTAGATCGTAGCCTGCAGGCACCTGCACCGGGAGGCAAAAAGCCACCGGCTCGTCTGGTTGTGTGCTTGTAATATCCCCCGCGGGTGCTGGATTTAAGTGTACACAAGGTCTTGATGAATGCCGCCTCTGTTGCGGCGTTACTGAAGGGGTGATAGGGACTGGCTCGTGAGACACGTTGTCTTCCGGTCCTTGTGCCGAAGTTATTGCAGCTGCACTCTGTGGACTGACTTGGGTATCCATTGGTTCTGCTAAGCCGCTGTGCAATCCAAAGCCAGCTCCGGCAGTGCTACTGATCGCTTGCGATTCTGTTATGACGCCTATCAAACTGCTTTGATCAAATAGCCAATTGTAATTCGCCGCTGTCGTATATGGCATATTAAATGAGCTGGCAGTATCGGGCTGAAAGAAGTCATCGTAGAGTTGACTGGATTGTTGAGATGACGATGCAGACGCTGGTGGAGGAAATAGCCCTGGATCTAGGAAGAAGCTATCATCGGGGTTGATATTCAGAGTCGGATCTAAAGACTCCGCTCCAGTAAATGACCATGAACTCCCATCCAGTGGCATGTAGGAACTTGCATACTGGTCGTCCTGAAAATCTTGATGTGGTGCAAGATCGGAGTGATCTTCGGACGTGGGAGGTGAAATTGGATGGTCCACGTGGATATTACCATGAGGACCAGATTCCTCGCTTTCCGAACGACCTTGGTCTGACGGCGGTTTTGGAGACCGACAGTCTTCTGACAGGTCTACTAATGGCCGATTTTGCACCACACTGCCATCAGGGGCTTTCCAGAGACGTTTGCGAGTATTGAGAACTCCGTGGCCTGCTCCTCCGGCTTCCTCGTCTCGTTGACGATGTCGGTTCAAATGTCGCTCTACGCCGCGTCAATCAGCCATATGTCCTGTCCAACGTTTCTGTTCAGCTCAATGCGGCTCCCGGGCCGGTGGCTTACCGAGTAGGTCCGGTCGCTTGAAGTGGGCACGGCACCGGGGGCAGGTGGCACTGCCGGGGGTATGGTTCAGAGAGTGCCTCTGAAGATGCTCGGCCCGTGTGAACCGTTTTTCACAACCCGAAAAACTGCATACAAAACCTTTGGACACGGTACTACTGCCACCACTGGCGGCAGCAACCTTGCGCTGTCGTCTTTCCATTTCTCGTTATACCAAACTGTGATCTGTGCGTTATTCCTGATGGCTTCAGACTCTTCCGCTCACTGAGTGGACACCTCCACTTCTGGGAGAAGAACACTTCTGAGCAGTCGAAATCAAGGCTTGATAATCACCATCTACCAGCCAGCAAGTAGGAGTGGTGAAGACAAAAATGGGGAGCCGTCCCGGGCAATTAATGTGCAATAGGCCTTAGTCTCTTTGCTAGTACTTGATGGAGCGCCTAGGGGTCTGTTATCGCCGCTAGCATGTCCGGTTGTCGCAATCAATTCAACCCCAGCTTATCTGTGGGGATGTCTAGCTCACTCGTGTGTACGTGCAGCATGTACCTACGGGAGGCGCTGAAGGCTGCCTGAGAACTCCCATCCCCCCACTCTTGATGGACTGATGGGCGCCCACGGTGCTCCCCTCAAGGTCATGCACCCCACTTCTCCTCCCGACGGTAGTTGTAAAGTCTTACGTCTGGGCGCTGGGCGGCACTCATCGGGCGGCGACCTGCACTGGCGTTAAGCCTGGTGCCTTTTACCTCTGGGTGGAGAAGATAACAGTACCTGCTTGGAGATCGGGTAGTTTCCTGTTCTGATAGCGCTAGTCCCATTATACCCGGTTCGTGATTCGGTCTGCATCGGACCCGAGTCTCTTAGGATGGGGCGCATACTGTCTCGATTGCATTCATTGACGTAGCCTCTGTTGGCTATTGGGTCCGGCTGCATTGTAAAAGCTGATGTGGATCGTCATAGAGGTTCATCGCAGAGGAACACCATTGTTCAACTAGCCGGTTGGTAACAATTCCAAGGTTCACTTAGACAGGCACCCAAGGCTTGGTCTACAGCAATGGACGATTTCAAGTATACTGTCCAAGAGAAGATCTCAAGAGATCCTTCCAACACTCTCGATGTGAGTGCAGCACTGTCACTTTATTCTGAACCGTAAGGAACTGATAGGCCTCAGGTTATCATCGTCGGCGCTGGTTTAGGTGGGCTCGGTGCAGCCATTTCGGTCTTACTCGCTGGCCATAATGTTACTGTCCTAGAGTCAGCGTCGGAAATTGGTGAGGTGGGAGCTGGTATTCAGATACTGCCAAACGCAGCACGCGTGCTGTTCTCCTGGGGTCTTAAAGACGCCCTGGAAAAGTTCGCAACGAAACCCAAAAAGTGTAACTTCATCGGCTGGAGGGGGAACAAGCTGTCCGAGATGGACTATCACGCCTACACGCAAGCTAGCTCATCGCCCTTCTGGGACTTTCACCGCGCCAACCTGCACAAGTGTCTGGTCGACCGGACCTTGGAACTTGGCGGCAAGATTATGACAAAGGCTAGGGTCGAAGCTCTGAAAGTTGCACAGGATCAGTTGAGCGCCACTGTGACACTGCAAGATGGACAAAAACTGACTGCCGACTTGGTCGTTGGAGCGGATGGGATAAACTCCAAGCTGAGGGAAATCTTCTTGGGCCATCCTGACCCACCAGTACTGACCGGTGACTTGGCTTATCGGATCATTCTGGACGCGGACGAGATGCGCAAAGATCCTGAATTGAGAAATTTTGTTGACGAGCCCCAAGTCAATTATTGGCTCGGCCCAGACGCACACGCCGTCAACTACGTACTCAAAGGCGGAAAGCTATTCAATATGGTTCTCCTTGTGCCAGACGACATACCAGAAGGCAGCAACACAGCCGAAGGAGACGTTGAGGAGATGAGAGCTTACTTCAAAGACTGGGACCCAAGAATTGGCAAACTACTGTCAATGTGCGACTCAGTTTTGAAATGGCGCCTTTGCATCCGACCGGGCCTCGAACCAACCTGGTCAGATCCGTCAGGGGCGTTTACCCTACTAGGGGACGCTGTGCACGCGACATTACCATATCTCGCAAGTGGTGCAGGGATGGCACTCGAGGACGGCAGCATTCTTGGTCTTTGCCTTGCACGAATCGCCGACAAGAGCTCTGCTTCGAAGGCCCAGGCACTTCGTGTATACGAGGCTTGTCGCCGTGAACGTACAGAGAAGGTCGTCAAGCAGGGTACTTATAACCAGTGGATTTATCATCTCCACGACGGCGACGAACAGCAAAAGCGGGACCAGAGACTCAAGGAGTTCGAGCAATGGGAACTTGACTGGATGAGCCAACCTGTCTTCACGGTGCCTGAGTCATCTGAAACTGGCCCGGACCCACTGCCGTGGAGGTGCAATGGGGTTGGACGATGGCTGCTCACATATGACACAAACAAAGATGTTGCTGCAAGGTGGGTTAGTTGATGCTGCAGCTCCATTGGCATATGAGTTTGATATACAGTTTGCGGCGGGATCTCGCCCGAATATTTTCATCTCCTCAGCGAGACGCCCTGAACTATTGTCTCGTTACGTGACGGCTCAATTCCATGTTAACATTGTGAACGCGAACAACCATGATATATAGCGCATGCTAGCTAAATTGAAAGGTACGCAAAAAAGCGTTACCTTTCTTCTACGTTGAATTGGAGTGAAGATTACATGTAAAGTACTCTATACCCTCGGCGCACATGCCTAGGTATACACCTTGGTCTTGCTTTTATGTAGCGCCCACAAGGTCGATACTCCATCAATCACTGAGTTTGTGGCGGAAAAGTTGATGCCGAGGCCGACAGTGCGTAATTAGAATGCTCTGAAATATATGACAAGGAAATCGGCATTCAGACTGTGTTTCCTTAGCTCCAGCATGGTGGGTGTGATAAATACGCTGAAACGTCAACTGCACATCCAATAAGCCCGTTTTAAGCATACCATCAGGACCGCACGTACTTCCCATTCCGCTTAATACAGATTACAAAAAACCTATTCGATTACCCTCATGTGCTCAGTCAATACGTCTGACAGCTTCGCCCTAGCTCCACGCGACTTTCGGAAGACTGGCTTCGGAGTAACCTTGGAAGTCGAAGCCATCCCTGAATTTGCTCCGTCGTGTGCGGATGTACCCAGATCGGAATGTGAAAGAATGATGTTTATTAGTCAGTGGTCTCGCTCTTTGCTATATCCCGCTCTAGTTCTATTTGTTATGGCGTTCTAAGCGGACACTTCTTGCTCGAATACGGGATAATCTATATATCCTTTCTCGGGAGGGCTTGCTCCGTAAAACGTGGTTCTGTCATATTTGTTGAGATCCCAACCATTTCTTAATCTCTCGACCAAGTCCGGGTTCGATATGAACCATCGTCCCATGACGACACCATCCGCCAAATCCGCTTCAAGCTTGGCTGCCGAGTTGTCTCGGTTGAAATTTCCCGCCGCAAGAAACTTGATTCCTGCCGGCTCAAGTATCTTGCGGAAGGGTGTCAATGAATTCATAGGGATCTTCTTCGCCTTTCCCTCTTCCGAGGTTGTGTACTCCGACAGAGCACTCAGTTTTTCCTCCTCGCTAAGATTCTCATCGAATCTAGGTTCAACCCTGTAGTCTTTGTTAGTCCGAGCGAGGAGGTACCGTGCTTGAAGGCTCACATGTGAACGTAACACGGGCGCTGGGATTCTGGCAGGCCGGCGATCTGCCCGCAGAGGTAAGACCAATGGGCATTGGGATCGCTGTCCTTTGTATCCTGGAAATAATTGAACGGGGAGAGTCGGATGCCAGTGCGGCTGGAACCGACTGCGTCACATACAGCTCGAATCACTTCCAGAGTAAATCGGCACCGATTCTCCACCGATCCACCGTATTGATCCGTGCGGGTATTGATGTTGTCATGCAGAAATTGCTCCAGGAGGTATCCATTTGCGCCTAAGACATCAACATCGAGAGTTCCAGACTGAAAACGCTAAAGATACTTACTGTGAATCTCCACCCCATCGAACCCAGCTTCAACAGCGCGCTTTGCAGCGGCAGCAAACTCCGCTGTCGTTTGAGCAATCTCGTCTACCGTCATTGGACGTGGTGGGTTTGCTGCGCAGTCCATGCCATCCAAGTACGTCCCACTCATGGGAATCGAACTTGAACTCAGAGGCGTTTGCCCTCCAAGCAGGCCAGGGCCCGATGCTCTGCCAGTGTGCCAAATCTGACAGAAGATGTAGCCGCCTTTGGCATGGACAGCGTCTGTGACCTTTCTCCACCCAGCGATCTGCGACGCTGTGAAGATACCAGGCACACCAGGGTAAGCCGATGCATTGAGGCAGATATCGGTGGCCTCAGTGAGCTGAAGTCCACCTTGAGTAGCACGCTGGGAGTAATACTCGACAGCCCTGTCTGCTGGAACATGAACACCGCGGCTCTCCTTCTCCGCCCTCATGCGAGTCAACGGCGCCTTTCGACCGAGTGAGCCAAAACAGTCGTACCAATCAGAAAGGGGTCTTTTACCTGAATGATTCGGTGGGCGAGGGTGCATGAACCCAGTCGGAGAGGAGTGAATAGTTTTGTGGCTTTGAGGGGCGCAAAGGCCGGTGGAGGGGTGGTGGCGGCGGGCATAGTGTAGACGGCTCAACTGTGCATTATACAAGGACCTGTTCTACTAAACTCACAGTCGACTACGATGTTCGTATATGTAACTGTTGTCAACTGAGTATCGCAGTCGCTTTTCTGAATTCTCCACAATCACACTAGATTGAAGTGGTGTCCACTGATTCAGACAAAAGTGGGAGTGGGACAGGGGCTCACTGGTGGGTTGGTGGGTAAGTGGGGGTGGGACGTTTGCCATCTTGCATAGCAATTGTATCCGGACCTAGTCCGTCAAACATACTATGTAGTGTAGCGGAGACTCTGATAAGCTAAGAACACGGCCGAATCGATCAGCAAAACCCTCAGGTTCTTTCGCGCAGCAGCACTATCCATGCTCCAGAAGGGGACAACGTGTAGACTAGCTTTAGCCGCCCCTTGCCGTACCTCTTGTTGGTCGGCTGTCCGATGCAGATGAACCTGTAGCGTGCCTCTGGAAGTGGATTCGTGAGAAAGTGTCTGTGTACGGAGTAGTTACCTGCAAGACTCGCGCAACTCTGCATGAAATCTCGCATGACCATAATTGGTCCAATTTGGCCCGTGCACATCTATCGAGGCCAAGGGGGAGACTATACTCATGCTGTTTTGGGTACTGTCAAGACTGTGATACTCTGACTGTTGTATTCTGCTTGGCGCTATGAAGGAATGATAAACCAAGAGCGCAACGCGTATTATGCTCAAACGAATCTTATTACCCATCATATTTACCCATGCTGCTGGTTACTAAATCTTCCTCGCTTTCAAAAAGACCATGCTGGGTTTTTGGAACGTCATCTTCCAGTATGCTCGCACACTCGACGTCATCAAGCGCTGTTGTGCGAATCAACGCTCTACTTGGTTTCAAGGGTGAGTCTAGGTTTTCTTTCCATACGCCAGTGGAAGGTCTCATTGGGAGGGGCGCCAAAGAAAACGACAATCTCTTTCCGTTCGCGAACACTGCGCCGCTGTATCGATTGGTCGATGCTGTGTTACGCTGTTGAGCTGCCCTCGAATTTCTTCTCGAGTGTTGTGCAGTGGACGAGAGAGAGGAAGCAATTGTCGATAGCGAGATAACCACTAACGGGCGTAGAGCGGGAATGGAACCGCAGACTACAACACACAATAACTCAATCAAACTCCAGGTGAAGACATCCACATTGAAGTCTATACCTCCATGATTAGCTATTCTGATTGGAAGGGGTGCCGGGCGACTATACTCACAAGTGCTGTCGAATGCTGATGCACCGGCGACGATGAACCTGATACGAACTAGGCTGGCTACGATGCCACTGTCAGAGACCAAGTTAGCTAAGGCAAAACCCGGCGCAACCAATATATGTAGACTTACAGCGAAGCAACTGCTAGCATCAGGACAATCCCTAGTCGTTTCTTGCGACTAACCTGCAGTTTGCGGAGCGCAGGAATGGGAAGAAACATCAGGACTACATCGGATACAATGTTGAGAACGCCGCCGGCTGAGAATGCCGCAGTGGCATTGAAGCACTTCGCTCCCTGTATCGACGGGTCCCACAAAGCTGCAACTGGCCAGCACTGGAAGGAGATTATGAGAACGTAAACTCCTTCGACGAGGAACGTAAGTAAAATCAAGATTTTAATCGTACGCATAAACCAAGGGGCGCCGGTGCCAGTATTGAATACCCTTTGGTATAATAACAAAATTGCTACCTTTCCCGTGCATTGGATGATCACGTAGAATATCTTTGAAGCGTAGAACAACTGAGATAAGGTGGTTAGAATCGGATTCATGGGTTTCATCGCAGACTCATTACCTGACGGATTATGACGATATCTGCCAAATTCAGGTCCCAATAATGCCTTCCTATTCCCTTCCTGGCACTGAAAATTTGCATGGACGACATAGCGAGAAGCATTGCCTAACCCAAGTGGTTGTTAGAGACATAAGAACCATTGTGAGGATCAAGCCACCCACAAGTGTGACTAGAGACATGTAGTCATCTGCCCACAGCCTTTTCGTAACTTTCAGCCTCGTGGCACATCGAGCAAACACGATAGGTATGGACAAGGCGATGGTAATAATACCACTTATGATTGCTACATCCGTTCTCGACTCTTTTGGGAATGCTTCGCACATATTGCTCTCATGTTTGAATGCACCTTGCCTTGTGTGTCAACGTTTGTATCTGCCGGATGGAAGGCATTGCCTCTTACTTGACTGATCGAGGATTGCTTCACAATTGAGCTGCACGCAAGTGCTGAATTTGGACTGCAGCGGTATGTTCGTGCACAGGCAGTCCGCTTGTCGACTGTCGTCTGTCAAGGAACAGTTGCCCTCCAACAGCGTGTCGAAGATGCATGGAAACTGTGAATCCGTCAGAGTCGGAAATCTGAAAAGCACCAGAGTTCTTTTAGATAGACTTACCGCGCACTCGGGCATCGACTCCACGAATGCAGTCACGTTCAGGGACGAGGTTTGCGCAACGACAAGCATCTCGCTAGCCATGGCCATGACGGCCATGACGAACATCAGCCACGCAGACACCTTTGCTTGCAACATGGCGTTTGCCAAAATCACAGAAGGCGTCATGAGATGCCAATGGGCTGCAAAATGGACTGGTTATAATGGCGTTCACGCATTCGGACACTGTTCCCCATTTGGGCCGCAACCTTGAACCCAAGACCTTCCACATGGGTGATGCGATCTTCTTGTCGCAGCAGTGTCACAGAGTCTCACATGACAGTCGCTGGCGACAGCACCCAACTCGGTTGGTTATCCGATTATATGCATTGAAAGTCCTGGCATATCGGTCAATTGAGCACGCCTAGGGTTGCATATGTCCCGGAGAGAATGATAAGGAGATTCAATTGACATAAAGCGATCAGGCGCAGTGGCGCAGCTTGGCTTCACAACAATAAGAGTAGCGCGGCTAACAGAAAACTTGTTAGTACTTAAGGAGTCATTCTGCGTACGCCTTATTGGTACCTATGGCTTGAGAACAGACCGTATACATCAATGCAAGGCGCTGCATGAGGCACAGAGTGTTGCTACTCGCATGATATCTGGCAGCTTCTAAGTAATCGGACTTTGATTCGGTATCCAGTGGCAGGGAAAGCGCGCAGAGCCAGAGAGGCAGGTGTTTCCTCGCTCTAGCAAATCAGCGAATAGGATCTAGCACACCATTAGTTGTGCTGGCACATGAAAACCAGGGGCGACGCGGTTGCAGATTTGGAGAAACATCAGCGGTATCAGAGAGCGGTCGAGATCGGGCGGCGCACGGTCTCAAACGGGACACACCCGCGCTGTTTATGTACCACCACACACTCTCAGTGAGGCATCAGCCAGATTCATCGGTAGACATCGGCAGTAGTACTTGACCACCCATGAATCCCCTGTCTGCTTCTGTGTGGGTGTGGCCATGGCAGATTGACAGTTCTATCGCGCGTCGCTTTGATCCATGTGGGATCAATGCAACAAGGCCGTCAGCGGGATCAGTTGCCCTTTGGGGTAGCCGTTCAGTTACGGGGCACGCTAATTGGTGATCGATTACTCAGGCCTGCATAGCCTCCTTGGACTTCAGATAAGCCCACGAGGGTCCTAGCCGACGTACATAGGCCTATGCTTACGTATGGAGACAAAGCTCATATTGCCAGATTTCAACTGGGGTCCTCTTCGTCAATCTTGTTTACCTACCGGCCTTTGGTCATTCATGTGGAGGACATTATTGTCACCATTCTTTACGCCCAAACCAGGCCTAGGACTGGCTGCACCTATATGACTGAAAATAGTCTGGATACTGTTTGATTAAAAAAGATTGTGTATCTGTAGTTCTTGAAAGGAAAAGAAATGACGGTTTCAACCGGTTCAGTGTATCGAAGAAATAACGCCATGCAGCTCCGTCATCACAGTCATGGAGTAGGACGGACCCAAGTCCGAATTCGTTCACCGCTGAATAATATCCCAGGTCTTCTAGAGGTGCAACATCCAGTGGATTTAGAGATGAGACAGAAACCATCGGTCCAGTCACATGAGGGAGGAGAGCTCTTACGCGGGGAACGAACGTACAGATACCACGCTGGAGCAGTGAAGGCACAGCTTTCAGAAACCTCCTGCTGCAGACGCATAGAGTTTTTACGGGTCTAGTACACTAATGAACGCCATGAGCAGAGATCTTTGCAAGCATATACTACCAATTTTGGCCCGGCTGACCAAACCGAAGTACGATGCAGTATGAATGCACATAGTTACCCGAAGACTCATTATGCTGAGGAGTCATGTAACACGGGTTGATTAGTAGTCCAAACTGCTGGCTAAGGGAACTGAATGGCACCCAGCAAACTGTATGCAAGTTTACATGATAAATGAAGTGGTTTGTCCATGATAGACGTCGTTGTAGAGCTTTCCTCATTTTGAGCATGTAAGAATCTAAGCTAGGACGATGCACCACTAACTCCTGGCCATGCCCATGGTAGGCCTATGACTTAGAAGGGTACAGATACCCTTATAGTCTTGCACTACCTCTCCAATCAGCCCTACCGGCAGCGCCGCCTTTTGTACCGACCAGCCCGCCGAAATTGTGAAGTCGTTCCCCCATCAAGTAGGCCTCGTCGCGGACGCGAGCCCTCCAGCTGTCTAAAACCCTGAACATGCCCCTAAGAATCCACACCATTGTCCAACACAATGCGGCAATGGGATATGACATCCTGAAGACAAGGATATGCCTATCTCGGGTCCAGAGCTGAGTATCGATGAATCCGCGTTGGATAAGCACGTGGGCAGAGCTCGCAGGGAAAATAACCAAGAATGCGGACAGCAGAAGACCAGGGATGACGAAGCCTCGTGTCAGTATGTTTACATCAGGCTCGAACCAACCTCGACGCAGGACAGCACGAACCGCCAGAGCTGGTCGGCCGCCGAGCATGATCAAGATGCGTGTTCCTAATTTCAAGTATAGGAGACCGAGGGTCCAGGCTTGAATGATGCGTATGGTGTGGTCACCCCTGAGGCCTGCAGGACTTGTGCTTGATGAGAGTGCTTGGGTATTGTCAACCGCCTGGGAGTACTTCCATGTGTGCAGGGGTATCAAAACGTAGAGCTCCACGACGAGCGTTGCCAGCATTGGGAAAACCAACAGTAGCATAGCATAAGTGTACGCCAGACCAGTGGCCTGTTTTGTCCAGGTCGTGATCCTGTGAAGGGTCTCACGGTCAAGTAGCGTTGATACCGATGTGGAACACCAGCCCCATGCCCTAGCTGCGGTAGACCGAGCATTCGAAGCTAGGTAGGCAACGGAGCCCAAGATATATATGCCAATACTGAAAGCGTATATATCGTTCGTTCGGATATGTGCCGGGATGAGAGTTTTGAACATACGGCGGCCAAAGACTAGGGGTACAATGGTGAAACCAACGCCAGTCACGGCCGCGAAGAGCCAAATGAAAAATATAAACATGAAGATACGCACTCGGAACCACGGGGGGACATAAACGAACTGGTAAGTCTTGTTGGAGTAGAGATCGGTCTCCAGTCGGTTGGTCCTACCGTCGAGAAGTTTGTCTTGGTCGGAAACCTCAAGGAACACTGATCGTCCCTTGGGTATCTTGACCTGGTCGGAGGCTGGTGCACGGACAAATCGACCAGTGGGAATGAGCTGGCCGGTGTTCACCAGGCGAGCCTTTGCGGTACCAAGGCGCAGCATATCCTCTGGGCGAATCTTAGTCGTCGGTTTGGATTTGCCACCCTCAAAGGTATCGGCCCACGTCTTGGGTACCACATTATCGTCTTGGCCGACCTCGAGAAAGACTTTGCGGTACCATGGCAAAGAGCTGTGCTCCGAGTTCTCTGGCAGTCGAAGTGAGCCTTCTTCATCGATACGTCGTTCGCCGAATAGGAACCAAGTGAGGCTCAATGCTCGTGCGCATCGCCGAAACCACCAGGTATACATTGCATGGAGCCCGTCGCTGGGCCTGAAAAACTTGACGGCGAGCGGCATGAGGAAGTTGTAAAACAAGAGGTCGATGGGGAACTCGAGCACAGGCTCATTCGACGAGTAGTGGATGGGAAGGACGGTCGGCAAGGCTAACGACAAGCCCCAAACTACGCCGCCGAGGCAGACGACGACAAGTGCCCCGTAAACGAAGGCCGAAAACAGGATCTTGCGCAGCTGCGTGGTGACGTTCCGCTCCAGCACATCACGGACCGGGTGGAACTCGGGGTCGTCCGGGTCTCTGATGAAGTCTGAAAGAGAATTAGCGGGTCTGTTGGGCTGTCAGGTGGGTTGCAAGGACAAGACTCACAGAGAACACCTTTGCGCATGATCTTCCGGCACATGGATACGAAAAGGGCAAAGTGGAACATGTAGCCTGTGCCCACGAACCAATGGACGAAAATGGAGGTCAGAGGGTAGTTGTAGGTGAACAACAGTCGTGACCTGAGGCTTGTGCTTTCGAAAAGGGGTAGAAGTGCGAAGTCCAACAATAAACCACAGTAGAGTGGAAACACCAGCATTTCAATGCTAATAATCAGAATGACCTTCATCACGCCGCTGGCTTGGGTCAATGCGTCGAGAATGGAACCCTCCCATTCCTGAGCTGTCCTGCTGCTGGAGAACGGCGTCCCCCTGCTCAGATAGAGACCGGCAACAACGGTCAGCGAGATATATCCACTCGCGATCGCCAGAGTTCGATCCTTGGCACTCCAGTATGCCAGCGCCGGGTCGAATGTCACTGCCGTTTCAGGTAGACGGAGGCTGACGGTCCAAGAGCCCGGCCGCAGGACCCCGGCGAGGACGTTTTTTCCACCTTGGAGTATGCCTGGTAGCGCAGAGCGTATGGCCAACTTGGTCGACGCCCATTTGGAGACATAGTCGCCGCCAAAGATAAAGACGAGTATGCGGCCCGCTACGGTGAAGAATAGCTGAATATGGTGCTTGACACTGATCAGAGCTTCGTGGCTGACCACGGAGAAGTTGCGGATCTCGTTAGAGGTGATGAAAGTAGTCTCGAGTTTAACGCTGTCCCACAGCCCTGACAAGGATTCGGTTGTCAAATGCTTTGCTTCAGCAGATACCGACCCAACGAACTGGCGAACATCGTCGAGCCTGAAGAGCTTCGCCATGATGTACAGAAGGTCGCATACAAAACTCGAGGTCCATCCAACTGCCAGCAGACAGAGGTCCTGGACGAGCCGCGAGAAGCTAAACACCATACGGAGGAGCCGCATGGGGTTGGCTACAATCCAGACTGCCAATCGTCCGATGTTGTAAGGCAAGAAGATGCCAATGAATATTGTGATGGACACCAAGAAGGCGCAGAATATAGCGTTCTGGAAAAGTCCGGCGACGGGTCCCCGCATGCCAATGAGCTCCATGATGCCGTCAAAGTCTTCGGCGTCATCGATGGCCTCTGGGTCTATGCCGGCCGCTGCTGCAGCTTCCACAACATCAGGTGCCAAGCCGTTTGGTCCAACATCGTTGGCATTGGCGTTGTCATCATCAATGTCGTCCTCCTCCTCGGAATCGTCATGATCCCGGTGTGCGTCTACGAAAGGTGCGTTCTGGTCGTCGATGAAAAGTTCTATCGCATCTGGGCCGGCTCCGTCACCTGCTTCAATATTGCCCCACATAAAATCGGCAATCCTGTCGGCCATACTGGGGGTTTGTGGGAGGCCTTGAGCCTCTGCAACCAGGTCGAGATGTTCAGCGGGCACGCCTGCAGGCTCCGTAGGCTGCGCAGCTTCACGTTGAAGAGGTGTTGGGTCGTCTGTGTCATCTTGAACGCCAGCATCGGCACTGGGGCTCGCAGCCTCCAATGCCGTCCCGCTTGGGCTAGTGCTACCTTCGTCTCGGGGATCTGATGGAACATCTGCGCCAGAAGTTGAGAGTACTGAAAAATCTTCGGCTATTCCATGGTCGACGTTCGAGGGTAACTTGGAGAATGACCAGCTGTTGTTGGCCAACGGGTTGATTGTGTCGTGGATTGGGGGTCCATCAGACACGGCACGAGGTCGGGATGATGACTGTGAGGCTGGAGCATCGAAGACTGACAAGGCCGCCATTGTGTCTTGTCTGTCATCTAGGCCTCCGGGAACACGCTTTTCGGGATGTAGCCAAGACGTTGATAGTACAGAAGGACTCGAGGCGACCTCGTCTTGCGCGTCATCCACTGTTGCCTTCTCCTTCCCCTTTCCTTTGGGGGCAGTCGAGACTTCAGCTTCCTCGGTTGGGGCAGGGCTAGGGTAGGACCAAGGCATGTCCTCGTCGTCGGTAGTATCTTGGTCTGCGTGAAAATCGCTAGAACCAGCATCTACTGGAAAGCGTATCGGCGGGCCATGCGGATCGCCATGATCCTGGTCACTTTTGGATCTTGCCAATGCATTCGTGGCGTTGACCCAATACGAAAGACGATCCTCCAAACCTTCATCACGTATGCGTTTGAGAATCTCATCCCGGTCGCCATCGGCCTCGCGGTAGATGCGTAAATACTGGTTTACCGTGGATTGGGATTGCCCATCCAGTGACGCTCGCAATAGTTCCGCCCGTGTCTCATCAAGGCTATCACGAGGGGCTGCTTGGGCCGCAGCCCCCCCCTGAAAGAGTGGGCGGTCGACATCTTGCTCCGCAGAGCCACGTCGCGCTAGCCTCCGTCTGAACCCAGCGATAGGCCTCTGCTGCAATTCGTCCGCAGCATGATCCCTTAGGTGTTGAACAGCTTGCAAATAGTCCGCAGCCTGGCCGTCGTCCTGCGCAATGGTAGATTCGTCGTCCCTAGCGAGGGTTTCCCCGGCTGCATGGTGTTCCTCAACCGCCGCAGCCGTGGGCCCTCCCGCAGGTGGCTGATCTGCCAGGTCTTGGTCCTGCTCGGGCTGGAGGTCCTGTGCGTCGTCAGGGTTGCCCATCTGAGCTGCAAAGGCGGCGCGCATATCTGCACGCATGATGATTTCAGGCTGCTGCTGGACCACATAGTCCCTAACCAGGATGATCAGAATGAAGCAGACTATAACCAGAATGGTGATGATCTGGCCCTCGAAGACTTGGATCATGATGCGATTCACAGCCGGATGGGGTGTCAGGTTCTTAAGAAAGCTGACCTCGCTCAACAGCGTGTCATGTTGAGGAAATCTCGGAGTCAGGTGGGTGCCGTTAAAGCTGACCTGGGCGGTCGATTCTCCGCGGAAAGCAGCCTCGCCAAAGACTATGCGCGCAAGAAGGTTTGCAATAGAGTTGCTGGCCGTGGTGTTGAGAGCGGGCCATCCATGAGCGCGCAAGAGATCCGGCCCCTGCTCGGCTACGTCCCTCGAATTGGCCGAGGTCGTCATGGCTGGATAGAGCGGACTGGAGGGGCAAATTGTGGTCGTCAGACCTTGGCTGATAACGGTCGAGGCCATGGCGTGGATATGTGTGGCCGTCGTATTCTGGATGGTGCGAGAGAAGTGATGCGACGCTGGACCAAAGCCCTCGTCGCTTATCCAGAAGAGGAATGACCAGACAGATCTCATCAGGTATGGGAGCCAGCCGAGCCAGACGCTGATGACCAGAGCGGCCCGGAGCCACACCAGGACGTTCCGGAACAAGTACTTGGCCATGTGACTGGCAAAGACGTAGAAGGGGAGGCGTTGGGGCATGTTGGGGGAGTACAGCTTGGTGAAGCGGAACGGTGTCTTGCAGAGCTCGCAGTGCTTCTTCTGGGAGTGCGAGAGCCACTCCATCAGGCAGTCTTGGTGGACATACTTGATGCTCCCGCTGCATTTGCACGGGTAGAACAAGGGCTCTGCAGCCGTCCCTTCACCACGACAGATCCGGCATGTGTCCACATCGCCGGCCACGGACTCGTCACCGGTGGTCGGGTCCGGCTGCTGTGTTGCCGAGGGTCGCTGACGCTTGATGGTGTTGGGGAACTGGATCGGGTCGGGCTCGACGTCGACGGCGTGCTGATCCATGCTGCCGGCGGGGAGGGGCTTTAAACTTGGGAGTTCAAGGCGAGAGGCGGAAGGCGGAGGGGTGGGAGTGCCAGGTCACTTCAGCGTTGCCCCGAGGGCCGTCTGGACGAGACCGAGACCATCGGGCAGCGGAGGGGCTCGAATGGCGTAGGCGGCGAGAGGGGCCTGCACAGGCGGGTGGCTCTTGTGTCGGGCCGGGAGGACTGCAGTCGTGAGGGCGTAGGAGACGCGAGGCCGGGTCCGAAGGCACCAGTTGCGCAACCAGGTGTGGTGAAGCGTAGCGTATCTAGATGCGACGGTGGCGGAGCTGCGCGGGCTTCGCTGGGGACGGAGGTCAGATGGCCTCCGGAAATGCACCGGGGGAGTATCGCGCACCTTCAACCTAATGGAGTCGAGTGCTGAAAATCAAAGGAGAGGAAGAGCGGCGTTGCGCATCGGCTGCACCAAGGTCAATTTGCTGGAATTCGCTGCTGGCCAGGCCAATAGGCAAGTCAAGTACCCACGTCACAGTCAAGTTGAATTTATGGTAGTTTCGGGTCCTTTGTCAGCCTGCGCTAAGTGAAATGGGAACGGGACTCGGCCCCAGGTTGCAACTCCCCTGTCAACGAGCAGCACAGGCTTGAACTATCACCTCAAGGTAGGCACAGTAAGGCATCCCACCTCCTTACTACATACCTATGTACCATGTACGCGATTATCCTTCAAGCGCGCTGGAGGCACTTGGGCATTACCTCGAGAACTTCCAAGAAGTGGTGAGCCTGTTTCATGAGCGCATATGTGCCCTGAGGTACTGTTGGTGGTCAAGTTGCGGTGCCAAGGTGGTTTGCGCAGGCCACTCGCACGCTCAATGTTCTGTCAGCCACCGAGAGACCGTGGACGGGTGTCGAAGACCAGAGCATTCAAACAAGTCATACCTTTAAAACAAATCAATCCATCTAGGAAGTGGTTGCGAGGCGCGTCCATCTGCCGCTTGAACGCCAGCCCGGTCTTGTGGCTCGCGTTGGAAATGGACTAAGACTATCACCATGGTATGCCCCCAAGGTACCTAGGTAATCAGTAAAGGCTGAGATCCAGTGCTTGTACGAGTAGATCGATGCACATTTGGGATGATCAGCCAATCAAAACACCACAACCAGCTCAGATTAGTACTTTCCACTCTGGCCACTGCCGTAGACAGACAGCGGCCCGCTTATATCATCGGCCTCGATGTTTCTTGTTCAATCCGGCCGGCTTAACAACCACACCAGTACGTACGGCTCTTTCGCATGTGACGGCGTGCAAAGGTGCTCCCCCGACTTTCCACAGCCAACTCGTGTCGTTGGCCTGGGACACATGGCCTGGGGCTAAGAATGCATCACTACACTTTCCAGCAGAATACCGGCGAAGCACAGAGGCTGGCTAACCCACTGGGTGGTTGTATTAATATGGCCGGCTTGGTGGACTACAATGGCGCACACTAGGGCTACAGATGTGCTTCCAGCATTTATCGGGTGCAGGAGACATTTACACAGGCGATTGGAGTTGCATCAATTGGATCCCAAGCGTCTTTAGCGTGCTCTACACTTCTAGTCCACGTCGTCGCGTTATACTGACACGGGATAGTTTGTGTACAATCACAAGCCGCGACCGCCAGCCCACAGCGTTCATGGTCTCTTGGCGGATGACGTCTGTACAGAGGTCGGGTCACGCTAGCTCTGCAGCTTCAGGGAACCAAGCTGGCTGGCTGGCTGGATGGCATAGAGATGGCGTTCGCAGTCCTCGAAGCAGCAACGAATGAGTGTGCGAGATTGACGACATCCCGTGCACGCGCCCCAGCAGTGGAGATAAGAGGGCAGTCGGGATGGGGTGAACGGGATACAGTACGTAGGCATAGAGGACCTTGGCAATTGGGGGCTACATATGTTGCAGTGTAAAATTGACAATGATGGGATCGGATCTGTACAGCAAAACCGGTTCTGGCTGGGCCTCTGCGTTTGGAGCTAGCGATGTGGTTATTACATAGGTCTTGCTCGGCCTTGTGTGATGCGGCCCTCGAGAAGGGTTGGAGCCAGCCATCTTGCCTCAGTAATTCTTCCTTTCCCTCACATCAACACCATCCGTGGCCGAGATACGCAGATTCCGTGGTAAGTTCGTTGGGGTTCCCAATCATCTTCTTGGCGATGTGACACATTCTGCCCCGCGCCCACGAACATCAAACTCCCCCGGCCATAGCCCAGCTGACCATGGCGTCGCGGATGGCCTGGTGGCCTGCCTGAGGGGCCCGGCCGACCCCTGCGTCATAGGATCTTTTCCCCCAGGCTGCCAGCTCCAGTGAGTTGGATCGATCCAGGTCTGCCAGTGCACTGCTGCCCTGCAAGGGTGCTCTGGGTGCCGCCGTATGATTCTTGCAGGGAGCCGAAACATCCATGTATGGAAGGGGGAGAGAAGAAAAAAAAGACAGAACAACAATTGTCGTCGGTCTTGCGCGCTGTCGACAATTGTGACCCGTGATCCTCTCCCGCTCCTGCAACTGTTACACACCTATCGCGCCGAGGTGTCCTGATTCATCCACATCCACATCCACATCCAGCACCTGCTTCACTTTCTCCCCACCGTCACCACCAAGTCACTCCTGCTGCCACAAGTGCCGCGGTCAGGAATTGCACCTCAGGTCCCCCAGGTCTGTCTACGACTCTAGGCAGCATCGCTATATCTTACCTTGCACGAGCTCAAGCTCAAGCTCAAGCACAAGCTCCACCACCCCCCAGGACCAGCACCAACACCAGCACCAGCACGCCATCTCGCGACGCCGCTAATAGCCATCATTTCCAGCACCAGCAGAAGATTCGCAGTGTCTTTGGTGCAGAGTAAACGGAAACACCATTTCGACGGTTGCCGCCAGAAGCTGATGTTCCGGTAGACGTCCAGGTCCCGAAAGCTTCGACCATTCGGCACGTGCTCGCACCGCCCCCCGGGACGCTCGCCAAAGATTCTAGAGCATCCTCCAACTTGTCGTCAAGTTAGTGCCAAGGCACGCCCGCTACTTCAGCCTGGAGCTGCCTCAACGCCGACTGCTGCCGGTGGCTTCGACGCGTCCACGTCCACGTCCACATTCGGCATCGACGCCAACATGAACGGCCACACAAATGGGAACGGGTCACTGAATGGCGCCAAGAAGATGAACGGCGTCAACGGCCACGGCGTCGCCGTCACCCCCAGGAGGTCGGCAACACCGCCCACCAAGGCACGCCCAAACCTCTTCGCCCGCGTCTTCAGCATCGCCGCGCGCCTGTCCATATGGTACTCCATCTTGACCGTCCTGTTCCGCTGCCCGGCCACCCCCGACGCCTGCGACGACACGACGCCCAAGATCTGCAAGCCCTACTTCCAGGCCAAGCAGGCGATATCCCCCCATCTGACGCCCTACTACGACAGCTACGCCGCGCCCTACGTTGACCTGGCCAAGCCCTACTACGACACGGTCGACCGCGTCGTCATCACCCCGAGCCGCACCTACGCCGTCAAGTACGGCGGTCCCCAGCTGGACAAGGCACAGGCGCTCACCTTGGCGCAATGGGAGAAGAATGTACAGCCCCAGCTGGTCAAGTACCAAGCTCTGGCCAGGGCGCAGTACGACCAGACGGTGGCGCCCCACGTCGACAAGGCCTCGGCCGCCCTTGCGCCCTACTACGATATCGCGAGGACCAACGCGCTCCAGACCTACCACGAGGTTGTCCTGCCCTCGTACCGCTTTGTCCAGCCGTATGCCCTCCAGGGATACAACGTGGCGTCCTCGTTCACGACCGACACAGCAGTTCCTTCCACCCTGTGGGCTTGGAACAAGACCTACGTCTTCTTGGACTCGACTGTGTGGCCTCAACTAAGAGATGCCTATGCTGTCAAGGTAGAGCCCCAACTCTTGCGCATCGTCGATCGCTTGGGCCGCTACCGGGAGATCAAGCCCAAGTCGTCCGTGGTAGAAGAAGCCGAGACGTAAGTGATTTCTCTGGTACCTTTGCGGGTCGTTTCCAACCGCTGCAAAGATTTCTCGAAAGCACTAACCGTCCTTGCAGTGCTGCTACGCAAGCCACCAAGTCGGCATTCACGAAGCCCGTCGTTTCCACGTCCTCGACCACCGCCCCAGCCGAGACAACCCCAGAACCTGAGCCCACCACCGAGGCTCAGTCTACAGCGTCACAATCACCGGAAGCAACAGCCGAGGCCAGCGCTGCCGAGACCCCGGCCAAACTCACCAAAGATGAAATCAAGGAGAAGGCCGCCAAAGAGGTTGCTGCAGACCTAGAGCTGTGGCAGGGCAAGTTCACCAAGGCCGCCGACGAAGGAGCAGCCGAAATCGAGGAACGCATTGAGGAGCTCGCTGCCCGCATGGTTGAGGAAGAGGCTTACGGCACCGGTAAGCAACTCGTGTCCAAGCTAGATGAGACCGCCAAGTCGGAGTTGGCCAACTTGAAGACGACGGTGCTGTCCATCTTGGAGGAGCACAAGGGGCAGGGCCAGCCGGAGGGTTGTGACGAGGATGTTGCCGCTGCCGTGCGGGCCGCAGGCTTGAAGATTAAGGACAAGGCCCAGGAGATCCGCAGCTGGCGCGAGAGCTACGAGCAGCAGGTCGAGAAGGCTGTAACCGCCGCCGCTCAGGATCACATATGGATCCTCGAGGGCATTCGCGACTTGGCACTCCAGAAGATTGGCATGAAGTGGGCGTGGATGGATGGCGTGACGTACAAGCATTGGCAGAAGTTCCACAAGCTTCGAGAGACCTTTGACGAGTGGACAGAGGACCTAAAGCGGCTGGTCACCACGCACCCAGGCCTGGCCGAGGCCCAATCTGCCGGTAATGAGATCGAGGGCGAAGGCATGGCCATCGCTGGAACAGCTGCCCAGGAGCTCGCCAGTCTGAAGCAGGTCGCAGCTTGGAAGGCGATCGCCGGTGATTACACCGAGGACTTTGATGCCAGCACCATGCAGCTCGCAGCCGAGGCGGCCGAGAAGAAGGCGGCCGAGGCCGCTGAGGCCCTAAAGAGTGCCGCTCAGAACCTCAAAGAAGGTATACACACCGCCGCCGACCAAGTTGAAGAACAAGTCGAGTCGTTCGGCAGCTCAATCAGCGAGGGAGTCTCCAATGCCGTGTCACCCAGCAGCGCATCTACCTTGACCGTCGAGTCTGGAGAGACCGAGACGGTAGTCGTATCCCTCGCCGAAGCCGCTGCCGAGGAGGACTTTGGCACGTCTGCTGTTCCGCCTCTGCAGAGCATGTCAACTGAGCCCACTCACAGTGCTACGGATCTGGATCCCCATGCTACGAATGCCGCCGACCCTGTTGAGCCTTTGCCTGTGTCGGATCCCATCGACGGCCCTGAACAGGTCGAAGAGACCATCATTGCCTCCCCCGACGAGGGCTCGCCGCCACCCGATTCATCGACGACTAGTACTTCGTCTATTAAATCGGCCCTATTTGGTGCCGCAGCTGCGTCTGCACCTTCCAGACAGCCAATCATGGATGAGGATGTAGGGTCTTCCATCTCAAGCATCGCCTCGAAGGTACAGTCTGATGTCCCCCACAGCATCACGTCTGCCGCCCAGTCTGCATACACGGCTGCCATTGCACAAGCAGCGAATCAGTATTCGCGTGCCATGTCTGCTGTGTCGGTTCAGATCAGTGGCGAACCAAAGCCTGTCCATGAGGAGATGTTCAGCTCTGCATCCAGTGCCTATTTCGGTGCTCTGTCCGGTGCCAATTCTCGCCTCAACGATGCCTTGACAGCCGCATCGAAAGGCGTCTATGGCACTCCCACGACCGGATGGGCCCCCGAGATGCCCACCATCCCCTCTGTCGACTGGGAGCACGTTCAGTCCATTGCTCAGCAGAACCTACAGGACTCTGTCAACTGGGCTGGAGAGCAGTACGAGAGCGCCAAAGTGGCCATCGGGCTTGCCGAGCCTACACCCAGCACTGCGGCCGAACGTGTTGACAAGCTGCTAGACCAGGCGAAGCATAACTACTATGCTGGACTCGGCGTGGCTCATGCTCGGTACTCGGAATTCCTGTCAGCCGCCTCAACTGCCGTCAGCTCTCTGACCGCATCTCCCACACCGACCGATGCTCAGGGGTCGGCAAGTTCGGTCGTGTCGGTTGCGAGCGCATCCGCGTGGTCTGCCGCCTCTGCGGGTAGCGAGGCTGCTGCATCTGTGGCCTCGTCCGTTGGCGATGCGGCTGCAATTGCTGGAGACTCGATTGCTGAGACATGGGAACTCCTTGTCGGACAGGTCAGCTCGCAGGTCTATGGCGCTCCCACCCCTACCCCCTGGTACGAAAACCTGTACTCTGCCGCTGGCGACTACGCATCCCACGCTAGCGAGTATGCTGCGTCTGCCACTGGCGCTGCCGCTGACTATGTATCGTCCGCCGGAGACTTTGCCACCGACTATGCATCATCCGCCGCCGGCTCCGTGGGCTCGGTCACCTCGGCGGCTGGGGACTACGCTGAGTCCGCCTCGTCGGCTGCCGCAGCCCAGTATTCCGTTGTCATCTCGCTCGTCTCGGAGCTCATTGTCGGGAAGGAGCCCACGTTCAGTGAGTCCGTCTACTCACGCCTAGCCTTGGCTTATGGTGCTGTGAGTGCGACGGCAGTCAGCGCCGCCAGCGAAGTCACGGCATCTGCAGCATCGGCTGCCAGTGCTGCGTCCGATACGATTTCGTCGGCAACCGAAAAAGTGAAGGAGCAGGCTCAGAGCATCAAAGACGAATTGTAAAATCCTAGTCGACTGTGGTACTGGCGATGAAACTTGTAAGAAAGAGGAAGTCCGAGATAGGTTCAATGTTGCCTGACGACGCTATGTCAAAACAGACGGACAAGGAGGCGAATGCGGCATGATTTGATTTTTTTTCCATATCACTCTTTTACGCCTGAACGCATATACCCGAAGCGCTTCCGCAGCTATAGTGCAATTGACCTTTCCTTTTAAGTCGTCATGTGGATAGCATGACAGTTAGTGTGATTCAACGGGTGGCGTGGAGTGGAAGCTATGTTGTTATGAAAAGAGCTTGGTGCTGGTCAGAAGAAATCTGGAATCAGGATTGGCGCCAGGAAGTTGAGCTACTCTCGGTGGACGACGGGCGAGGCACAGTTGGGAGACAGACGGTATGGATCCGGTACGGGGAGGAATATGCTCGGTGCAAGCCTCCCACGGTCGAGAAAATGTTCAAGTATTGTATTCCATATATTAGATATATACCACTTTGAAACTCTGTATTGTCGAGCAACCCTGGAGCCCGCTGTGAAGTTCCTAGCTAGGAAATTCATCACTCATAGCCGTATACGTAGGTCATGCAGGCGCAAACCCCGCTCCGACAGATCGTGTCTGCAAGCCAGCTAGTAGTAGTACTTTGCAATCAACCCTGCCAACCCGGGATCGCCTATGTGGCTTATCACCTTCGCTTTAGAATAGGAACTCTTGACACAAGCTTAGGGAAGGTAGCAGCACTTGGAGCAAGGGACCGAGCACTACACCACCATCATCACCGTCGGGGCTTGTTGGGGCTTCTTGGGTCGTGCATTGAAATCGGTCAGGTGACCTCACTCTACTCCCGACGTCGAGTCATGGCCGACGACAATATCCATACGTATAGCCAACTGGATCTGGGAGAGATTAGGTTATTGAGATGCCAACGAAACTACGACGTCGAACAGCTTGCCGGACAATCTCCTATAGTCCAAGGTTCCGCGGTCACTGCGCTGAGCCATGAGATTGTGCTCCATCAAGTGAGCCTCGCAGCTTGTCCCCCTTTCATTGCGCTATCCTACGTCTGGGGAGAACCAAGCCTTGGGTATCGGCTTACACTACGTGACAACACGATCGTGCCAATCACCCGGTCCGTTGCAGAACTTCTCCATCATGTTCTTGGTGACATCGAAGATGGGTTTATATGGATTGATCAGATTTGTATCAACCAGAGCGATAGCCTGGAGAAGAGCCAACAAGTCCACATCATGGGAAATGTTTACCGCGAAGCCAGTCAGGTCTTTGTGTGGCTTGGCCGTGAAGGCCATGAGGCAGGCAGGGTCGACAGAATCTTTCGAGATTTCGAGGCTTCACGAATAAACTCAGCTATCAGCGATGTGCTCAGAGAAGCCTTCATATTCTCATCAGAGTCCCATCTTAACAGGCAGGCTATGATATCCGTCATGCAATTGCCGTGGTTCCAAAGAGCATGGGTTGTGCAAGAATTCGTGCTTGCTCGAGAGGCGGTCCTTGCGCATGGGCGATTCCGGTGGCGTCCTTCTACCATGTTTCTTGTGACCTGTCTTTTCCGAGATCTCGGAAGAGAGTCCTTCTCCGAATTCCTGGATCACGAAATTTCGTACCTGCGGAACAATCATCCTTTTCAGATTATGCAAAACAACAAAGCGGCTTACGAGGACTTCCACATGCTTCTCTCACGTATGAGCAGTGACTGCAAGGCTTCCGAACCGAGGGATCTTGTTTACGCATTTCTCGCTCTTAACAAAGACGGCCGGATCAGAATCAGACCGACGTACGAGGTGCCTGTACATCAAGTTTTTACCGAGGTGGCAAGAACAATTATTGCAGCGACTGGAAACCTAGACATTCTGGCCGTTGCGCCACGCCAATCCCGCCACAGCTCCTATTCAGCAATTGAATTCCCTGAGGAGTTACCTTCCTGGGCACCCAATTGGTGCCATGGGTTATCAAGTGTACCTTTATTCTATCGAGCTGGCCATGTCCCGTTCAAGGCTTCTTTGGGCTGGCCGTGGATGGTGCCGACGCCAGGATGCGATAATGGGGATCATTTAATTCTGCAAGGCAAGGTAATCCAAAGGATTTATCAGTTATCTCCGATCACATCAGGCACGGGCTCCCGACAAATTTTAGTTGACTTCGTGAAGCTTGACGAACATATGGCTGCTCTCCGTCAGATTTTGCGTGAAGTCACGGATCGGTTCCAGCTAACAAGGGAGAGAGTTCTCCGCGTTTGTATTTCAGATGGGTCTTTTGTACCCCATCTTTCCAGAAGAGTTCTGGAAAGAGACAGAGAGTTTCGGCAGTCGACAGGGCTTAGTGAGGAAAACCTCGATAAATTATTGACTGTCTATTATAACGAAGACGCGTTCGGACCATGGGGTATAGAGAGACAACTCCTGAGAGAGTATGTCCTAGTCTTGCGAAACAGAAACTTGTTTGTGGCAGCTGATGGCCGGATCGGGCTTGCTCAGAGCTCGGCCAGAGCAGGTGACACCATCATCATCGTGCAGGGCTCTGCTACACCACTAGTAGTCCGGGAAGTCAAGAGCGAGGCTCGTACATTCAGGCTTATTGGACAATGCTATTTTGAGAATGCAATGTTTGGAGAAGAGTGCGACTTCGACAATTGTGCTGTATCACAATTCAGGATCGTATAAGGATAATCGGGTGGCAAGTACTCACGGGAGAAACATTGTTTAGAGTGGGGTCGACTAGGGACAGCGAGGGGAGAATCTACCACTGACTGAGCCGTTGTTGCTGTTCTTTCGTGACAAGGAAAGTGTCCATTCATTCCACTTCAGAATTGCCAATCCAAGGTAAAAGTAAAGTATCTAGCCAGTTCCTACACTTGTAAGGTGTAAATTCAGTGCCAAGTGGAACTATCTCGGCTACACTCATGTTATTTGGCAAAACAGAAAACTAAATGCTAGACAGACTGTTTTGGGAGGGTATCGGGCCCAATCAAGAGTTGAAAGAAAAAGGGTCAATACCGAAAGGCTTCTTCTATCTTACGTTAGTTTCACAATACGTATGCCATATTACTTCGACTGCGTTGATCGTCAAGCATGAGGCAAGGAGCATAGTTATGTTTGACAAGGCAGTGAACGTAGAGCCGCGATGAGTCAAGGCAACAATGGAATACCCAATAAGACACATCCGATTGGTCTTTGTTCAAAGCGAAAAGTCACACAAAGCGCAACATGGGCCAAAAAAGAATCGGGGGTGATATTACGCTTTGTTGCCTCTCCCACCGTGGTTATAATAAGATTCTGAGGGTATGCACTCCGTTTCAAAGCCCTTCAGCAGCTATTATTCGAATGACCTACCTGTATGTAAGTTTGAGTCGTAGTTCACGACTTGGACATTTGTAGTCAAGTGCATAGGCTGGAGCGCACGTCAGTGTTGATGCAGAAATATAGCTATATGTGTCAACTACGGACGATATACTATCCCTGTCGTCGCCATCAGGCTATGACGACCACAACAACATGGTGTGCCGCATCGGCGGTTAAAGGGCAGCCATGCCCCGGTGCGGAGGACATGGACCGAAAACTCCCGATATCAAAGCGTTTCTGTATCTACGAATCGTGCCCAGTGGAAGGGTGTGACAACAAGGACGGGATTCGCCCATTAAGTGGATATGAGTCAATTTTGGATAGCACCGTAAAGTCAACGAGGCTTGGTCTACACTGGTGTCTGAGGAAATTGAGAGACTTTGGTTGGCAACTCATTATTGCCGCAAAGAGCAGGATGCCAGGTAGGGCCAACTAATTATAAGTGATACAGCATCATGTCGGATAAAGGCCAAGTAGCCACAACCCGTGGTCTAAGTATTTCATATTCTATCTTGACATTGCGATAATTCCTGACGCACAAGACCGGTATTTGAACCCATGTGTAGCTTTGTATGGGACGCGGATACAGTGAATGGCAAGGGTTGACCTGTGTGTCCTTGTTCGCATCTGGCAGTTGATATAGGTCTCCCACAGAGATATACTAATGTCTGTACCAGTGAGCTCGGGCGGTCAACATCGCATTCATCAGTTGCTAGAAATAATCTTCTCCAATTCAACTGGGTCCTTCACCGCGTCGGTAAGATTGACACTGCCATCCTTGGTGATAAGTAGGTTGTCCTCGATCCTGGGTAGGCCCATGTTAGTAGCAGTTCTCCCCGCGCAGCGCAATGCGCATTTTTGAACGTACCGCACGCCGCCGACGTCCCAATATTGGTCCAGCACGGTCTCGTCAATGAACTTGGAGTGCTTTTCATCTTTGAGATATGGCCGAATGATGTATTCACAGAAATAGATCTTACTCGCATCAGCTTCGTGTCGAGTTACGTTAGGAAGATGGGGAGACTTACACCCGGCTCGACGGTGATCACACTCCCAGCAGGCAAGTCTCGTCTCACTCTCAGGTATCTGAACAGGGGATCTGGATCCGAGTAGTTCGGATGACCTCCGGTATCGTGTGTATCCATGCCCAGGTAATGACCCAGGCCGTGGGGCAAGAAGGCGGCGCTGGTACGAGCCCGAAGAATCTCATCCCTGTCACCTTTGAGAATCCCTAGCGACAAAAGTCCGTCAATGGCTACTTTGTGTGCTAGAAGATGAACCTCATCCCACGAGACACCCTCCTTCAGCATGGCGATGCAGTCCTCTTGCATCTTGAGTACAATGTCGTAGATGGCGCGAGACTTCTCGGTGAACTTCCCCGAGATGGGAAATGTTCTGGTCTGCCTGATGTCAGCTGCCTGAACGATTGATACGGAGTCCCAGATAGGGCCATGTCAAATCGAGCACGTACGATATCAGAACTGTAGCAATCCCATTCAGCTCCTGCATCCAGCAGCAAAAGGTCTTTGGCTTTTCCTCCGGAGTGAAGGTCCTTGTTGTTGTGAACATAATGCAAGGTCGCCGCATCCCGTCCGCTGGCGACAATACTGGGATACGCCTGCTTCTTGGCGCCTCGCTTGGTGCACTCGCCGATGAAGACGCCCTCGAGCTCGTACTCATTGGTGCTCTGCCTAACCTTCTGAAGCACGAGCCTGTGCGCAGCCCCGCTGATGATGTTCGCTTTGCGGATGAGAGCAACCTCATACTCGTCCTTGACCACGCGGCACTCGTCAATCGCCTCCCCTAGGATGGAGAAGTCCTTGTCGTCGAACTCGAGGAACGTCACATGGTCGGCGACGCGTTCGGCTATAGCGAAGACGGTGCTCTTGGTGCCGTTCTTCTGAGCACCGACTTTGGCCAAGTGGGCGTTCAGCTCGGAGCTCGGAAGTACGGCGTCGACGTCGTACCTCTCCAGGGCCTCCTCGGGACTGAGTGGCAACCCCGCCCAGATGACGGACTCGGGATCGGTCGGGGGAATGAAGAGTGTCGAGTGTGACGTTGCCATGTCGTATATCAGGTAGCAGTCGGCCACATCCACACCGGTCAGATACATGAAGGCCCGGCGCTGGCGGAAGGGCACCGGCTCGTCCGAGTCTTCCAGGAGTTTGTCGGCACGGCCCTCGAGATAGATGATACCGGAGGCATCTGGAATCTTGGAGCGGATGTACTCGGCCACTCGCTTGGCGTGGGCTTTGGCAGGGTACTTGCCCTTAAGGATAGCTTCGGTGTCGATCGCCATGTTGGAAGACCTTGCTGCCGCCCAGTGACTGTATCGTGGCTGGGACCCTGGGATTCTAGCTGGTGGCTTTGGCGGTTGGCGTATGTGCACACGACAAACACCGGACCGCTGTCGTCGAGATTGATGGGTATATAATGGACTTCCGGTTGATATGAGCAAGGCTGGGGCTTTGGTGGCTCGTCCAGGCCGCAGGAATATTGCGTTGAACCGCGAGTAGGCGAGTGACATGGAGCAGTAGACAGCTCCGGGGTGCAGATGCGGTCTTCAAGACGACGGTGCCCACCCTGCGCTTTGAGGGGATCGCGAACTTCCAGGTTCCGTAGCTGGCCGCCGGGTGCGGGGCAGGCAGTGCGCTAGACCTCAGGTAATTTTAGCACGCTAGCAGGGGGCGAGGGGTTCCATGGCTGCCCTCCACGGCTACGATCCCGAGGTATAGTGGCTAAGGGTCCAACGAAAATTCGGGGTAGCAGACCTAGCTGTAACGTTAGCACCGACTACTGGAAGTATTTATATTAGATATACGCGCTACTTGCAGACATGAACGGCGGCTAGTAGGCGGGACATAAGGAGCGTTGACAAACCGGGCCCGTAATCTTAAGAGGGAGGGGGGAAGGGGGGGACGACTGGGTAGCGACAGAAGGCTGAAGCGCAAGTATGTGAATGGTATTTTGGTATCAAATGCGAGTTGGTCCTCCCAACATCTCGTCACTCAGCCCGATGTTTGTACTGCTGGCTCTTTCCTTTGTGTCAATGTATCTCTGGACTCTCCGGCCCAATCATTACTTCTGATGCTTACGATCGCGTAGGTACTGTAGGTGCATGCTCGAAACCTGCGCAGAAATAAAACCAGGGTATCATGCGTACATTATGTGTCCCCCCTTTCCAGCCAAGTATTCCTAGTTTCGTCTGAAAGCCGACTCTTCCACGCGGACCCAACCATATGCGTATGCTCAAGTATGCCTCAAAATATGCGTAACAAAGCTCAAAAAGTTAACCTGCCAGCTTCATCCATGTGGACGTAAAGCCAGTTGTTGCGGACCCCACCTCGTGAAATCGTCCCCCGGCCCACCTCGTCGTAGCGCAGTAAACAGCTTCGCTCGCATTGGGATATCAAATAGTGCTTTCACCGACGGGAACCAAGCACCTCCTCCGCCACTGGACCCTTCTGGAAGATGCCAATGCCTTCGTTGCGCCTCTCGTCTGGCGCCTCTCATCCGTTTACCTCGCTGGCGTTGGCTTTCCTGCGATGCTCCAGCCTGAGAACGGGTACTCGTCCCACTTCCGACAGGCTTCCTCCTTTCGGTCCTGCCAATCCTGTACCGTTCTTCAACATCTCCCAATGCTTTCGCAGGTTCTCCTCCCGAACCACCAGTTCAAATCCTGCCAGGAAGCAGAAACTTATCTCGAGCCTTGCCAGCTCAATCTCGCTGACCCCGCCGACTTTGGCGAACTTGGCGTGTGGATAGCTCAGGTCTTCCAAAGCTTTCATAGCCACTCGAAGCCCGGCGAGGATGAGTCTGTGGCAATTCCTACGAGTAACTGGGATGGCCTTCTCATCTACTGCCAGCCGGAATATGTACAGGGATGCAGCCAAGTAAACCGCTGAGCTCATGGGACACCATCGGTGGAGGCGCATGAGGTATTCCTCGATGCTGATCGGTGGAGGCGCTTTCGAGTAGAACTTCCGCGTGATAGCGCTGTGCTGCAGATTCAGAGGCTGTGAATTGGCGCCGATTACAATATACGGTTCCGGCGATACAGGGGGAGCCGGCGGAGGTGGCGTATGTCGCAGGTGCACGCCGTCTATCGGTTGATAAACTGGTGCATTGGACCGAGGATTCCCAGGCTGCGGTGCGAATAAGGGTATCTCTTGCGAAGCATTTCCTTGTTCGGCTAGCAGTGCCAGGTTCTTCTCCGAGTGTGAGCGTGCTATATCTGCCTTTTCTTTCTGGAAGCCACGCATGTGCACGGTGGGATTTTCGAGTGGCGGTGTCGGCGGGATATCGCCCGTGATACGAACCAGAGCCTCAACACCGGTCGACAAGAGCTTCAACGCTGCTATTGGGGACAGCTTGAATAGGTCCTGCGAAGATGGTAGGGGACCGGCATGATGCAGGGGTGGAGGTGTTCGTGCCTGGCCCACTAGCTTCGGGTCGTCGGCTGGTACGGGAGGCGGTGGAGGTGACGTCGGCGTGGTATCTTGAGAAGATCGAGGTTGAGGGGGTGGGCCATCTTGAGATGTGGTCCCCTCCGACATGGCGGCTGCTTCGGGGTTGTCGAGTGGCTGGAATTCCTCTGCCTGTCACCAGCAGAGGCGTACTGAGTAGAGCCTGCGGAGGGGTGGATGGAAGCCCGTATCTCGCAGGTCGGGTTTAGGTGAATCGTTGCATATGCCAACTCGGAGCCGAACAAGTCACTATGTTGGAGTGGGCCGGTGGTTTTGTTACCTCACGAATAGTGGTCGGAATCAAGCTGTGTCTTATCGTAGCCGAAGCACCTCTGGGTATAACGAGAGGGGTGTCAACAAATAAGTTGAGCTACAACGCATGATCCCACATGTGAGGAGCTTCCACAAACAGGCGATTCGCAGGTCGATTGGAGGTTGGGTCGCGCGCAATCGCTGCCGCGGGCCTGGAGGTGGCCGACGAAGGTGGCCGACGAGAGCCGATCCAGTGATACAGAGTCGTATGTCGACTGCTAGATTGGCCTGATCTCACGAGGGGTAACAGACGGGAAGCATATCGCCATGGATAACCCACATGCTTGTCTGCAGTGTTGGTGTGTTAGAAAAATGCCGGATAGGTGTCCAAATGCGTATAACCCAGGGGCATTCTGGAGAGAGGACGCAGTAGAGAGGGAAATCTCGGGCAGATGGAGTGTCGTCGACTCCCGCGGTAGCTCTCTTTTATCCCGGCCCTTGATCATTGAAAAAAAGTACCCCGCTAGATTGAAAGATCTAGACTGGTTTCGGTCCAGGGCTATGGCAGGCTGGTAGCGCCGAGGAGAGTTGGGGAAGGGGCCAAATCCACCACCACACTGGCTGCAACACGTGAATCAACAGTGGGTGTCGCTTATGCTTGTAGGGTCTTACCGAAGCTTGCCGTGGACTGACAGGATTTGGACCTGCAGGTCTGAAGCCCTTGTGACTTTCTCTCCCTCTCCCTCTCGGGTGCTGGAGACAGAGACTGGGACTGCGGACTGGGCTAGTCCACGCACGAAGTTGCAGTCTGGAGGACCCTGTACGTGCAGCAAGCCTTGGGCTGGGCAAATCTGTCGGGCGTCTCCTTTGCCCGTCGAACTCCGGCAACAGGTGGTTCGATCCGGTTTCTTGTAGTCGCAATCAGAGTTGAAGGGGGATCAGGCACGCGGGACTCTTACGTGTCTCGCCTTGTCACAGTATGCGCAGTGTTTTGGGCGCCTTGGAGCCACTAGTTGCATTCGATTCATTTACCCCAACTGAGGCGCCCTGGTAACTTGGCGCCTTCAGATTTGGGGAAAGCGATTTCAGGTCAGCAGTCCTTAAGCCATCCAATAACACAGCATGTGATCGCCGTGATCTGTGTAACATTGAACAACCGCCCAGACTGGAGGTGCTGGAAACAGAAAGACGTGCATATCCACTTAGAGGCACCGGCTAACTGTCCTCGCATTTGATAAGAGCGCCAATCACAGGTGCCGCACGGAGTAGCCCGGCGCGGAGGCGGACGCGGGATGGATGCTTCTCCAATTTATCGAGTGAGGGGAACCCCTGGCGAGGTGCCGAGCGCCCTATTAAGTTACTTATTTGCGATTGAGCACCCAGATCAAGTTGATTCGATCTCGCTGCCAGCACGTCGTAGGTTGGATTCACTTCGACGACCATACTTGGTGATTGGCTCGATGAACTCTCGTCGAGTGGGATGAGAAACAAGGTGCATGTAGTTGATGCTGCATTCTTCGAGTCTCGATGCCACACATAAAGTTGTGGGTTGACCGGCTTGCAAGCTACAACCCTTATTGAACCACATCGTGTGCCCGCTGGTTGCATTTATGAGATGGGACGTCCCGTCGATACATATCGTAGTTGGAGCCTGACGGACCGAGCCATATTTCCTCGGCCTCGTTGACAAGATATTGATTGAATTGTAAAAGCACAAGTTCTACGTCCTTGGTGATTCTATGCCTATCGTTGAGACAGTCCCGCTCTATGCCACTAATATCCGAAACGGCGGATACCCATTGTGATTCACCAAGTGGTCCACTTTCGAATACGCCCGCCAAGACCCAAGACACCCCACGGGCATAAACTCAATACTGAGCATCGGGGACTCAAGATCCGAGGTTGACTTTGCAGTCCAGGACGGCACTCTGTCCTCCTTTCACAGAATCAATAGCCTGCCGCAGGATGCTGTCGAGGTCCGAGGCTTTCTCGACCTTGGCGGTGAACAGGTCACCGCCAGCTGCAGCTTTTGCAATGCCGGAATAGTCGGGCACTGGATCAAATGAGATATTGATTTCTTCATTGGTAGCCTTCGAGCCGGCACCTTCTGGATGAACAAGCAGAAGAGATTTCCGAGGAGCATTCCATCCTAAGGCAGGGTCAGCATTGTCACATGCTCTCGATCGTCAAAGGTCACAAGACCGCTTACCCTTGTTGTTGAGGACAATCGTCAGCACGGGGATGTTGTATCTCTTCGATATCCAGTATACGCTTCCTGGTACACTGAAGAGGAATGTTCCATCCCCGACAATTTGCACCACAAACTTGCCCTTTCCAGTTCCACCATTTTCGGCATCAGTAGCCAGCTTGATCCCCAACGTGCCGCCGCCTGACCATCCAAGTCCGCCGCCACCACAGTTGATCCACGAGCCCGGGAGTTCTGGCTGTAGATTGTCGTGGACAAATGCAGTGTTGGTGACAGCTTCGATTGCCCAGATCGTATCTTTGGGGCACGCTTCCCTCAGTTTGCGGCACAGATGCCCCGTACCAAAGGTATCATCAGACTTGGCACCGGCCTTGACAGCAATGTCATCAAGACGCTTCTGGTGCGCCGCTACAAGATCGTCCCACGCTTTTTGACTATTCGGCGAGTCAACCTTGTTGGCAAGTTCGCCGTTTACGAGCTCTGTAATTTGTTGGATGGAGGTAAGGGCATCAGCTCGATACCGATGCCGAGCTGGAACGTAGAATAAAGGCATCATTTGCTTGAGGGGGTCAACGTCAATATGGAATATCTCTGCGGTGTCGGCTGGCTTGCACTGCGTAGGGATCCAAGGGACATCGCAGTCGACAATGAGGATCACATCCGCCTCTTTGATCTCGGCTTCGACTCCGAATCGAAGGCCCAACCATCCTGGGTGCGAGGCCGGGAAGCACATGTCGCTACCACCGGTGTCCAGGACCCGGAGGCCCTTTACGGAGTTGGCAAGGTCGACAAGAGCACCGGGAACCTTGTGGTTGCGTCCAGAGTAACCAGTGATAAGTAGTGGCTTCTTTGCCCCAATCAGAGACTCGGCGATCTGACTAACAGCCTTTTGAGGCAGTCCACCAAGCTCGACACGGTCCCACACGCTTTGCTTAAGATGATATGGCTCGATCTCTTCTTCCATGACCTCTCTCGCACCAACAAGGTAGACGGGGCCCTGAGGATCGCTGGTGGCAAATTGCAGAGCGCGATTGACCATCTGTTTAATGTTTCGACCAGTCTTGATTTCTGCAGAATACCGGCAGTATTGACCGAGGATCAGTTTCTGGTCGGGAACATCCTGGATCCAGTGGATATACTCCGTCCGAGATCCTCGCATTTCGCCCTCGAGGGTGAAGGGGCTCAGGCCGGCAAAGACGAGTATAGGAGCACGACCTGTGCTGGCGTTATGCACTGCGGCACCGAGACCCTGTGTGCCCACATCGACATGCACAATCACCACCTGCGGTTTGCCGGTGAGACGTGCATAGCCGTCTGCCATGGACATGGCCACCATCTGGAGATTACATCAGCGAAAGGGACTGCTTGATGAGCGTGGGAAGCCCCAGCTGGGTAGAATACCTCGTTAGGGCACGTGATGATCCGAGGAAACTTCCCATTCTTCTCTTGCTGCCCTTTCACCATGGCCTCGATGATGCTAGGATGATCCGAACCCAGATTCACAAAGCAATGGGTCACACCAGCCTCCCATATCGCCTCAAAGAATGCAAACGATGCAGTATACATCTTGGGCTCCGCCTCTGTCGAGTAGGCACGAAAATGGGATTTGTGTAATGTTGGAATTCGGCTGCGGCTCGTTACACAGCGGTTCCCCGAATAGACTGTGATTGGGTATGCGACAGGGAGTGCCGGCAAAAATCCTCTAGCTTTACAGAGGTGAAGAGATGGGTTTGTGGAGGGATCTGTAGAAGAAGACGGAGGCTTGGCCGGAGATATAGAGTGAGCTATGAGGCAGCCCAACTGACCAGGCGTGTTGTGCCCTGAACGTGCTCCGCTGCCGGATACTTTGCATTTATGCTGACGAAGGACACCTTGGCCCGGGTACAGTCTCGAAGAGAGAGCGGCAATAGTGACCGAAGGCTTGGGGTCACGCCACGGACGATGGGCTGCAGCAACTCGGCAGAGAGAGTGCGGGGTGCTACGAGGCGGGGTTGTACACGCTGAGTGGAAGAGAGACTGCATCATATTGCCAAGCTAGGTGAGATGGCAGGAGTATCTGCGGGGCTGCGGTTGTGAACTCGGAGATAATCAAGGGCGTGTGAGCTCCGGTGATCAAGACCGGTCAATTGTACGCCCTTGGGCCCTCAGCGACCCAAGTTGTTAAGTGGTTGGTGTTGCTCAACCTTTGGAGAGATGTCGCTGTGTCCAGCGTTGGAATGTTAGCCAACAGAAGCTTTCCCACTCGGTCGACTCCAGTGTCGGGCTCACAAGCCAGCCTATAATTTTCTCAGGTGGGAAAATGGAGATCAGAGTCAGAGAGTCGTTGCTACTGGAGCGGTTTGTGAGTTTCAGTATATTTCGAACGGAGGAGCCGGACGTTGCGTGTAACCCCTCAATACACATGGTGGTCCAGGGGTGAAAGGAAGCCCACGACACCTTGACACTAGGGCGCTCGCTGCCCGAGCTGCCTGCCCTTACATAAGGTGGTCCTGCGCCCGGATAGGCGAAGAAGGACCTGAGATAACCCGCAATCCGGGGAAGGGCCCCAAGAACCTCACAATGGAAGGGGTCACGGGTACCTTAGTACTCGTAGTGTCACGGCGCTTGCCAACTTGCGGCCTTCCAGTTGTTAGCGCGATGCCCTAGGCCGATCGTCGTCCAAACTTGAGCGCACGACTGCTGTACCATAGTACAACTGGAGGCCGTCGCCGCGATTCTCCGCCGACAGCTGGCTTGGGAACCACCACCTTCCGGTACGGCTGTCGGACAGCCACCTTCGCCTTTTACGGGGTCGCACTGCTGGCGAGCTATGGTTCATAATTGACTAGATCGGCCTGAAAGGAAATGGAGATTTACCGATTACCACAAGAATCATGCCTTTGGTTCATGATATCGTCGCGGTCACCATTAGCTCATAAGCCAATCCCGCTTATCGTCGGCGCCGCTTATGGGATAGCCAGAGAGGAGTGATGCGGGTTGAACGTCGATGGTGGACTTTAGCGAAAAGTTAAGACATGCACCAGTGACTACACTTGGCTAGCAATATGAATCTCATCTCGAAAGTGACGATGTCCTCATGCCTAGGTGACGATGCTTTTACGATGGTGATTCAGGGTAAAGGGGGCGTATCCACTCCGGACATCGGCCCTCGAGCTGTGGGAAGCATCGGCACTGGCACCACACTACAAAGCGCACAAAGACCAGCTGCGAGCTGCGCACTTCGTTGCTGTCACTCCTGCATGCTCCGCATCTCTCGTGAAATACCGGTGGTTCTGGTTGATGTGGTCGCGTGGAAGCTTGTCGGTGTCCAGCAACCGGCTCCAGTTGCACCGCGCCACTATAGAGTTCAAGTACCCTTGCCTAGGAAGAGCATTCGTGGTTGCTTGTCTGATCTGCCACTCCATTCAATCGTCGGTGCACTGGATGTGTAGGGTTATTGAAGGGCTTGGGTTGAAACAATACCTAGGTAAGCTGTGGTTCGTGTATGCAAACATATTTGTTGCAGAACGGTCCAGGCCAACCGATCGGATCTCCAGAATGCGACGTAGTGCACTATGGAGCCTGATTGGGCAAATGACGCCACAACCCTTTCGCCATGGCTCTTCAACGCCGACCCCCTGGCCAGGCCTTGGAGTGGCTGGCTTGGCTGTGAGGGTGCCCAGGTGTCTCTGTAGTGGTTCTAGTGGGCTGATGGAGGCGCCAGATGCAACGGTTGTAACGGTCGGACTGGGATCCGGGGAGCCAGTCACAGTTCTCTGGCAATCTTTCTCATTAAGCTTGTTCGCGCGTGGGGTTGAGCATTCACACAGCAGAGTCTGGGATTAAGAGTCAGGTCAGGCTGGGATTCTACTTTCTGTATTTTTGGATCTAGTCGCCTGGAGATGAATGACGACAGAATGGTCTCGCCGCCTCTGCCAATTCAAGCCCATTGAATACGTGGCAAGCGCAGCCATCCGTTCAGCTCGCCTTCTAGCAGGAAACCTGGAAGCCTTTGCTGGCGGCCAAGCCGTTTAGAGGTGGCGACCGAGTTCAAGGGTGCAGGGATTGGTCCGTCAATGCAGTCCAGGCCAAGCCTGGATGTATTCAACCCCATGCCACCATGGATTCACCGTCATCGCTCAAAACGCCCAATGGGCTACCTAGCCTTAACTGCCTTGTTCCCGTCAATGCCTCGTCCTGCTCGTCTAATCCCGGCTCAGGTGCAGCTGCAGAAATTTGATGCGTGGTTGATCGTCAATCAATCTTGTTTGTCTACACAGTAGGCCCATGCCAACGCTGCCGCCCCCCGGTCTCTGACTTGCAATGATTGGGTCAGTTGCAACTGCGTCTTCTTCAACCGGGACCCGGGACAATGCCTGCAATAAAACCTGAGCGCTGTCCCAGACCTCAGCGTCATCTCCCTATTATGCAGTTGGACTATCTGTATCCCAACTGGCCTATACATAGATCCTGCAGCAACTCTCCAACTTCATCAAACATCGTGCAGGCGCTGCACAATCACCTGTAACGCTTTCCCGTCTTCAAGTCAGAATCCAACCCGGGAAACGCTTTCTGGAAGGCGTCGGACATCATAATGGGCCAGGGCTCGAGTACTCCCCTAGCCGACTGCCTGAATGCGGTCTGCAACAGCCGCAGTGACTGCGTCGCATACCCAGACAACCCTCTCTACCAAATTTCCTGGGTGAAGCGTTACAATCTCGACATAGCAGTGACACCAGTAGCTGTCACGAGGCCAGACTCGGCAGAGGATGTCTCCGGCTTTATCAAGTGCGCTGTCCAGAACAATGTGAAGGTCCAGCCAAAATCCGGTGGTCACTCTTACGCGTAGGTCTTTAGAAGAACATCTGGATGGGTGGACAATAGAATGCTAACGATCACCCTAGAAACTTTGGTACGAACTGGGAGATGCAATATAACTGAAATGCGTATATGCTAACCCATTCTGCAGGCGTGGGAGGCACAGATGGGGAACTGGTCCTCGATCTCCAGAACTTGCAGCAATTTTCTATGGATACCAACACCTGGCAAGCAACAATAGGTGCTGGACACCGGCTGTCTGATGTCACTCAGAAGCTCCACGATAATGGGAAGAGAGCCATGTCCCATGGCACCTGCCCGGGAGTTGGAATTGGTGGACACGCGACCATTGTGAGTGGAACACAACGACATATGAATATGCACGCCAACCTTGACTAACACTTGTTCGCAAGGGCGGCTTGGGGCCTTCTTCCCGCATGTGGGGGTCTTGTCTAGACCACGTTCTTGAGGTTGAAGTCGTTACTGCGGATGGAACCATTCAACGTGCAAATGCCAACGAGAACGCAGACTTGCTTTTCGTGAGTGCTCTCGACCGCCTGGGAAACCCATGAGTTGATTTCTTGACTGACGCACTCCAGGCAATCAAAGGGGCTGGTGCCGGTTTTGGTGTGGTTACGGAGTTTGTGGTCAGGACTCAGCCTGAACCTGGAAGTGTGGTGCAATACTCTTATTCGATGACCTTCGGCAAGCATGCAGATATGGCAGATGTCTTTGAACAATGGCAAACACTCATCTCTGACCCCAACCTTGATCGGAGATTTGGCTCGGAGATAGTGATGCACGAGCTCGGCCTCGTGATCACAGCCACTTTCTACGGCACAGAAGATGAGTTCGATGCTATCGGCATTCCTGGAAGGATCCCAACTGGAAAGATTTCTGTCGTTATCGATGATTGGCTTGGAGTTATCACGGAACAAGCTCAAGAAGCTGCGCTCTACCTGTCGGACATCTCGACGGCTTTCACCGCGAGAAGTTTGGCCTTCCGAGAAGACGAGCTGCTCTCCAAGGACGCAATCAACAGCATGATGTCATACCTTGATAATAATGACCGCGGCACACTGCTTTGGTTTCTGATCTTCGACGTTACCGGCGGCGCGATCAGTGATGTTCCCCAGAACGCCACCGCATACTCCCACCGAGACAAGATCATGTTCTGCCAAGGCTACGGCATCGGCATTCCAACACTGACGCAAACCACCAAGGACTTCATGAATGGTCTAATCGATAATATCCAGGGTTCAGTGCCGCAGACCTTGACGACATATCCAGGTTATGTCGACCCCGTTTTGACGAATGCTCAAGAGTCATATTGGGGGCCCAACCTTGCGACCCTGGGCCAAATAAAGACTAAGTGGGACCCAAACGATATCTTCCACAACCCACAAAGCGTCCGTCCGGGAACTCTGGACGTAAAGCAAGAATCGAGCGCGAAGAGTAGAAGGTGGAGGTTTTAATCCTAGTCAACCAATATTGATACCCCTTTGTGTATACCTACAATTCTAGCTATTAGAATGCTGATAAACTTCTGTATATTCTTCATCCTCCTATGAACTTCCGGGCTGCAAGTTGTGCAACTGTCTTGTCGTTTCTTCGCCAAGTTCTGTTCCCCTGCATTGGTCTGATGGCGGGTTTGGTGTGTTTCCTTAGCTACATATTCCCTCCAAGGATTCCCCAAATTTCTCCATGCCAGCCAAAATTGCAAATCCGTGATACCCCAGGCCAGATACCATCCCGTTCTCAGGCTCCACGCACCCCGCAGAACTTACGCTATACTATGTGGATAATTTGGAGCAGCTCATTATTCCTCCAATCACACGTAGTACCTGCCACGGCTAAGTGGCCTCAACCTCCTAACTTCGATATATATCGCGCCAGCCTCCAGGAGAGAGAGCAGCCAGTATGCTTACAGTGAAAGCCAGAAAGCCAAAGTCACGGTCTATATATGGCAAGGATGGCTACCTCTCGGTTTCTACGTTTATTGAGTGCAAGCAGTCTCGTCACTTCAAGCGTTGCCAGCGGAGAGGCACCAACCGCGAAGACTTTAAATGGAACTTATGAAGGGTTCAACCTGCCAAACTGGGACCAAGACGCGTTTCTTGGTATCCCATACGCACAGAAACCAGTTGGTGATCTGCGCTATCGGTGGCCTCAAAGCATCAACACCTCGTTCGACGGAGTCCGAAACGCCACGCAGTACGGGTACAGCTGCATGCAATATGGTCAGAGTTTCGCTTTGTCGGAGGACTGTCTCACTATCAATGTTGTAAGACCAGCAGGTGTGCCGGCCAACCCGCTCCCGGTACTGGTATGGATTTACGGGGGTGGGCTGTACGCCGGAAGCACCGCTGATCCTCAATATAACCTATCTGGTGTGGTCAAGGTCAGCCAGGAAATGGAACAGCCGGTCATCGCAGTTAGCATGAACTATCGTTTGGGCATGTGGGGGTTTCTGCAAACGCCACAGATTCTGGCCGAAGGATCTAGTAATGCTGGACTGCTTGACCAGAGGCTTGCACTGCGTTGGATTCAGGAAAACATTGGCGCATTCGGTGGCAACCCAGACAAAGTTGTCATATGGGGTGAAAGCGCGGGCGCTCAAAGCGTAGCGTATCACCTTTTTGCTTATGATGGACGTGACGATGGCCTATTCCATGGAGCGATCATGGAAAGCGGTGGCCCAACTGGGGCACAAGTCGAAACGCTCTCATGGTACAATAGTGCAGTGGAGAATCTCACACGAGCTGTCGATTGTTGGGGGGTGTCAAATCAGCTCGCATGTCTCCGATCCGTCGACCAGGCAACATTGTTTGCTGCACATCCCAGCGTTGTATGGAACCCCTTACTCGATGGGGATTTCTTGACTGGCTATCCGAGCCAACTGATGCATCAAGGCAAATACATCAAAGTACCAATTATCACAGGAGCAAACACCGATGAAGGGTTTGCTATTTCAGGAACCCCCAATACCGAGCAAGATATATTCAAGTCCATCTTCGCATGGCGCTCGTATTCATTGACGCCCCCTACCGTGCGCAAGCTATTCGAATTATACCCTGATGATCCTTGTTATGCGGTTCCATATGCAATCACCAACTGCACCCGATCTCCGACACGCGGCCTCCAATGGCGCAGGGCAGCATCTATAGGGTCCGATCTCGTCATGATTGCACAACGGCGGAAGATGGCTGAACTCTACACGAGCGCCGGAGTAGCTGCATACAGCTACCGCTTCGACCAAAGGCTTTGGAACGGGCCCGAATGGGACGGTGTCAAGCACTTTCAGAATGTAGCATTCAGCTTCCAAAACATATCTGGCTTGCTCGGGCCCAGTCCAAGCTACGATAGCCATCGAAAACTTGCAATGGCAATAGGCCAGGCATACATACATTTTGTCAATGACCTGGATCCGAACGGGAAGCAAGGCATACAGTACAAAGAACCGAGTCTCCTGCCCCGCTGGCCTGCTTATAGCTTAGGTTCACCAACGAACATGGTACTCAATGCGACAAAAAGCTGGATAGAGGATGATACGTGGCGCAAAGATGGTATCTCATTCATCAACACACCTGGGGTTGCGAAGGAACTGTTGAGCTAGGACTGTCTTAGGGTTCACTTCAAACTTTTAAAACCACAACCGGATGAACGTGGGTACAGCCATACCGTATATGCAGACCAATGATGATTACGCATTCTATATAATTATAGTTCATAATTATAGTTCCCTTGAAACGAGTAACTAGTGCGCTCTCATAGAATATGAATTGGTGATATCCAAAGACATTTGACGGCAATCTCAACAAGACCAATTTAATATTGTCAAGATTTGTGTGCACGTGGCAGTCCCCCATTCAGAACGCTGCCCAAGAGGCTTTTACCGTGCAGTGGGCATGGGACATGTGTGAAAGGAGCAGTGTGCAGTCTTGGCATAGAGCGCATATCCTGAATCGCACAAATTTGTATAGGCCCGAGGCACTCCCAAGAATGTAGTGCCATCCCCTGAGCACCCAGAACAGCGTGGTGGTGACACAAGGGCGGGGCTTGCATTTCGTCAGCAGATCGTCTACGAACTTGACCAAATACAGCTGGCGAGGCTTTGTTATTGGCTGCGACCGTTACATTTGCTTACATCTTGCATACTATGTATCTTATCATCCGCCGAGTAGTGTTCAGTCAGAGACATGATCGACCGAATGATCTCCCATGTGCTGAGTAGAAAAAGAGCCGGCAAGCGGTCGTTGGACTGCATCGGCGTGCGTCCGCGCAAACTACTCAACGGTCCGATGTGTCTACGAACGAGGAAGGCCATACTTCGTCTTCGCGATGGCTCAATCTAGTCCAATACTGTCACAGCTCTCTGCCACAGTTGCTGCTGGCACAATCTTGGTGTCTTTGATATCGTACATAGCGGCTAGGCTCCTTTACAATATATACTTTCACCCTTTGGCACAGTTTCCAGGTCCTTGGTATGCCACCGCGACCTCCCTGACAGATGCGATCATTTCGCTTCGCAAAGCTGAGCCTGCATGGCTCCTCGGGCTGACCAAGAAATACGGCAGTAAGTGATGCTGATTTCATCTCATACATTGGCCTCATTGGTATGTTTGAGCTGTCTAATGGGGCTCGCAGCTGATAGACCGATTCGTATTGCACCCAGAACTTTGCTTTTCGCTTCCTCGTCATCGCTGAAAGATATCTACTGGGACGCGAGAATGAATTTCAAATCCGAGCTCTATGGTACTGGTGCTCTTGGACCCCCATCACTTTTTGATACACGTGATGGTAAAATTCATCAACAGCTACGTAAAGCGTTAGGGGGTAACCAGGTATTTCATTTTCCAACGCAGCGCTCCGATATGAAGATACTTATCCATCGGATAACAGTGGTCCATTGGCTCTCTCAAAAACTTTTGGGAACCGAAGTTTGACCAGCACATCAGTCTGTTCCTCCAAAAGATGACAGATATTGCCAATGCGAAACAGGAGACAATATTGTCTGACAGAGTGGCGTAAGAGTTTTAACCATCTATTTAACTGTCCACCTCTTACCAAGTATAGTGAGTTTGCTGCCGATATCATGACAATGGTGTCATTCTCTGAACCATGGGGCTTCGTCAGACATGGGCGCGACGAGCGAGGGATACTCCATTCCTGGCGGCTTGGTCTTCCGTTCTTTGGCCTTGTTGGACGATGGAGATGGTTCCGTCAGAACATTATCGCGAATCCTAATCTGGCACACTATCTCCTACCTGCAATGAGTGACAAGCAGGGTATGGGCTACCTATACGCCCAAGCTAACAGGGAAGTTGACCATAGAGAGATGAGAATGAAGGCGGAGGGAGAATCGTTCTACATGGAAAGACCAGACTTTCTACAACAGTAAGTTACCTAACGACTGCCCCAAGAGCCTAATAAGCAATGCTACTACCCTCAGTCGCTTACAAGTCAACAGTTGCCTTGACGCCCGTCACCCGTTGACCGGATTGCCCCTGACTGCTGTCCAGAAGAGGGCTCACGTGACACTACTGATCCAAGCTGGCGCTGATACAACCGCTACTGCTCTTGGGAGTACACTTCGCTTTCTTCTATTGAACCCTCGGATATTGAGGAAAGCACAGGAGGAGATCGGAATGGCAGATCGAGAAGGGAAGCTTAGCAACCCCATTGCTTACGAAGAATCACGCCGACTTCTGCCTTATATGGGTGCATGTATAAAGGAAGCACTACGACTCAACCCGCCGGCTCCGAATCAGTTCGGTCGGGTCACTCCGGAAGGCGGCAAGACGATTGATGGTCATCGAATCCCCCCGCTTGTCGACGTGACCACAGTTTCATATATCGTTCAGAGAGATCCAAAGCTGTATGCTCCTGATCCGGAGTCATACCGGCCAGAACGTTGGATCGACGCGGAAGCTGTGAAGCTAGCCGAAATGGAATCTAGCCAATTCGTGTTCGGCATGGGACCACGAGTGTGTCTCGGCAAGGATATTGCGATAATGGAATTATGGAAGCTTCTTCCAGAGGTATCTAGCCTTCGGTGCAGCAAATTGACATTTACTAACGCGTATATAGATAATCCGCAATTTTGAATTCGAGCTCCTTGACATTGGCAGGTATATTGTGGCAGGGGGTGTTGCATATAACTATGGTTTGAAGGTAAACTTGGCTTTACGAAGATGAGAGAGAATATATTCCAAGAACATACAATCGAGTACGTAGAACCCATTGCGGAGGGTTGTTTGAAGATCGCAAAGCTATGTGCGCAGGTGATTATTAATAGCTCGAGAGGCGACTTTCCCGGTTGGTTTAATTCCATCTTCGTCCGCGACTCGCACCCCGTTCAGATGGGACAAGGGAGTTCAGGGAAACTTTGAGGATGGAGCAGAACAAGTTGGTTATTCGGAATTGAGTGGCTTCCTTTAGGGTTAGCTTAGGGTTAGGGTTAGGGTTAGGGTTAGGGTTAGGGTTAGGGTTAGGGTTAGGGTTAGGGTTAGGGTTAGGGTTAGGGTTAGGGTTAGGGTTAGGGTTAGGGTTAGGG